AGAATTTAATTTAATTTTCGGTAGAAACGGTAGACAGAGAAAGGACGTGTTTTCTGTCGTGTTTCTATCATAAATATAAGAATTATTTTTCGCTTTATATTGTTCAAGACATTCGGTGAAATTATTCTCCATAGTTTCCGAAACTCTCCAATAATTCAAACATTACAATTTTTTTTAAATTGTTTGGATCTTTGAGAGTTGTTTAATATTTAGAATTGTGTATTTTTCTTTCTACTTTTTTCTACTTTGAAAAATTTAATCGCACAATTTACTCGAATCTTTTGTCCGAGTCCTAGTCTCGAATTCGATTCGTGGCAATCGTCATTTGACTCCCGTAGCGACAATTCGGTCTTCTTTCGCCACGGGATATCGTCATGGTGATTTTCTTGAGAATCATTTTCTCCCTCGCGAGAGCAATCATGAGTCGAACTCGCGCGAAAAAGGGATAATCTACTCGACGATGTTCCCGCAGGATTCGAAATGCTTTTCTTTCACCGATTATAGTTAACCCTTTGCGGTCCTATATCGAGTCTGACTCGACATTGCGTTTCATTCAACCGGTCCTACATCAAATTTAGCTCGATATAGAAATTATAACTATTTATAACTATTATAATAATTAATTTTATAATTATTTATGAATCTTTAATTATTTATGTATAAACATTTGAGCGATTTTGACAATGTTTCTCGTAGTATTTTAATAGCATACATCCTTGCAGAGATTTCTTTTTTCTTCTATGTCATCTGATTACTAAAAAAACATACAAGTCTTAAGGTAAAAAAAAGTAATTGAATTGCGCGTAGATCAGCTGGAATGAAATATCAGAAATGGTCCAGATCGCGAAAAATTAAAGAGAATTTCTCATTTTACGAAATTTTTAATCTCTATTCTATTTTTACTCTTTGATGAAACGATCGTCTATACCAGTGAATCGGCCGTATGTCTGCGAAATTATTAGACGTAACGCATCAGTTTTATACATTTTATGCTACTTAATTTTATTCATATTTCGATCCGATTTTTATACTAATACGAATATTGATACTAGCGCGTGTAATTATTAGCTGCGATTAAATGCATAATTATTCGAAATTTCAGAGCGAAAAAAAGAAAACTCGCAAAGACGGGAGATTGATGGTAAACAATTTCGTCCTCTGCAAAATGCCTTTTATTCCGCGAGATTCTTTCCTTTCGTATTATTCGAAATTTTGTTTTCTGTAAACCGCGCACGTGTCGAGTGCGTTTCGCACACGTACGCACGCACACATTCGCCGTTTCTTAATATTATAATTATACCGGGAAGCATAATTAAGGCGCGGTTTTTTGCGCTCGCATCGGTCGCATCACGCGGACTATGACGGTTATATGCGCATCACGGCTCACGGCGCGTCCGCAAAGTTCGGATTCGCTTCTGATTTAGCGCGCCGCCGTTTCTCTTTTTCGCCGTGGCCGCGTCTAATCTGGTTCTCCTTGCGAATGCCTCCCCGTTTTTCTCCATCTCCAGGCATCGAGAGCCTGGGTTAATTCTTGGCACAATGATCGTAAAACATATCCAAGGATAGAAAACAATGGTAATCCCGGAGTTGTCGGCGCGACGACACACGGTGATTCCGCTCTGTGGAATTTCTTCGTTTCGGAATTCGCGCTTCTCTTTTTCCGACAAACGAGTTTCAATATTTGTCTCATCTGCAACATGAATAAAAATAAAAAACGACGCACTCCATTTCTCTGATGTTAGAACATAATTAATAAATCAAAATTTTCTCCGCTTTTCCTCTCTCATCTTTTTATAAAATATTATAATGTAGCTGGGAGAATTGTTACATTATTTATGTTAGATAATATTTTGTATATTATTATATTATTTATGTTCAATAATAGTTTGTATATCATTATATGATTTATCAAATACATACGAAGAATTAAAAATCTTTTTTCGAAATATACAGCGTACTAAATTTTTCTACAGTTTTGATTATAAATGGGACTAAATAACATTTTTCCCCGACACAAAACCAAAAACGTTGAATCTATCTTACGCAGCTACAATTTCCTGCAGTTTAAGTTCCTACGCGAAAATAAAATTTATCCGGCGCTCATTTCTGCGAATCTTATATCCTTTTCTTTGCGCGATCGCTTTTTTCTCCTCTCGAAAATCGCTGGACCGGTCCCGCAGGTTATCATTGCCCATGGAAAACATGTCCTATACGGACCGCGACGATGACGACGATGACCTGGGTACGCGAACCTCCAGGGTTTCGCCGTGGGATGGGATCGGGTTTTTCTCACCGTCACGACGCGTCTCTCCGCCTCCGGACCGCGTTCGCGTTCCCGGCCGACAAAAACGAGCCACCCCGTGCCAAAAAAGTCGTTATGTAAATGCGCCGCGGAAGCCCGGCCTAGACCGCGCCGCCGCCGCTGTTCCGTTGGTCACAGGTATATACGGGATGAATCGTGCAATTCGATCACCCTGCGACGATTTTCAGTTTGAAAAAGCAAAGGTGACCGGCGAAAAAACTTGGAGAAGAAAGAAAGAAACGATCGAATAAATTTCCTGAAAGATACGACTCAATTTTGCACAGGTTTTTACGGGATTCATCGCGAGTCTTATAGGGGGGGAAGGCTGCGGTTCCGGTAACTCGATGTAAAATTAATCGATACGAATGATACGCATAATGATAATTTTCGAATATAATGTAAATCGGTGAAATTTCTTGTATAATATTTGAGAGGATCTGACTAAAACTTGAATCGGGGTGGGAATAGCATAGCCGTACTCTCAAACTCCATCTCCAATTCTGAAATTAGGTCGAGTAAATAAATGCGGGATGAATTATTAATAAATTCAGCTAATGCGGCGTAAAGTTGATGAGCGAACGATTGCGCTTATGGTTTTATTTTTTAACAAAAGCTCGATCGAAGTGTTGTCGCGCGGATGACAGGCTTAGTTAGATGATCAACAACGTGTATATCACATACGCGCGGTATTAATAAAGTCATGAAAACGAGAATAAGATGTCAGCGACGGCGATATAAATAAATGACGGGCAATAATAATGGGAAATCCACGCAAAAACCGCGAGGAAAGTTCGTGCACCTCTGATCTATAGGAATTTTTCGGACAAAATAATCGAACCGACGAAAATGCAAGATTGGCGATATCTAAGACAAGAAATGATAATTAAGTCTAAAATTTGTATTTTTTTACCTTTTAATTATTATATCTAGGAACAAACGTACAAATATATGCACGAGAAATAATAAAATAATACTGTATTTTAATAAAGAATGTGTCTCCAAAATATATCCTTTAGTTTCAGGCTTCTTCGTCAATTTTTCCTTCTAGCAAAAATGTCATTGTACAAATAATATTTAAGTCTTTAGCGATTGAAAATGAAAGATGTTTCACGCGAATTAAACTTTACAAAGGTTTATGTGATTAAATAATAAAATTATATTTTTCATTTAATTTAAAGTGAACTTGTAGAATTTTAATTTCAAAAATATGCCAAATATAATCCACGGGTTAAAGGAAATGATTAATTTATAATATCCTATCGAGGGATAAATAAGTAAAAATTCCAAGAGTAAAAATCATAAAAAAATCTAATGATAAATTAATACGAAAAAAATGACAATTATATATTTCTCTTATAAATATCCTCCCTCCTTGCAAAACGCGTGTCTCAATCGCACCTGGACGTGTCTCCTTCTTCATTCGTCCTGCTATCGTTCGGCCTAACCGATTCTGCTGACCCAAGACACCGGTGGTGCTTCGTGCACGTAGATCCTTTTTTCGCGGGTCGCAGTTCGCGCTAGAAAAATCTCGCGGAACAAGTCGCCACCCCGTCGTCCGGGGACTTATTCGCGGGCCCGAGAGATCGACAGCGCACGAGCGTGAGACCGGGATCCGGGCTCGTAATAAGACCCGTCGGCCAGTTTTTTTTACCTTTCTCTCTCCTTCTGCTTCCCTTCCTTCAGCCTCTTTCTTCGACTTCACCCTGCGCTCTTCTCTCTCTCTTTACTCTCCTTCCCTCCGATGGCGCGGTACCGGTATTAATTTATACGCGGTACGTGTGTGCACGCCGCTTTTTCTCGCAGTTCCTCGAAATTTGCAAGAAACTAGTCGGACTTTGGCGTCTCCTCTCCTGGACTCGCGTGATCGTGTCGATACAGACAACGACGATGACAACGATAATGATTGTGCGGCGAATGGTGAGAAGGCGAGGGTGGCTATGGGAAAGATGGTGCGATTATCGACGATGTACATTTAAATGATTTATTTGATTTAATTCTTTTTCTAATTTACCTTGATTCATCCAAAACCATGTCCTTAGTGTCCTTATTATAATAAAAGAAATTTGTATGTGTTGTGTATATATACTAAAAAATTAATACAAATAGAGAAAAGCATATTCTGGTAAAAATATATCTTATTTTAATCATTTTTAAAAGCAGAAGAAAGTTAAATCATGGAGAAATCTGATATTTCGCGGTCAACTTTTTGCAAAAATATTCTACTAGTTAGTACTGAACTGAATCGAGATGCAATGTGCTCCGATCAAATGTTTGTAATTTTTTTTGTCATTGATATTTTTTTGATATCACAAATTTTCTCAAATTAATATAATGCAATATTTATATATAGACATGTAGAGATGCACTGTATTAATTTGGAAAGAAAGATTATTAATAATATACAATAATATACAATAATAACAATAAAATATATGTTGAATGCTGGTGATCGCGAAATATCAATGGCTTTTATACCAACCAGACTGTCTAATTACGACATAATTGATTGTTGACGGTGAGTGAAGAGAAGAAGAAGCAAAGGGGAAAGATAGGATCCGCACAGCGATTATTACCGCTGTCGGCGCAAAACTGTACCGATTCATTGCAGTTGGAATCGACAATTGCCGCTGTGTTAAGTGTGCCAGAGACTCTCTTAACGAACCTCTTTAACGATCGTACAATACTATGCGATTTGCAGTGGTGCAGACATCCGTGCCGCAGAATGAGGCCGAGTTGCAGCTGTACCGAGTGATGCAGCGCGCCTCGCTACTGGGATATTACGACACACTCCTCGAGATGGGTAAGTACGATCAGGATCACATCTACGTTTATCTGTAAAAAAATATTTAAATTTTAGTATAAAAGATACTTTAATTATAGTTTAAAAGATACTTTAATTATAGTGTAGTTTTGTACAAAATTTGCAAATCTTTAAATGCGATTTTTAATTTAGATTTATATACAATCTCCCTGCGAGAGAGTTAGACAATCTTACATAAAAATAATCCATGGAGATTCAAATCTTATGGAGATTATAAAAAATAAAACACATAGTATCAAAAGCACACAATATCAGCGATTACAAAACAATAATGATTCAAAATGTTTTTTAATACGATATATATAATTTTTTGACCCTAATTGATGTATTTATTTGATGCATGTTTAAGAGAGAATTTTTCAAGTTTTGCCTGATGCAGTTTGTGTCGATTTAAAAGTCCTTTAAGATATTTTTTGATGTTTTTTCATTTTTTTGACTGCGGATCTGAGTGAAAATCTATGCAATGTTTATAATTTTTTTTACTTTTTAATACAGTATTATATAATGTATTATAGGAGGCGATGACGTGCAACAATTGTGCGATGCAGGCGAAGAAGAGTTTCTGGAGATTATGGCGCTGGTCGGCATGGCGAGCAAGCCACTTCACGTCAGGAGGCTCCAGAAAGCTCTGCAGGAATGGCTCACTAATCCTTGTAAAGTACCATTTATATGCTACGCAAATTTTGAATTTTATTTAGAAAGTATTATCGCGTAAATTTCGACTTTTATCATAAAATTTGAAACTGAAAAGTTTGATATCAAAAGACGCTGAGACAGATCCATTTAAAAAGTGATGTGTTATACAAATTATAGATTATCTAATTCACGATAATGATATAATACGCGATTTGAAAACTGTGCTTGCAGAAATGACCTATATTTAAAATTAACAAAACACAGATTAATATACCATATATTAACTGAGAAATAAGCTCTATAATAAATTATATTTTTTCTCCACTTTAAAAGTAAGAGAATTATATATCGATTTTTTTGAAGCACGTTTCTTCAAATTTCATAATTTTACGAAATTCAAAATTTTTACATCAATAGTAAATATATCATATGTAAGAAATTTATGTCTAACGAAATGTGACATTTCGCAGCATTGTTTCAAACGCCAGTCGTGCCGACGAATGCCGCTGCCAAAAGTCCCGTCGCCGTCACCGTCGGTTTCGCGTGTGCGAGCCCGCGGTCGCAGATGCAGAGCCTGCCGACCAGTTTCACCGCAACTTCCCAGACTTCTCTGATGTCCATGCCCTATGTAACGACGACGCCTCACGTGCCATTGACGCCGTTGCCTTGCCGAAGTGCCAGTCCGGTCGTACCGGTCACCAGTGTGTCCGTGCCGACGCCTTCCACGACCTTTCGCCAGAGTCCGAGCCCAAACACCTCTTTACCTTACACGACTACGCACAGTCCAAATGTGTTGCAGGTGAAGATTACTCTTTCTTTAATCAGGAAAGCAATTGGCAAGAAATGAATCATCATTGACCGACCGATGTCGATGGCGTGACATTGATTGATCTAAGAAAAATTTGATTAGTCGCACTTGGTGCGCATTCATTCAATTTTCTGTATTCGGTTGATTTTGAAAATTTGATGCAGAAAATTTAGCGATTAGTGCATCCAATAGAATCCATCATAATTGTTTTGAATCTCTACCTATAGTCTTATATAAATCAAGTATTACGAATTATTAATAAAAAAAAACTTTAACTAATTTCAATTGTGTATGTGATAAGTGTTGAATTAATGAAAGTGATGCTGAAAGAAAAGGGAGTCTAGAATCTCTATTTTAAAAATAATTTCAGCAATTGATTTGTCGGAGATCTCTTTAAACATTTATCTTATAGTCGAATATAATAACCAAGAAATCTGTAGTTATATAGTATTTTTCAACGAATTTGTTTTTGTTTTATACTGCTAATCTTATATAATCTTATTTTATACTATCAATCTTATATAATCTTATTTTATACTATCTTATATAATATTATTTTATATCGTGTCACTAGGTAGGAACGTGCGAATCTTCGTGCGGCAGCGGCACGACGCCAAGCCCGAGTGGCGGTGGCGGAGGCGGAGGCGGCGGTGGAGGCGCACCTGCGAGCCCGACGCAGCCGACGCCAACCCTCCTGCAATCGCAGGTGCAACGGCTCGCCGAAGCTGCGGAGAGGCTCGTCGCTACCATAAGGCCCCTTGATCCTAAACCCCACAACGTGAAGAAAAAACTCTGCAAGAACTTGGAGGTGAATTCTAAACTGGCGGCGTGCTTTCAGGCGTATTCAAAATACAAAATGAATCTTCTAGACTTTCTACGAACGATTATTGGTCTTTAAACGCTAAACGTTACATTCGCTAAAGAAAAGCGTGTCCTGATTGTATGCTCTAGACAATAAGCGCGCTTAATAAGTTTACTAAATGATAATGTTCGCGTAATTTAATTACAAATTTTAAAAACTGTTAAAGATATATTTTAAAATAGCAAACTGTACTTTTCGAATGTATATATTACAGATGGTAATGACAATGTCTGACAGTGACCCGCGCAAAATGGATGAAATTCGAAAGTACGCGGCGATTTACGGTAGATTCGACTGCAAGAGAAAGCCGGAGAAACCGCTCACGTTGCACGAGGTATCTGTGAACGAAGCGGCGGCGCAAATTTGCAGATTCGTGCCTGCCCTCCTCACCAGGAGAGACGAATTGTTTCCTTTGGCGCGTCGTGTGGTCCGTGATTCCGGCTACCATTATTCCAAAAGTCAATAGTAAATATCATAGATTTATATAGACTTACAGGGAAATCTATAAATTTCATATTTAACATTCAAACTTGTGATTTCAATCATTGAATAATATTTGTGATTCAATATTTATGATTTATCTAAAAGATCTATCAAGCCTGAGGACTTCAGAATACATGTTTACTGATTAAATATCTCAGAATGTAAATTGATGTGTATAAAAGTGTATTAAAAATTTATCACGTAGCTTTGTACCAATGTTTGCAGCTTGTCAATGTTGAAATCACGCGAAAACGGGGAGGAGACCGATAACGTTTCGAAACGCCGTAAGCTCGAGCTGGAGGGTGAGGGTGAGGACGCGACGCAGGTTAGATTATCTCGGCCACAGAAATAGATCGCTCACTGTGCATTCGTCTACCGCGCCCGCATGGTCGCTAATCACTAACCGTACGCTCGTCACGTAGAGATCGTCACGCATTAACCATCCGCACTTACTTGTATATGCGCAAAACAAAATGGATGCAAAAGGTCAAAAAAAGGTCAAGTATAGTTGCAAATGTGTGTGCATGGCTTGCGCCTCGACTTGATTGAATCGAAATCATCGTGATTTGTTTGCTGTAGATCGTAGTAAAGATCTACTTTAATTTTTATTATTTCATATAATTGGCAATTTTGTATAAATTATAAAAAAAGATACATATACACTTGCGCACGCACATACACATACACATACAAGCTTATGAATTTATTTATTAATATTTTAATATCCTCGCTAAAGAATTGACTGTAAATATCACGAATAATAGTTTCATGTTTCTTTTTTTATTTATTCTTGATCTCTGTTGTTCTATTATAAATGCAATTCTTTTAGTATATAAATCGCGGTTTCTATTATGACTTTGCAGTTTTTGCATGTGCTTGCACTAAATTGATATTTGCTTAAATAAATACGTAGATATGTAATAAAAAATTCTCAGAAACGCATGGAATTTTTGAAAAAAGGTCTTTTCTATATTACATATTAATTTTGTTAGATCCGATAATAGAAATATTCAGTTAGTACACATTATAATATCCAAGGTTAACTACTTCGACACGACTTGCTTGGATTCTATGCTTTGTACCTGGTATCCCAAGTTGTGTTTATCTACTTATTTATAACTTATCTATCTATAACTAATCACATGCTTACTTGTGTTACTCCGTATTTGTCCGTATCTTCGATCTTCTATTATATTCCCCTCTTTCTTTTATGAATCAAATTTGCTATTTCTACTGTCTATAGCAGTTCACCGTTTCAGGAGGAGTTGGATCTCCGTTGTTCCGGAACGGACATTAATAATTCCATCACGAGAAGACACAGGTCGTCGAGGTGATTATTCTTAGTTTAGTCCTTTCTCTGTATTAAAAGTAATTTAAAAAATTAATAATAAAATAATACAATTACGTAGTAATTTAATAGTAAACATCTAAACTAGAGGTAAAAGTATTAAAGAAATCTTGTCAAGATATTTTGTTAAAAAATTATCACATTTCTGAAAGAAATTATATTATATACCCAGCAAACACCAAGTAACATTTATATAATTGTTAGTTGTAATTTCTCACTCAACAATATAACTGTTACATGTTATGTAACAGTTATATTGTTGAGTGGGAAATTATAATTAATAGTTATTTAATGTTTGTTGGGATATATATATATATATATATATATATATATATATATATATATATATATCTTCCTAGTTATAGTATTATTTTCCAATTCAGTTTGTATGTAATAAGTATGTATTGATGTTCAGATATTGGCAATGTTTCAGTCCAGTTTGGAGGAAGAAGAATAACAATGGCATATTCAGTGCTAGCGTGGAGGAAATTAGCGATTCGGACAGTCAATTCTCATTTTCTAACGAGGAATCTTCATCTATGCATGTAAATATAACGTTAATGAAATGAATTCTATCTATACTGTCTAAACTTTCATGTGCTAAAAATTTCTAAGGTAATTAGAAATGTAATATGCTTGTATTTTTCAGGATACAAACGAGGCAGAGGCTGAAAACACCGATAAAGAAGGCGACTTTAATCTAAAGGTGAGCAGGCGATTTAAAATTCTCGTTTTTTTCATCATTTTTTATCTTTTGTTATTCTCTCTTGGACATTAAAAAAACTGAAAAAAAGGAAAAAGAGAAAAAAACTCTAAAATGCAATCGAACAAGTTTTTTTGTTTGCTTCTTCTTATTATCCTTGAATAATAATGTACGATGAAAAAAAAACTCGCTGTATGCTCGTTTATAATAGAAGAGATAGAGATAAACATCGGCATTTTATTTATCGTGACTGTTGATTACGAATAAATTATGCGTAGGTAATAGCTTCACGCGGAGATAACATAATTGCCGTGGCGAATCCTGCATTAATGGAATGCAGTCATCCTGTAAAGGAGGAGCCCGCGGACGAGAAATCCACACTGTGATATTACTTAGCGTTATTTACTGCCGCATTATTGACGTCACGACGGCTGGTCCTGCTGATTATTGTCGTCATCACGATCATCATTTGCGCTGAAATACGTATTTCATATGTTATCAAATAACAATAGCATTCATGACATTTGCTGTAATTATGAGACTTATTCGCTAGAATTTTCGTTCTATGTGATCGCGATCTTTCTCTTCAACGTGACTCTTTGCGTTTGTTTCGAATGATGTGAGAAATGTTTATAATACTGCCTCTCTGTTATTTGATTCTAGCGAAATATAAACAAAATTGTATAGCGATTATGAATGTTTATAGAGAAAAAGAATGACAGGGAAAAGATGATAGAAAATAAAAATAAACCGTTTAAATCAAAAGATTGACTGAAGTATATGGTATTATAAAATGTATATCGTAAGAGTAAATATGTAAATATATATATATATATATATATATAAAGATCTTTTTTTATGCGTCTCTCATTGTGTATAATTTTATTTAAAAATATTTTAATCAGTATTATTAATTTATGTCACGCATATACCAACTTTATTCTTACATTTATGTATATATAATCATTCGATTATGGCTTGCCAGCTTTTATTCGCTAAATCGGAATTTTTTAATTCTCAGAATTTCAGCTCGAGAGAGTAAACTTTTATCAGAAATATATATCTTCCAATTAAAATCTCTCTGTACATGAACGTATTTCAAGTAAAACGCAACTTTTTAGGGAAAGAATAGGAGAAGATATTTTTTGAAAAACAAAATTAGCGCATACCTTCCAATAGTTGCAAATTTCAATTGTCGTTGTCGTGTATGTACTGGCGCGAAATAGCTGCGATGCGCGGGAGCGTCCCGACGTTGCGATTAGCCACAGCCAATTATATCGACTATGCCTAGAGTAACTAGCAACGATTGACCAATCAGAGACTTTTATTTTGAATTAGCCAATTGGCGACGTGGTCAATCGAGCGCCACTCGCGATGCGCACGCAAACTATTTGCGCATGTGTCATATGATTAGGAGCGTTCCATTTGACCACGTTGCGATTAACCACAGCCAATTATATCGGCCTGTGCCTAGGGTAACCCAGCAACGATTGACCAATTAGAGAGCTTACTTTGAATTGGCCAATTGGCGACGTGATTAATCGTGCCACCCACGTGATTTGCCATTCTAGAGAACTTGATCCTATTCTAGTAAGATAGCAGTTAATTGACCAATCAGGACAAAGAAACCTTTCCCATTGGTAGGATTTTTGAACGCATCTAACGACGATGAGTCATAAGTCACGTGATTTGGAGATAACAAATTTGACGAATGGTAGGAGAAGGAAAAGTGGAGAAGATAAGGAGAAAAACGGTTGAAAGCGTTTGTGGTGTGAGATAAAAGTGTGACATAAAATTACGCAAATTCACATTAAATTTCACGAATGATCGCCAAACGAAAATATCGCAGAAGAATAGTTAAATAAAGTTTTTTAACATTTTAAACAACGTAAGTAGATCTTTGTGACTTGACGTCATCATCTTAACCTGTAAAGATCCCAACATAGATAAATACATTCTCCATTGAATCGTCGGTTTGTAAAAGTAATATTTGGTTCACGATTATCCAATTTGTTAATGTAAGTATACGAATACAGAATAATTTATTATAAAACATAGTTGACAGGATTATAATGGGATTATAGGATATTATTGTGTTGTAGGTAAAATATTCGGGAATATTTGGGAAAAATTTTGTGCCATGATTAATTGAATATTTGTAAGCTGTAGGATTTTGAGCAACTAAATAAGTGAATTGGAAATGATGATTAATAATTTTCTGTTTACTTTCTCATTTTCTTCCTTTTTCATTCAATATTTAAGGCTGGTTTATAGAGGCCGTAACTGTTAACTTATGCCGGAAGCGGTAAAGTTCAATATTGGAATTTCAATGCTTTTGTTCACGCTTTTAGCGTGAACAAAAGCATTGAAATTCCAATATTGAACTTTACCACTTCCGGCATAAGTTAACAGTTAGACTGATGGCAGAGAATTAGATGTCTGTCGTAGTTGTAGACGTAAAGTAAGGCAGAGAAAAACGTATGTCGTACGAGGCCATTAGCCCCGTTCTACAATGAGTCGTAAGTCGTAAGTCATAGGCAAATTGACCAACCATAGTCGATTATTTAAAAAATATTATTTAAAAAATAATCAACTATGATTGGTCAATTTGCCTACGACTAACGACTTACGACTCATTGTAGAACAGGCCTTATGACAATGGCCTTATACGACATACGTTATTTCTCTGTTTTACTTTACGTCCACGACTACGACAGACGTAAACGCTGACGTCTAGTTCTCTGCAATCAGCCTTACGGCCTGTATAAACCAGTCTTTAATTATCTTATTTTAAGAGTAGAGAAAGAGTGTTTGATTGCAACTTTTTTATGAAAAGAACGAATCCTTTCAACAACATTGTAATATATGTATTGATGTATTTCAGCAAGTAGATTCCCTCTTAGTAACAAATTCTTAAAATTTCCTAATGTATATTTGTTTTGCACATTTATGTGATTTTAGCGCTTACATTTATAAATGCTATTTCCTTTGGTTTTTGAGTGCTTATATAAAAAATTGTTTATTTTGGTATTATAAGCACAGTATATATATATATGTCGGATTAGCAACAGGATAAATATTTTTAAAAGATTAATTAAACAATTGTATTACTAATCGTTTTACTTCATCAATATAATATTATAACAGAAGATTATGCTCCACTTAATTTACGTTTTATTATTTATAATTATATAATGGACACAATAAATTCTCTTGAGCATGCAAGAATTGTATATGTGCAAATAAGAAATTATATAATTTTAATATCTTTTGGAGAATTGTACTTTTATGTTAAAATGTTGTACCATATATTCATCAATCTTATTATTTCTATTTCTTAAATATTTTTAAAATCATATTCTTTCTTGAGTATTAAATATCGATAAAAATTTACTCGATAACTACAATAAATATAATATTCTATAATATTCTATGTCATATGTTTGTAATGGAATGATTATATTTTAATTATAATTTGTTTACATAAATATGTTATAGATGGATAGCTCTGACGACGAATTATTTAATGCCTCACCAAGTTGCAGTAAATCAGTAAATACAAGTTTAAATTTGGCACCGAAGCAAACAAATGATTTGGTGCAAGATTCAATTAAAGAGAAAGATTGTAATAATAGCCTTATCAAAGACATTTCAATAAAGATTCCACGTTTATCAAATGAAATAAAGATAAATAATGAAAAAACAAGCACAAACTTAAGAAAAAGAAAAATAAAACGCAATATGTGGAAATTTGGAAGATATAGACATAAAAAGAGAAACACTTCAAAAAAATTTTTGACTAAGCCTCAAAAGGAGGAATCTACTACTGAAGTTAGTATGGAATTAGAAGATAAAATATATGACAATGCTCATTTGTATACACAATCACAGGAAATAAAAGAGAAGTCATGTGTAGCTCAGGATGTACAAGATATTCAAGATACACAAGAGAATGCTGAAAATCTTACTTTATCAACATTTGAAGCACAAAATGAAAAGGAGGACTTGTGTATTGATCAAACATATATATGTGCACGTGTTTTGCCATACAGGTTTCATCAAAAGAATAATGTGACAACATCCAACAATACTACTGATATAATTGCACATTACAATTTTTCTTCGTCATCTTCAAGCACAAGCACAGAGAAGAATTCAGATTCTGATAAGATTTATCAATATTATTTGTTTACTGAAAAATACAAATCCAGACAACGTGCTATGGAAAAGCTGAATGAGTGGAATTCTAAAAGAAAAAGGTCCTCGTCCATATTGTTTGATCAGCCTCGATTCAAGAGAAAACGCTGTCGAAGAATATCAGATGAATCTGATAACGAAATTGCATTTGAAAGTAATGTGAAAATGATTGGAGATGATAATCCAAATAAATCTTACTCATCTTATGAAAGGATGGATCAAGAAAAACCGCGACCGAATATACAGATAAGTCATGAAGCGCGTATTATTTTAGTGAGATTAGAAGAAATGAATGATATAGATGTTATTAAATGGCGAGCGAGTAAAATACAAAACGCTTTAGAAAGGATTAAATCTCAATCAATAAAAGAACAATTTGACAAACGAGAACAAGTGACATTAAAAGCCAACAAAATCACTTTGTCAGATAATTGCAATTTCTTGGAAACACAAGATATCCAAGATCTGTCACAAAAGTCAATAGTATCCAGCACTTATGTTGAGAAACATTGTCCAGCGCAGTTGAGCGATTCGTTGAATATGACAAAATTAAGAAAGAAATACAAACTATTCAAGAAACCTAAAGTTTTGATAATAAAACTGGAAACTTTAAAGAATTATTCCGAAAATGGTAAATATTCGGCAGTCGAGATCGATCGTCTAACAAAGAAATATATAAACTTTGTAATAAGCTCTTCTTCATCCAAATCTCGCGAATCATTATTCTATGGACTGGCAAATTTACAAAGAAGAAACAAAACAGGTATGAACATTACTTGCATGGAAAGTGATAATATAAGCTACAGTTTGTCTGGTGGACAAAGTATGAATAAAAGTTTCAAACAATCGGATATAGATGAAAATTTAATAAAAGGTACTAATTCTCTTCCAATTTTATGCCAATTTTTTTTTTCATTAAAAATATTAATTATAATATGTCTAATATTATCTCAAATATATGTTTTTTTGTAAAACTTTGGTGTTTTGTGTAACATAACTGAAAAGATTAGATTAGAGCTAATAAAAATTTGACATCATATTAATATTTTAAAATTTCATGTGAGTTTCTTGAGAAATTCTTTCTTTAAAGATGGGTACACATAAAAATATATTTTAGATATTTTACAATAAATTATTGTAGAATGTTTCTTTTATATATTTTTTAAACCTAGTTTAAACATAGTTTTTCAATCAATTTTGAATAGATTTTTTATTTAAAATTATAAAAATATTAAAAATAAATGTTCGAGATACAAAAAAATTGAAAATAGAGTTTTTTTTCAAAACTAAATTTTAGAGAAATAGATAAATAATATTGTGTCATTTATTAAATTTCAAGTAAATATTTCAGTTTGATTAAATTTTAATTTAAAAAAAAGACGCATTAAAAATTAAAAGAAAGAGAATCTTCCTTGACAGAGTAATCTATATATTATAACTATTATTTAAAAAATATTACAATATTACAAAATATTACATATAGACAATAATTTTATGCAATAATATTAAGTGACATTGATTATATTCTTTCTTATTGATTATATTATTTGATTAATTTTTTCATTGATATATTATCTATGATTTATTAACATTTATGTTTAATTTTTGCAGATAATCAAGTTATGAAAAATAGCAGCAACGAGAATGCTTCAGTTAAGTTTGCGTCTACCTCTAGTCAAAATCAATCTAAAACTTTATCATCAAAAACATCGAAAAGCAAAAATATGCCACAAAAGACGCTATTGGAAATATGGCGAAATGCATTTTGTACAAAGAAATCTCTGAAGAAATCGCAAGAAACAAGTGCCGAGCAATCCGGTTCTGCACAATCGACATCAGAAAAAGCAATTTCTATTTCGCGAAACTCGCCAAAAAAATTGGCGGACGCGGAATATAAGAACCCATTTTCTAGTTCTTTGGCTTCCACATCTACATCTTCCACAAAAAATAATACGTTAGTAAAATCACCTGGAAAACATGTTTCGCCGAAGAAACAAGAGCTATTGCAATCGACAAAATGTAACAAGACATCTAAATGTGAATTATTTACCAAAACTAGTTTTCCAAGTAATGCGAGAGTTGAAGAAACTATTACTAAGGATGATTTTCTTCAATCTTCTTCAATGTCTTCTAACAAAACTATTTCCAAAAATTCGCGTAAAGATATTACGGAAGAGAATATTAAGGTATCAGATTCTTCCTTGAATAATTTAAGCAAGAAGGTTTTGGAGAAACCGAGCAATCTTCAATTGTCAATCAATACGACTCCTACAAAAATGTCGAAAACTTCAAAAGTATACAACATTAATCAACCATGCAAAGATAAATTAAAGTGTATTATATGTGATATGTTGTTCGAGAATTACCGATTGTTACAAAAACACATAGCAACTAATTCATGTAAAAAAGTCACGAATTCTGCACTTAATGCATTGAAAAACACGCAATTCACGAATAATGAGAAAATAACAATGCAGAAAATTTGTCAAGATGGAAATAAGAATTCAAAGTCATCCATGTCGCAAAATTCTTCTACTAATAATACAAGTGACTTTTCCAAATCCGATCAAACTCTTAGTAATACCGATAAGGAAATTATTTCATCACAACCATCTTCGCCACAATCAAGTGGCAAGAAAATGAAGGATAAGCACTTATGGACGCCGCAAACGAAAGCCAAAAAATCAATTGCAAAAACAAACTCTAATTTAAATCTGGGATCGCGAGACGAATCGGGACCTTCAGAAAATCAAAACTCCCATAGCGTAAGCAGCAGTAAGGGAAAGCGATGCACAATTTGCTTACGATTTTTTGATAACTATCTGCAACTATTCGAGCATATGAATGAACATTTGAATAATTCTATCAAGAATACATCAATCAAAAATACTTCCACACATCAAACGACTGACAAAAACAATCGTCAAGTCTCCAATACTTTAATAGAAGCAGAAGCAGCTACTAAAAAGACTAGAATTGATATCAATGTGCTAAAGAAAGGATTACTAAAGAAAATGAACGAATCAAACACGGATCAAAATCGCACTGCTTTAGAAGTGTCGCAATGCGATGTAGCTAAGGAGAGAGACAAAACATCGAATTTATTACAAGCAGAGATGAAGCAAAAAGAACAATCGATACCTACAGATAATGACGTCGAAAACACGATAGACAGAATTCGATATGTGGAGAGAGAAGTATGCGACACTACATCTTCGAAATCTCCATCGAAACTGATCTGCGAGTGTCACAGGCCCAAGACGGTCAATAAGAATGCTAAGGATGTTCAGATTGAGATAGTGTTGTTGTGTGAAACTTGCCAGATACTGTTTCGACGCTTTGAGTGCTTTGAGAGACATAGCCAGCGTGCCCTTACTGCGTCTTGTGGCAGGAATCGACGATGCAACAGGACACCCAAGTTGTTGTGTGCCACCTGCCAGAAAACGATGAATTCTATCCAAGATATGCAGGCCCATCTGGCAATGCATACCCATCTGCACAAAAACCTACAATTTACTTTTCTCTGCAATATATGTAAAGTACTCTTCTATTCGCAAGGACCTCTATTCAATTACCATTTCCATCATCATGTGAAGAATCGATTGTTTTTAGCTAGTAGTTTGTCATTTCCGACAAACTCCTATGTTGGCAAAAAACTCATCGATACGCTGTCAACCGACAATGAGAAACAGATGGAAGTTTATACACAGGTAGCTGATTACAAGTGTCAAGAATGCAATATACCTTTCATTTCGGAACAAGATCAGAAGTCGCATGAAGCACTCTGGCACAACGCTAATGCCAACGATAATGCATCTTCGGATGGTAAAAACGCGAATTTGGCTGAAAAGATTTTGCTGATATGTGGATTTTGTAATAAGACATTTTACAAGAAGGAGCACTTTGAGCTGCACTCGTTGGAACACAAACAAAAACGAGACCTGCACTCGCATTACTCTTGCGTGGCCGTTACCGCGATTACGAAGGTGTTCATCTGCAAAGTGTGCACGACCATGTGGATGTCTTTGAAAAATTTCGAGGAACATTGGCTAACGCATGAGAAACTACAGGAAGACTATATATGTTCTCTCTGTGAGAATCATTATAACACCATTGATTTATTTCAAGAACATCTAATTGAGCACAAGAAATATTGTAATGCCGAAAAACAACACGAACCGATTTCGTGCAAGGTGATTTATCGCGATTGGGACTTTGAGACAAAATTGCAGAATATTGCTAGGAATCTACCTTCTACGAGTTTGAGTTCCTCTGATGGAAAAGACTCTTCTGAAAAGACTATTGCAAATGATAATCTGATTCAAAAAGAAGCATTAAGGACTTTTAGGAAGCAAAATGTGATTAAAAATAAACAATTAACAGAAGCTAAGACGATGATTTTGCAGAATTTATTGTTAAATCAAGAAGACACAGGCAAAGAGATGCAAGCTATCAGGGACACAAATGCCCAGCAGAAGCCGCAAATTCCCTCGCTCGAAGTGACGAAATCGAAACAAACAATGGGAAATGGCAAAGGGTCGAATAGAGTAGACGAGAAAAGTAAGAATAGCAAGAATAATTCGGACAGTTTCGATGATTCGGAAGAGGAAGAGCTGAAAATAGTGATGTCGGAGAGCGACGAAAGTTCAATGTCGGGCGAGATCAGAAAAGCCGGATCGAGCAAGTCCGATGATGTGTCTTCCACTAAACAAAATGACGCGCAAGAAAACGCTACATCCAATCCTATCATATCTGTCTCTGGTGAGCAGAGACAATGTTCCAATGATTCTCCAACTAAAGATGCTTCTGCAAAAACTTCTGGTGGAGAAGAAAAGGTAGTAAAGATACATCCAAGACGTAATAAGACTTTGAATTCAAATGCTAAAGTCAATTCGACGACTTCGAATTCAGATGCTAAAGTCAGTTTGACGAAAGACCCTGTAACACAGCTCGAAACAAATTCAAATGTTTCACAAGTTAACGAAACAATTATTGATCGTACGAATATTGTGAATCCAACCACGACAACACGACGAGCCGACAATACGGACGAGAATAACGCAGATAGTGATTCGATGTCTTCAAGTACGAAATCTACCAAAGAAAAAACCAACAACACATCGTTGCCGCAGAACATCATGAGCTCCATACCTGTCACGTTTAAGTCTCTTTTACGTGTAAAGACCTTGGCGGAATTAACGCAGAACTATCTGTGCCATATATGCGGTCTATTCTTCGATGATTTGCACAAATTGGAAAAGCACAAGTCGGTGCACATCGATCAAAACCATCAGAGTGCCGATCAAGCGTATCCGACCACGTCCAATAATGTGCAAAAGGAAGAGAAGTCGAAGTTCAATCCCTCGCATACAACACAAATTCAACATCATGTTTCTCATTCGGTGAGGACGGGCAATGCGCCTCTACCTGGAAACGCGCCTGCATCCGGCAATGCGCCTTCTTCCGGTAATGCTCCTTCATCCAACAACGCGCCTCGACCCAACAACGCGCCTCAACCCAACAACGCGCCTCGACTCAACAACGCGCCTCAACTCAACAACGCGCCTCGACCCAACAACGCTCTTCAACCCAACAACGCGCCTCAACCTAACAACACGCCCTCATCCAATAACGTGCTTCTTTCATTCAGCAGCGTAAATCCATCTGACAATTTGACTCCATCCGGCACTGTGGCTCTATCTGGGGGAATACATCTACCTGGCAGCGTGCATCCATCTGGCAATCCATCGAATCGTCCATTAAATCGACTAATCAATTTCAACGATTCTCGACAATATCAAGTAGCCGGAGTAAAACCATTGCACAAAGTCGCGACGACGAACAAGATAGTGAAACCGAATGAGGCACAGCAGTACAATCAGTCGTGGAACACGTTGTTGACTAACCCCCTTGTCACGCTGCAGCAGCTAATTCCACAGAAGCAGATCTATCATCAAAACTTACCGCCTCAAATCGCTTATCCGATAAACACGACGGTTCGACCTGCCCACCAGAACATTGGCACCGTAGCGATTAGACCGTTTATGCAAACTATTCAAGTCCAATCCACATCAACATCATTACCATATTCGCAAACTATTCAAGTACCTACATCTGCACCATCATCGTATCCGCAGCAGCTTCAGCAGTTTCAGCAGCAGCAGCTTCAGCAGCAGCAGTTGCTGCAGCAGCAGCAACAACAGCAGCAGCATCGTCAACAACAACAACAACAACATCACCAACACCAACAGCAGCACACAAGCATCGGCAATAACGCTAGTAGTTATCCAATATTGTCCCAAAAAAGCGTGCCTTACCAATTGGCGCCGAATACTGGAGTAACAGTAAACTCGGATAACGCAATGGTTATGAAGATAAACACAATGTTGCAGGTGTCGCGAAATCCAGATCGTTATATATGTATATACTGTCCAGGTTTCGAATGCAATTCCGTGGAAGATTTTGCATTGCACAAACAGTCGCCAAAGCACGAGGCACAGAGTCATTATAACAATATGTCTTATAACACTGTATCTCGAACTTAGAAATGTCGATAACGATGGGATAATTGAAGGATGAATGAAACGAATTAATCAATTTGTTACTCGTCGATACGATAGTTAAAGTTTTAATCTTAAAGTTTTTCTCTCTAGCAAGTAACGTCCCGGAACACTGACAATTGATTTTTTCGGCCGAAAATAAAATTCTATTTTAACTGATGGTTGTATTTGAATCACACGATATTGATGAGACTGATTGCAACTAAGTCAATTTTCAATTTTTTCTCTCTTTCTCTCTATTCAAAAAGTCTCTATTTATTCTTTGAAACAGGTGTTTTCAAATTAAAATCAAAAAGTATATTTTACAATTGCTTTTCATATAGTTGCATATATGTTTAAACTTTAACAAAAATGTTTCGATACATGTCCTTTCTATAAACTTTTTATTAAAAATCCTTATTTTTATTCTTACATTAATTTTCATTATAATTAATAATGTATATATGAATGTGATAACGCAAAGATCGTAGTGTTTATATTTTATTGACTGCTGTTTATTACACTGGAATTTATCTTTCAAAGTAGATCATACAGGGCTCTTTGCATCATATTTGCATATTTTAACGAGGCTACCTTCATTCCTAATATATTTAGAATCGTGGAAAATATCGTTTCACTCGATTCCTCGTGAGATTTGCATAGAGATTTGAACATATATTTCTATACGCGACTGGACTATCATCCCTTTTCATATTATCTGGAAGGATTTAGCGCGTATAAGAGATGCAATAAATCATTAGCGATTAATCATTATCATCCGCACTCAATACAAATATTGTCACATGAAAAAATAAATTGATAACGAAAGAATTAAAAACGCGAGTTTCAAACATGAAACTTTAATATACTTTTTAATACACAATTTAACCAGAAGCGTGTGAATTAAAACTCATAAATTTTGATTATATTTCGCTACAAACTGCTTTATACGATAATATTTACGTATATAGTATCCTATGATACTGTAAAACACATACATACAATGTTTGATTTGAATCATTATTATGAGAAATTAAAAATATAATACAAATAAAAAATATACGAATATTCAATTAATTAAATGTAAATTATATAGAAACACACTTTTCTAATTAACACTTATGTTAATTAGAAAAGTAATTAATTATAGATTAAATTTTGAATAACATTGATTAAAAATTTGATTTTCCTAAAAATGATTTCAAATTAATGATCGTGATACTGTATAAGTTTAATAATATCTTGCAAATATTTAATTGCAATGTGATTGTAGTAAATTATCAAAACATCCGATATGTTTATATTCTAAATTCAGATCTATTTTTTGCACATGATTATAGCAGCAAACAATTAAGATTCCAATGTTATTCACTAACATTGTTGAATTATCAAAATGATGTAATTTTTTTTGCAAAATATCTCGAAATAAGTTAGTTTTTTCGTATAATGTTTCACTTACGGTTGATAGTATAGATTGAAATATTTTTCTGAACTCTCTTTTTTTGACTTAATAAATAACGGCTGTAAATATCCATTGTCAGTATTTCGATTTTCTCTGGAAATATAAAGAAAACGAAAGCAAATGAAGAATGTGAAATTTATGCATCACATGTGCACATTGTAATATAAAATAGGTCGTCTGATATCATTCAACATTTAATTAAATTATATTTTTAAATATTCACATATCCAAAATTAAAATTATAATTTTAAATATTAATATCGTTTTCATATATATAATAATTTTTGTTAGTGATAATATAATAAGCAAGAGAAAGTAGAATCTGATTATTTTATTTTAAGAATCTCTCTCCCTAGAAAATATATATTTTTAATGCGAATTTTCACATGCATATATAAATCTACGTATTTGTATTTCGAAAAATAACATTTACATACACATTAGAAATTGCACATTAGTAATTGTTATTTTTAAATTGCTACTGCAGTTTGTTAGATACTGTAATAATAGTTGTTATGATACAGTCATATTACAGTTATACCCAAACAATTCCTAGTATCATTGCAATTTTAACACATTCTATGAATTTGAACATAAATGTATGAATATACATATATATATATATACACATACATGCATACATACATATAGACACACACACACACACATATATATATTTTTTCGATGCAAATTATTTTAAAGAAACAATTATGAAGACATGTATTGTTTCAATAATGACTATGTGTGTATATTTTAATACATTGCGTATCAGAAATATGAATCGATATTTTTGGATTTTGAAGCGTTAAAATTCGGAGATAATAGGTATCTTTTGATATATTTTTATTTTCGTGCAGTTATTGTCGAACAAACTGCAATTGTTTTAATTAATATACAATTTGATGTTTTGAAGAATATACAAGAATTAGTCTTTCACAAAGCCCAAACAATTTTTAATGTAAGTTAAGTAAATTTTTCTCTTCTTTATATATAAATATACCAATTATTATTATCGAGTATTATCCGTATGAATTAAATGTTAACATCCTTTTGAATTATCAATATATTCTTTAACATTTTGTTGACTAAGACTGACTTCGAATTTCGAAGTTGTATCAAGTCAATTTAAAAACTCGTCCATCTATCATTAAGAAGTCACTCAATAATGATTATATAATCGTATATGTTTTTTTGTACTCTTTTTTTTGTCTTACAAAAAAAAAGAGAATAATTCTGCAATTTATAATATTTTATGTCACATTTATAATTTATATTTATAATTATAATTATAGAAAATCAATTTTTAATCAACTTTATTATTAATAATTCTTGAAAAGATTTTTAAGGCAATTTGCTTATTAATCATTATTTCAGAAAACAATAAAAAAGGAAAAAATGTATTTAATGATTAATTAAACATGTAATATTTAATACATAATATTAATTACGCAATTATATTTATTATAGTTTATTCCATAATTCTACAATTTCGATTTTTTCTATTATTTATATAATATTGGCGAAATGTGTGAAAATTCTGATTTAAATTAATTCAATTTTTTAATTTTTGCTATTGAATCTTCACAATAATGATATAAACTGTACTACTATAGTTAAATTTTTATGAATAATGAAAAGATAAAATAGTACATAATTAAAAGGGTGTTATTTCCTTCTTACATATAATAAATACTGTTATATTGCTTATATATATATATATATATATATATATATATATATATATATATACATACATACATATAAAACGAAAAAGGTTAATTAGTAATATGATAAGTCACAAAAGTATTCCTCAATTATAGAAAATTAATTATTTTAAAAAAAGTTGAAAATTTTTATTGTAATCTACATATTTCATTTAGCTATCAACATTTAAAAAAAATATCTAAAAATTATTTGTAAAATTGTAATTAAAAGGATATTTTTGTGACTTGCTTTCTGTTTCTATATACACACACATATATTATATATATATATATATATATATATATATATATATATATATAATATGTTACATAATTTTATATACAACTGATTATAAATAAAATTATCGGTGAAATCAGAACGAGATTTGCTTTTATAAATTGTTTGCATAAAGTAACTTATTCTTATCATCTTTTAAATATAAATGGTTCAAAATGTAATGTAAAATTAATCGACTACGTATATTTTTTACAATTGAAATTACTGCTTTGATGTTTTCCGTTGAGTTCTTAACAATTTCGAGTTCACAATTTATAACAATTTCAATTTCAGTTCAAAATTCATCATTAGCACAATATCATAATATCATAGATCAATTTTATAATTAAATATAATTAAAACCAACACAATTTGAATGAATATAAATTATAATTATATTACATACGGAAATGATTTTCTATATATTTGAATGTACGATAATCAGTTTGTTATATGCTTATAGAATTATGCCAGTATCTATTAATAAGTGCCGGAATTTATACTGATATCTATAATAATTTTATTTTTTCGTTTTAACTTTATGAGCGTGTGCTAATAAACTAAAAAAAAATTCATACACTTTCATACATTGAAAATTATTATATTAAATGTAGTGCTAATTTTGATTACTATTTCAAATGTCTAATATAATACATCTTATGTTATAATAAACATCTATTTAACTCTTTATTGAAACATGTGCTTGTTTAAATCTTAATTATCTCGTGTTGTTTTACATATATATAAATTAAGAAGATATAACGATTGTACACATACATATAAAATAAAACAAAATTATAAAAATAAAATATTAGGATATATATATATATATATATATATATATATATATATATATAAAATTGTTAAAATTTGAACCATTTGTCATTTTGGTGATATTTCAATTGCGTTTTAGAAATGTTAAGTAAGATAAAACGAATTAATAATATGTTGACCAATGATATAATTATAAGATATATGTACTTTTAAATAAATATTATTCTTGCGACTTCTTGCGTTCGTTTCCTTTATTCGATATTTTGAGCGACATTGTTCTTTACATTGTTCTTTACTTTAATAATGCGATCGTGACAAGTAATGATAACATTATAAAGATTGTTATTGTTTACGGATGACTTTTATGACGACGAAAATATCTAGAGTAAATACAACAAAAAAATTCGAAAGAATTTCGCAATAATTTTCATGAAATTTAATGAAAGTTTTTTTAGTAATTTCCTTTTTCTAAATAATAGTAATAATAATTTGTTCTTATTATATACACTGTAATGTTGACATATGTCAATAAGCACATTTCGCAACAAGAAACAAAATTATATCTATCATAAATAACTAATAATCATTAATAATCTAGCTTGAAAGAGAATCTAGACAATAATACAGATATAAATTTTTATATGCAGGATCACTGTCTGAGAAAGCATTGTAAAAAACACTAAAAAAATAATATTTAAAATAACGTAATATCAGATATATATTGTAGCAATTTGTAAAATAGAGATAAAGTAAATATATAGAATCAAATATATATATATATATATATATATATATATATATATATAAAATTATAGTGAATCAGCAGCAGTTTTAAATGAAGAGAGCAGTTTTAAATGAAGAGAGAAGTAGAGAGACGAGTAAATAAAAAAAAATTACATTTTTTTAGCACTATCTCAGCTAAGTTTTGTTTGTAATAAACATTCTTTCAAGTATATCTATTTTTTTGGAGCCTTTGAGATATTTTCATTAAAAATCATGAAAATTTGAACGAAAATCTTTTCGGAATTTTATTATGCACATATTGGACGTTAACTCTTTCTCCTGTCAATCTTACTGTCATAATGAACAATCCTTATATTAAGGCAAACTTACGTGACTATAACTTGTACATTAGCTGACCATATTCGCCGAAAGATTCAGAGAGCCAATCATACAATCAATAAGTTTTATTCGTTTTTTTAAATCTCTCATATATTTAATATATATATTCTCGCATTAAAAAAATTTTTTGATTTTTTAATCTTCTTAGAAAAAAAGAAATTACATGATTAATTACTAGTATGCGAATCAAAAAAGATTGCATTCGATATTAAATTTAATGTGTTAAATTTTAGGTTTAAATAATTTTAAATTTTCTACGTTATAAATTAATTGTCTTTCAAACATCGCGAAATTGAAATCTGAAATTAAATTGATTTGAATTTTATAATTGGATCCTCTTGAACGCATCATCGGCGAGGTCATGCCAATGGCATTTTCTTTATCTTACGCTTTGGCACATAATTCACGTTGCACAATATCGACTGCGTATTTATTTCCAAGACGAAAATACTTGTACGTACTACTTATTAATAATGTGTAATACATGATAGGTATAAATGCGTACAAATGCTATTTCTTACAAAAGCTCTTTGATGGTATGCATGAGCTTGAGGGAAGTATAATGCTTAAAGTTTCTAGAGGAAATAGATACAAATCCTAAATTTACTTTGCTATCTCTTATGCAAACATGAAGAATTATCATGTACCAGAACATAGATACTGTCACAGAAAAAATATACAATGAGATACCGTTTTGCGATATTGAAGAAAATGAATTCATAAATAGGATGTTATAAGAATGATGCTATATTAATTAAAATTAACTTTCTATTAATAATATTATTCTGAATAGTTATTTAAGTACTTATAACGAGATTATTAGGATTAATGATTTGTACATGATGGAAATAAGATTCATATAATTACGATTATCAAATTATTCTATCTTAAAGGACTAAATATCGTTACTATTTCACGAAGCCTTTCACGAGTCAATGAAGTCTCGTCGAATGCTCGTCCTTAAATTTAATAATACTGATGCAGGTATTCGATGTTTATCTTCTACATTCCGCTATTTTACATCGTTTCTATCTTTATAAAAGTACAGAGAGAGTCTAAAGAGCGATTTTTATTAAGTATGAAGTCTCACTCATTTTAAGTATTATGAAGGATCGTCTTGCGCTAATTAATTATTCATTTACAGTGACTAGATACAGTAGTCGCATAAGAATGACATTTAAAAAGAATATCAATGTATATCAATGTATGCTTTAGTTCACCGTGTTTCTCGCAGTTAACGTGTTTCCGTCAATTATTATTTACATCCACGCCTTTCCGATGTTAATAAAATTCGCTGTATATTTTTTTTCAGATCATAAATATTATACCTTTTTTACCTTACACGGAATATCTTTGCCGCCGTTAGAATTATTATTTGACACTACGTATTTCTTATTTGTAACAATTTCATAAATTGCTATTTCCGAAATTAATATAAATGATATAATTGTAAAGAAGGATTTATATATCATATATAAATTAATATTCTATACTTATTTTTTGCAGCGCATGGACAATATTTTATATATCATTATTTATGCGATATATATTTTCTTAGACAAACATGCTCCTCTATTTACAATTAAATAATCGTCTCTATAAATATTATTTTATTTTTCCCAGATATCAGTATTGAGCTCAAAGAAAACCGATTGTCATCTTCTAGCTAACGTAACATTGATTAATCCTAAGTATATATATATATATATAGTTTGCGTTTGTGTAATTAATTGTACAATAATACTACAGAACTAACAAGATATCGCATTGGTGGAAAAATATCTCGTACCTTCTTGTCGATATATAATAAATTTGCATGTGACACTCTTGGACGTTCCATTTTATCAACGATTTAAACTCCGTCTTTTTACTCGATGGAGCTTATGACGTTGTTTTTTTACGATTACATTTATCAAAGATCGTGCCTCTATTCTAATTAGACTAAAGATAGTATGTATGCCACTTTCATATGTATACTATACTCACAATCAGCGTCATAAGTACATCTTATCACATGAAATTTCTTTTAGTTTGACGTCGAGTATAAAAGTAAAGGAGGAAAATGGAAATATCTCTTTGGCATTGCACATTAAATTCAATGAAATGCTGAGATTATAATGTTTCAATTGACGAAACTTTGAGAAAATTTATGGAAATAACATGACAATTTATATTTGCATCTCTCATTAATCAAGATGCTTATGAAGTACAAGTATGTTAAAATATTTTTTAGTTTATCTCATTCTTGCCTTTAATATTATAATTCAAAATGTCTAATACAAGTGATGTTTATCTATTAAAAATTATTATTCTATTATTACTAATAATTAATTTGGGATTTATTAGAGATCTAAAGTTATTATATATAAATGTAAATGCGCGTGGAATTTTTTTCATTTGCATTACATACACACAGACATGTGTATATATAACATGTGTGTATGTGTACAAAACATTTACCATTTAATATTCAGTCGAGCCTTTTGTAATGAAACAAGATCGCCTGCTTCAATTCTTTTGTCCTATTCAAATGGAATATTGCGAAGTTGGAGATTTTCTATATGATTTGTACAAAATTGTTTACATTGTCTATAAACTATTGGTTCCATTATATAGTTATGTCAGTCTGAAGATTTGGTACGTAAAAATGGATATCTCCTGTGAGAACTCTATATAAAACACCATAACTTCTCATTAACAGTTACAATAGTTACAATCAGTATAAATGCTTAATCAATTAAATATCTTTAATGAAATCTAAGTAATGAAAGAATATGACTTCTTAAAAAAGGAACGTGTTTAGTATTATAATTAATTACATACAAACGCGCTATATGTGAAATCTAAATAAGTGAAAATAAATTTTAAAGAAAATTTACTTTCAAGCTTATAAACTTATACCATAGATGAATTTCTCATAATTCGTTGTAATTCATCTAATTATTGCAAGGAATTTTAATGTCTATTTATTTCGAAATTATTTAAAAGAAGCAAGTAGATAAAAGTTGTATATACGACAATATTACAGTTTTTCTATTTTAAAGTTATATTAATACTATAATTATATAGTGTAATTTAATTTTTACAGTGCAGTTTAAGCTATCGATTGATTTGCTTCATCAAATATTAACTATTGCATCGTTAAATTGACAATGTGAGTATACAATATACGAATATACAGGAATAATGATACTTGTAAAGTAATTTACATAAAAATGATATATCTCCTTCATCTACTTGATCTATCATGATGACACGATAAATCCTTTCATGAAATTTTTACAATAATAATTGTATCGATAAATAATATAATAAATGTTTGAATTGATGAAATATATAATAAAACACAACATAGCAACAATAGAACCCATGTTTAGTCTTATGTCATGTAAGTCTCATAATTTATGAATTGATACAAGTATACAAATATGAAACACAAGTCTTTGACAAGACTTTTTAATAAAACGTTCAAGATTCTGTCAAATAATATGATACTTAACATTTAATCGAGAGATGCTTATACTATGTATATATATTTTTATGTAAATTTATATACAATAATCTTTTTTAGAAAAGAGCAAATAAAATGGCATACGAATAAGCGCATCGAAAAGATGACAGGATGGGTTTTATGATTGTCTTTCGTGTTTTCCAAGAGAAAAGAGAGAATATTTTGTGTTGTGAAAAGAATAAGAATGGATCAGTAAAATATTCAGCGAAAAAACTCTGGCAAATTATCTTTTTTCACAAATATATTCTTATCTCAATATATTCTTCTTAATTGTTAACTTTATTTTGAGAGAATCTTTTAGAATAGAAAACATGATATTGAAATCTGAACTAAATGATAAATTAATCATAGATTGATACAAAAAAGATTTATCGTATGTGAAATATCGATAAAATTACACACAATTTTGACATAATTCGTATTAATTAAAATAATCATTGTATTGCTTTCTTTAATAATTTTTTAAATTTAGAAAGAAGGAATGCATTTTTAATAATTAATAAATATATTTATAAATATATATTATTAATAAATGTATTTATAATTAAAATGTAAATTAAATAAAAATAATACATTTTTTTAAATCTCTTGTTCACGAAAAAATCCTTATTCTCAATTTTATATCTTTTGAAGTGACTAAACTACAGAAAAGATTGAAAAACGACAAAATTTTTAATCAAGCATATATAATATTAATTTCGATCTTTTTAGAGATTTAAAAAATGTCGCTTTTAGAATGAAAAATCCTATGTTACGTTTCTGCTTTAGAACCTGCTAATAGCTTCGTCATCGGTGACGAAATAATTGGAGCTCTTAGCAGCTGAACTATACATGCTATAAGTAGGGCTGCAGACAATCATGCTATTCGTGTTACTGAGTTCGGTTTCATTCGTCACCGATGAATGCCTGCCGATGGTGGACAGTCTCTTGTCTTTCTTCGCCAGTGTCATACGACAATCCTCTGGTCTTAACGGCATCGACGGATAATTGGGCTGTCTGGCGAGCGTCGTCAGTGTTCGGTCGCCTGTGTCATTGAAACTGCGCAAACGTTTGAGAGCAAGATCGGAGAGAGTGTTCGATAATCGAAACTTTTAGCGGACGCCGAATCAATTAAATTGTCTATTTTATTTTTTATTAATGCATGTATGAAATTATATTCGTACATATTTCTATTATGATTGATATTTTTTCATTTATAACATGCATAGATATGCATGGGTTCTGTATAAATCTTCGAGAATTTCTCAAAAAATACAGTAAATCTCAAAAAGAAAATATTATAATCTTCATTATGATGGAAATAATCCTTTTTTAATTGTAATAGTAAATAATAATAAAGAAAGTATATAGATTTAAAAAATAGAATAATATAAAAAAAGAAAATAGATTTAAAAAATAGAATAAATTAAAAAAGGAAGATTTATATTTGTCTACTGCAAAAAGACATTGTATCTCGTCTTTTCTCATAGATACCTGTGATGTCGTACGATGCCTCTCTTTATCTTACAATGCTCGTTCCCACTCTGCCCTTCAGTCGCAGTTCCATGGGTTTTGCATGCTTCTACTCCCATCGATGGTACGGGAGATAGAGAACCTGGACCATACGAACCGCTGCTTTGTCTCCTATCCAGAATGTTGACTAATTCCACGGACGGTGTCGGTGAGAATGTGCCCTGATACGTGACACAAAATGCTTATGGGAAAACTAAGTATATGAAGGTATGGAAAATCTATTTAAATATCCCACGATTTGTCAAGATTTTCTAAATTTCGTTCTGAGAATCTCTCGAGTCCTCGTTTAATAATTTTTTTTATCAATGGTCATATCATTGAAAAGTAATTAAACATATAAAAATATGTAAAATTTAATTAAATAATTTACAAGTAACTAATGATCTTCCCGCAATTATTGTTAAAAATTTCTTTTTTTTTAAATAATTATTTCAACTGGAAAAGTTAATCTTCAGATACCCAAAAATCATATAATCATAAATGTTTTCAAAATAATGTGTACACATATTGTATTTGATAATTATAATTTCAAAATAATGTGTTTTTCAAAATAATGTGTACACATATTGTATTTGATAATTATAATTTCCAAGCAGCTCAAGAAACGACAATGAAAAAATAAATTAACAAAAGTAATTAATCAGTGAATAAAATCAATTAGGGGAGGAAAGAAAAATTAAATATGAAAAATATAATTAAAAAAAACTTGATTACACATGCTGAAGGGAATAGGTTCATCAGGTTTAGAATTTTTCGAGGACATTGTAGTCCTCGTCATCTTTTATTTTAATAAATCAATAAAGGCATTATTTATAAATAACTAAACATATATAAAACAATATATAAAATTTAACTCATAGAACTAATTAAAGATACAAAACAAATGTACGCAAAATTAGTCGAAGAATTTGTTTCTTCATAAGAGCGATGACACGTGAAGATCGTCTCTCACCTGCAGCGACGGTCTTCGTAATGTGCCGCCTTCCATACCGACTAATTTCACACCTTTTACGCTCTTTTTCGGACCCACACTCGCAGGCACATTTTCCTGAGCGTTGAGATTATACTCCACGTTATTTTTATCAACAATGTTGACCCTATCATTGTTGTCTCTTGTCGTTTTTTCGCTACTCGGTCCGAGCTCGCAGCCAACTTTGGCATAAGATGGAGCGCACGGGGCGATGCTCGGTGTTGCTGGAATGCCAATCGACCGAGTCGGCGAGAGAACCTGGCCGACAGAACCTCGCAAGTTTCTCACCCCGAGGATTTGACCTCGGAACGCGTCACTCTGAACAGATGCGTACTGACTTGCCGTCCCGGGGGTTCGTGCTGGCGTCATGCAATTTCGTAAATTCTGCAGATTCTGCAGATTGTGGTTCGCTCTTTGCACGACAGAAATGCTAACACTCTTCGTCCTCGACGATTCAACGTGATCCCCGCGACCGGTCGTTGCGTTATTATCGCCACCATCGGTCATCACGTCCTCCGCGCGATGACACGTGGTTCTGTCATCGTCGTAAACGCCCGTGCCGTCGCACGAATCTATGCCCGATGTTGATTTCTGGAAATTGACTTCGATGCGTTATCATGTCTTGATAGATTTATTAAAATTCGCTTCATATAATTCGCGTAAAAATTACCGAAGATGAGTCCATGAGGGCGGCGCCAGAACTGCTTTGTACGACGCCCGACGGTTCCTTGGACTTTCCGGGCGAATAAATGCTCAACACATCGCAACATTCTGGAAAGTAACCCTTGCCAAGCAGGTTTCTTGTGAGAAAACTGGTGAAGAGTTGAGTAAAGAGGGCGATTATCATGACGGCGGTGCGAAAGGGAAATTTTTGGGTACGCGTCCTCGCATCGTAGAATGGATATTCGATCAATGGGTATATGCTGAGTCCTTTTTCACCGCCTGAAAATGGCATTTTACGTTCAAATAATTATATCTAAATCTAACACAGATATATAGCAGATATTTAAGAGGTTTCTTAAGAAAATGGAGTGAAGAAACGAAAATATTTGAGATATCTTTATATAATAGTGTTTTTTATTTATATTGTCTGAATAATTAGCTGAGAACAAAGACTTGTTACTAACCAGCGAGACGCAGAATAATAGCGATAAAGTATCCTGCCAGGCAGCCGTAGGTATCCACGAGAGAAGGCCAATGAATAACAGCTAATAATTGCGGGAACAAAACGACGTAAACGAGATCCGAGCACAAATACCTTGGAATAAATAAGATATATTTTTATATATCGATTATATTGTATTCATTTATGCGCGAACAAACGCATAAATGAATATATAAAGCTACATAAAAAGATTTCAGATAATGGAATCAAGTGACATAAAATGTAGACAAATGAAATTAACGGTTGAAAAAGATGCATCTTGTATTCAACAAACATTATTGTCTAGAAATTATTGTTGAAACTGCCTCTTTTTCAAGTTTTTCAGATATATATGATGCAAATAACTATCACAAATAGATAAAAGGTTGATTTAGAATTTTTTATACTTACGAAAGATAATAAACACTGCTGACCATGAGAGCAACGAGAGTAGACAGCACGGAGACTGCGATTACGGAAATCCTCAAGACCCAATTTAGCTCACGCTCAGATGCCTATCACGAAAAGAAGACTTCAATAATGCCTATTAATATTGTCTATTAAGCAACGATAGTTATACTTACTTTTGGTCGTATGGTGAGTTTATAGACGTTCCTGGTGAACATGGAACTACTGGCAAGGATACTGGAATCTGCTGAAGACATCACTGCCGCCGAGATCGCGCCGAGACCTTAAAATATTAATTAGTATAAATACGATAATTCTCAAATATTTTCCTTTTAATTAAAAAAAAAGAAGTAATTTTTCTTCATCAAATTTACCAACGAAGGAAACCCATTGCGGCGTGAGATATCGCAGGACCATTGGCATTGCGGCGTTTCCATCGTCAGTGGAAAACGTTCTGTTGTATCCTGGAACTGTGGACCAATCGGTAGCACGAGCAACTACTCCGATTACAGCCGATGGAATCGCGAGTATCAGACAACCAAACATCGAGGCTATTGATAGAGTCGTTGCAACGGAAGGACTCTTAATACTTAGGATTCGTTGAAAATAACCCTGAAGAGAAAGAGAAAGAGAGAGAGAGAGAGAGAGAGAGAGAGAGGGAGAGAGAGAAAGAAAGAAAAAACTTTATATCATCATGCACCCTTTTATAATAAATCTAAATATATATTAATAGCCTGAATTAAATTTGTGATCTTGAGTTATACAATATATCATTTATAAAGTTATATTATAATTTGTCGTAAATAATGATAAAAAAAAAAAGCATGTTTTAAATTATTTGTGTACAGTAATTCTTTTTTTTTAAATGGCACGCTATTCGCTTAGATTATTCAAACTGAGTTTATTTAAATTTTTATTCCTTAGACGTGCTCTGGATATTCTTCTGACGTCTAATTTGAGTTTGAATGTCACGTTGAAAAGTTAACTCACCTGCCAAGGAATACCGCCGAATACTAGTAGCAACATGCCGTCCACCCATTCGCCCAGATCCTCGTTCTTTATTTGTCCCAACCAATCTCGCAGAGTCAGATTGTTTTCGAATGATACTGAGGGATGTATCACGGAGAAGGGCATCGCTATAAGTAAACCCAACATAATGCACAGCAATTGCAACGCATCTGTACAAGCTACGGAATATAATCCGCCGAAGACTGTGTATCTGAAAAAACAATATGTCTCTTATCTCACTTGCAACTCTGATTGCTGGAAAATAATATCATTTTTCTCTCAATTTTAGCATTTTCGAGTAGATGATTTCGAGAAGATGATTTTTTTTAATATCGAAATATTTTCAAGTACTATCTTTCTCTCTTTGAACATTGCACGTATTTATTTTGGGATTCAAAAATATTTTGTTGAAATCAAATAGAGTTGCAAGACTGCTTTTATGATTATAATAGTCTATAAATATCTCTAGTATAAAGTAAAGCACTTGAATATTTTGGAATTGATTCGTATATTTATGAATATAAAATATTTATATCTCTAATTATTATATTTAATTAATAATATATAATCTAATATATTATTCTTACACAGCCGCTAATAGTGCTGATGCGCAAACGCTGATATTCGGATCGACGCCGGCGACGACGGCCAGCGAACTCCCCAAAGCTCTCAGAACAGCACCGCACCAGAATAAATCACCACATAACGCCGGAAGGAAAAGCAAACCACCGATACCTGCACCGTATCGTTCTTGAAAGGGATCTAGCATTGTCACGTACTCGGCCTTCCTCATCGGACGCACGAAGAGCATGGCGCCTATATATGTCATCGATTTTATTAATTGGAACAAAAGACAAAATCATCAATCGACAATTCTCCAATCAATAACAATTTTTTCTAAATATTTATTTGATATTTACAAAAATCGGATTTAAAAAGATCTTAAATCAGGCTATACCATCATATGTGGGATATATCGCGCATAGATTCTTGATTACGTACCGAAAATCAAACTAAGACTGTATCCGATAGGAACTTGACACCAGGCCAGACCCTTCGTAAACATGGCCTCGGCAGTTCCGTTGACGAAAGCTCCTCCAACCCATGTCGCTATATATATAAAAACATACACACATATATAAAGAAAAAGGTGGTCATTTCCGATAGTTGGTTTTATATGATTGATATTTTTAGGAAAATATTATGGGATTGTTCTATAGAAATTATATAATAATTAAGCTTTTTTGTACAGAATATCTATTTGTCATAACAAAAAATATGCCAGTTTCTTTTCTTTAAATGGAATATTTTTTTCATGCCGTTTCTCTCATTAGAGATGGAAATAATGGAAAAGAGATCAATTAACAGGTTTTCTTATACTGCAAATTTCGTGTGTTTATTACGATAACAAAAACTGAGACGTTTAATACAAATAAGAAAGATAAATAACAGAATTGGAAATTAAATGATAGAAATATAAAATACGAAAATAAGTTGTGAAAAGTAAGTGAATTAAACGAAATCGATAGAAATCTATTTCGCAAAATTTCATATTCTTTTTCTTTAAAATCACAGAATTGATTTAAAAATAATAAAATTCAAAATGGTGGCAAGAAGCGAATCAATATTAAATAAGGCAACATTTTCTTTTACGCGATGTTGCAATGCAACTTGACACGATGTCGATATCAAGGAAAAACTAAACTCAAAATACACGATGCTTTCTACATGATAATTTCGTAAAATATGATGGAAAATGTACGAAACTCGGAAAGAAAGATTTCATAAATACGGCGGATCATCGTAAATTATCGATTTCATAGTGAGTTCAACGCTCGCAGAAGAAACTAGTATCTGCAGAAAATTTTTAAATTATATTCAATTAATATTAAAAATAGTTAATTTTTGCATTAATATATCTTCATAGATGTATCTAGCATAAACGATTAAAACAAATTAATAATAAATCTTATGTTATATTGTATATATATATATATATATATATATATATATATATATAATATAAAATTTTAAATTGATTTTTCATTTAAATAAAATGTTTATAATGTTTAATTATATGCTAAAATATTAAATGTCAAAAATAAAAAAGATATGATATAATGTAATCATCATATTCTTACAAAATCGAAAAATCGCCTTTAAATCGGAAAGTCTGTGACATTAATTTTTCAGCGTCCTGTATTAATATTCGTATACGTGTAATTTTATCAATATAACATAAATTGATTCTTGACCTCGTTCATCTTTTAAAGTGTACATTGAAAACAGGATATAATATATAGGATTAATATTGATGACAGGGTCACTTTAGTCCCAATCAAGATCACATACATAAGGAATAACTTTTTACTCATGTATAAACATAACAATCTGCAAGATATTTCGTTATAATAATTCTTATTTCATCAGCAAAGTATAAGAGGTTCTGCAACAGCAAAATTTATTTTTTTTGTTTTATATATATATATACATGTTTATCAAATCTTCAAATATAATTACCAATAAGAGTGAAAACGCCGAGGAGAGGCCCAAGGCGACGATTCGCCAGCATCATATCATCCTGGCTCTGTGCGGCCTTTTTTCTCTTGAACGCGGCAGCCCATATGCCAACACCCAGCACCGCAATGTAAAATACAATCACGCCAATTACGCCTGTTACGTACACCCCCATCCTCTTCCGTATGTGGACCCTGCAACTGAATGATTGGTAGTAAAAGCGAATGCGATAATAACGAGTGTCGCTGACATGTCTATAACAGGGGTCTCAAACTCGATATGTTAGCGGATCACATAATAAAAAAACAAGGTCAATCATTGAGTTCATATAATTTATTTTAGCTTCTTTCGAACTATTCGATTATCATAAAAGGACTTTGCCTTCTGCTAAAATTTTTAAACAGTTTCTACATTTGTTTACTTATTAAAAATTGCTGTTTTTGTTTCTCGCTTTTTTTATTTCTTCTACAATAGTTTTTTTCTTCATATAAGCAATTTTATTAAAGAAATGTCTTTTATTAGCGATTAACACAATGTGACGTCAACATTAGAACAGTATTGTATGGTTAACAACCGGACGTACTTCGTTAAAATATTTTTTAGATACGATTATATTCGATATTTGGCATGTATTTTACAAAGTGCATTGTATATCGAGATATTTTATACATGGCTAAATCACTTCAATTCTACTGTTTTCTCTCTCTCTCTCTCTCTCTCTCTCTCTCTCCCTCTCTCTCTTTCTCATTGTTGTATGTTGAGTGAGTTTAATAATAGTTATTGCATGTCTCAATGATTAGATGAATAAAGAGACACATATATAGAAAGAAAGAAAGAGAGAAAGAAAGAATAAGAAAGAGAGAGAGAGAGAAATGTGGATTAATCGGATGTAAAGCCATGCTTTCGCGATCAATACCGCATTAATTGTTCCGTCTTCTTGATTAACATCTCTCTACAAATAAGCCTGCGTAGTTGCACCTTCGTTCATTAGTCGGTACTAATGAGAAAAAGCCTCTAGCCTTTGATATTTAAAAAATCGATATCCACATCATGTATTTACGTTAGAAAGACAGTATTAGTAATCCAACAAAGTTGAATTACCAATATTATCAGATATATATTATTTTATGCGTGTTTCTTTTCCCATTATGGAATATTAATAAATAACAAATTATTTGTATTTAAGAGAATTGCCAAAAAAAGATTCATGATTATTGTTTTCTGTCAGGTAAAAACAATTTATAACAAACTTTATCAACAAACATTGCGTTTCGGGTCTCTTTGAAAAATATAATTACATTTATGATTATATATTTTGTTTTCTTATAATGAAATATACATCTAATATAATAAATTTTATGGAACAAATTTCTTCAAACGATTAACACGTTGAAACTAGAGGAGATACAGTCTCTCTTTTTTTTAATAGAATGTTACATGATGTCAAAATACTTTTCTTTGACGTTGAAAGCTTGTTTAGCTGTACACGTTACTCTGATGACCGATGACATACAAGGTGACATTTACTCTATTAAACACATTTCGTGGGAATTCTGCGCCGATGAACAATTTATCGCGTATTCCCGACGTAGAGAAAAGCTAATCGAGTGCGATGGCAATTGTATAACAGTTTAAAATTTAAATATGCCCTAGATATCGAGCAGGATGGGTCGTAGGGTCATGACCCTTAGCGCGCATGGCACACCACCGAGTCGCTTAAAGTTCAACTGGATTCTACAAATTCACAAACGGTCTGCATTATTAACTCGCGCGAGACGGCACTTTCTGGATCGAGAAACTGACGTATCTCACGTACGAGTGCTCTACGTGTCCATAAAAACTTGCTACACAGGACACGTGCAGAAATGAATTTATTAAAGAAAAAGAGAAAAAGAGAAATATACAGTCCGTTTGTAATATTTATGAAAATTATTACTGGTGTAGATGTGAAATAGCACCTAAATATACGAGATATATGATGAAACTGATGTTTACTCTTAAATGTATTTGCAATGTTTTAATGACATTATTTTATACATAAAATTTTTTAGATTTAATCTTATTTAAATTTATGATACAAAAGATGTTGGATGTTGGGTGGGATAATGTTGAAATAAATGAAAGATTTACACATACTAAAGTTTGTTATCGGGGATATAATCGAAGAGAAGATGATCTTATATGAAAAAATAAATCTAGGTTTTTTTTAGTTTCACTGAACAAAAACATGCTTCAATCTATTAAAATATCTGAATTAATAATATCTCAATTTATACACGAAACAGAATATTTAAATAATATTATAAGATATTTAATTAATGTACAACACAGAACATAATGAATAATTAAAACATTTAATTAATTACCATAGAAATACATAATTGTATTTCTATTATATATACGCAATATAAATATATACGCAAGAACATAAAAGACAGAATGTATAAATTCATATGAGATCTATTTATACAATGAGAGAGAGAAATTATTTATTAATTTATTTTCATGATTCATTTATTTATTTTCATTATTTATTAATTATTTTTCTATGTTTTTTTTAAATCAGATAAAATGTCAAGCAACTCTTATTTATCGAACGGATGTTAAAAAAAAAATTTTGCAAAGAAAAAAATTATTATTTTTAAAGTTTATTATTGCACTGAATGCATAAAAGTTTCTTTTATAATTCTGGCACAGAAACCGTTTATAGATTAAATTATTAAAGTTATCTGTTTTATACGCGCACGTGCATGAGGCTATTTGTTCCTTGTTTCTCGCAGTTCTAAAACTATCGGCACATCTCTTTTAAAGCATATGTGCTTTTACAATTGCGTTTGCGCGTGGACAGTTTTAGAATACAACCGCGTCAATTGATGATCTATTTAACATTCATTCTATATAGAGATACGTACAGTTACTGAAACGTCCATAATCAATAAACACGTTGCGCCAATGACGATTCTAATATTTAGAATATATCTAATATTGAGAATAATAATATTGAATAATTTGCATGTATAAATATATGAAGGACATATATATATAAAAATATTTTGAGGATTCAAGAGTATATTCTTTTTTATTTTAGAATTTATATTTTATGCAACAAAAGTGTACTATTGTTGATAATTTTTACGTTATAAACAGATTTCTCTTAGAGAGAAAGAAGAAAAAAATAAAAAATTTTTCGCACGCTAAATATATATTGAAGATAAAAATAAATTACAAAACTTTATTTTTAATATCAAAGGTATCTAATTGAAAACAATTTAGATTTAAGTTTTTTAACAAAAATATTTAACATAGAATATTAAAGAATACACATGTCAAAAAATTATATATATACATTAAGAAATTTGACCTGAAAAAATCCAATTAAATTTTTGGTAAGAAATCAATGTTAGAATTCAATAGATGTATCTCGCTTTAAAAGCGCAAGGACGACGTAAATTTACTTTTTCCTAGGTAGGAAGTAGTCTCTTGTCGATAATATGCTCACGCCTATAATCACTATCTCATCGATACAAAAATAGAAAAACATATTAATATATGCGCTTGATCGTGATGAAGGGTAAGCCAGTTCTCTCAAAGGATGAGCAAAGCAAAGAAAAAGATGTGAGAAAAAGGGGCTTGATAATTTTATGCAAAAACGCTTTTCAAGGCTTACCAATCATAGAAGAATTTGTCAACAGGATATTTCCAATTATGAATATCAGGGCCAATGGTCCAGTTCTGATGGGAAGAGATGAATGGAGTAAGGAGATATTACACCTACTATTCTATGGGGTAAGAGCTTTTTGAAAGGAAAGAATAAAAAGCAGCAAATTAACATATGTATTCGGTATTCATAAATTAAAGAATAATAAACAAAAAATTACTTTTAAAGACTTGAGTCTAGTTATGATAACATCTTTATGAAGTAATTGCAAAGTTTTATTCAGTGTCATATAATAAAAAGCAATAAAAATCAAATAGTTTTATATTTTATAAAATGCTACTATGCTAATTATATTACTAAGAAATACAAATGATGAATAAAAAGCATGCTTGAGGAAACATAATAATTTTATCTTTGAAATGTAAAGAATTTTAACATAATATTGTTATGAATAGCATATGCATTATGAAATTTAAAAGCAAAATTAAGTGTAAGTTATACACATATGTCAACTGACAGGTGTATTAACAAATATACATTGTAAATATAGATTACAAAAATATATTGCTCGAAAATATACTTGATAAAATTTCTGGTGAACTTTGTAAAAGCATTAGCGAGAACAACTTGCGCAAGCTGAAAGACACTTGGCTCATTCTCAATGTGAGTAAAATCAGCGCACACTCGCGATTCATCTTTAAATGTGAAGTCCGGGCCTAGACATCGGCTAGTTTGCTGCCAACTTTTCAAGCCAGTCAGCAATATATTTCCGTCATAAACGTTAAGTGACCGCGTATCGAGCTCATCTCTTCGATTTTACTCCAAAATGAAGAAGATCGTGCCTCTTTCTTGCATAATCTCTGATAACACAACTTGCAGTGACATGAATAATATCGAGAGACGACGATCTCTTAATTTGGAATAGAAAAAAATGTTTCTAATTAATATTTAATAACAATATAAATTAATCAATATTACATGGAATCCTATAAATAAACATTACGAATTAAGAGTGTAGAAGATTGAAACGGATTTAGTTTCAATGAGTGAAGATTTCAGGTGCTTGAGAATGACGTCTACATTTAGTGTTATTAATACGATACAACAATATGATATATGTGACAAATGGCAAAATATTTTCCCATGAGTATGAATATATTTATATTTACAATGCCAAATCAATATGTTTATGAATATGTTTCTAGAGTGAATCATATGTTTTAAAATTTTGTGAGCGTTCTTGGATAAAAAAAATTGTTTATATGAACATTAGATAAAAAAATGCTTCATTTCCGAATAATAGATAAAAATTAATATTAGTGCATTGTATATATTACATGATATTAATCATATAACGCAGTTCTTTAAAAGAAAATGTTTTACACTATATTGATGGAACTGTTTGACTGAATTGCTACTATAATTTATCTTACTCACTATTTATCTTAATTTTAGACTTTGTATTTGAGTATTCAAGTACATGATTCCGTATTAACTTTATTCAGTCATTTTATCACTTATTGTAATAAATTTTGATGATGAATAAGATAATCTGTTACAGAATTAAAACGATAAAAGATTTAATATCATAGAAGACAAAAGAATTTGCTCTGATACAGTAAAATTAATATTTAAAGCTAATTTTTATCCATTATTTTTATCGAAAAATTAACTATTAAAAATTAACTTCTTTGTCTGAAATCTATATGAATAATTATTCTTACTTTTCATCCAGGAATATACCCTTACAAAGTTCTGAATCATACTTGTGATTCACTCTGTATATTGCAGAAAAATATTTTCATCATTCTTGATTAGAAATTAGCAAGTACAATACAATAAAGCAATAAGACCGAACAATGTTTCGATGTAAATATTTAGCAGAAAGAGAAAGAGGAAGAGAGAGAAAAATTAATTTATATTGATAAATTCTTTCTCCGTCTCTAGAACATAAATAAAAAATAATTATGATAAAAATGCAATGAAATATAAAGAGAGAATAAATATAAATCGAGGGAGAAAGAGAGAAAGAGAGAGAGAGAGAAGGGAGATTGAAATTCCAAATCCTATTACTTACCACGGGCTATCCTAGCGAGATCATGCAGCGAGAGCTCCTTTCATGCGCACATACCCATCTTGCTGTGCGCCTCGATTTCCTTTTTCCACGGTGCCGCTACAGGAAAATTCGTCGGAGGAGGAAATCGGCTCTTCCTCGTCGGCACGCGAATGCTGTACACTTGGTCGACCGGGCGTTAGCCGTGCGACAGATAGGAGCCTGGCAATACAACTGAATCTCTTTAACGGCACTCAGCATTCGGCTGACACGCTGGACCGCCAACCACCTCGCTGGGGGTAGCGCGCGCGTCACGGACAAGGACGGAGCGCCGGTCGCGCGCGCGCAAGATACAGATGTAGAGGGTAGTTCAATATTGGTGTACGATAAAAGTGGTTTTCCTTATAAAGGAGAAAAATTTTGTGAGAAGAGGGAGATCGTCACGCAACGAAAATCTTCTATTTAAAAAAATATAAAAATAGTCTGTTAATATTTTAGAACTTGACCATTTCAATTATTTTCTATTATTTTTCAAATATAATTTGAATTTTTTTATTTGTACTTTGCACAAATATGATTTATGTCGTGTGATAATTAAAAATGTTCAAGGTTAACACAATAACAATTATTAATTTCTCAGTTTTTTTCCGAAAGTTAATTTTCTTGAAAATACAAAAGTTTGTATGAAGGAATTTTAGCCAGAGCTTTTAATTTGATTTTTTTATGTAGAATTATCTTGTTTCTATAGTTGCATCAATAATAAAATAATTTTATATAAAACTAACATCCTGTATCCCGCAGACAATTTAAAATAATGTGTTGAGATTACGAATAAAAGAGATGAAGAAAAAGTTTCAGATCAATTGCAAAGTGGTACCAATGATCATTTAAATTCTCAATCTTACAGCGTAAGCTATAGTATTTAATAATGGTCATTAATTTTCAACAATTATTGAGATAATTATTGTAAATTATAACAATTAAGAATTGCAAACTTTTTCACGGATTGCAATCTTTAAAAATACATACAATTACTTAAATTAAACAAAAATACTTTAATAAAATTTTAATTTAAAAAAACAATTATAAAATTGTTTAATGTTGATTATTAGAAAAAAAATAAGACCGATAAGAACAAATGATAAAAAAATCTCCCCTATGAAAATATTTGAAAGTCGTCACAATCTAATTGAAGATAGTGAGAATAATTCTTGGACACCTTATGTACGAATAAAGAGTAACAGAGTGAAAGAGAGGAAGAACCGATTCATCTGCGAACCGTGATAGAAAAAGGAGATTGAGTGAAAGAGAAATATAGGAGGTCTGATGAAGCGGAAAGAGACCTACAATTCTTAAGGAAAGAAGGAGGATATAAAAAAGAAGATGTGAAAGAAAGAGAGAAAGATAAATTGATAAAAGTAGAGAAAGATAGTGACGCCGGATGAGTCAAATGTTTCATCGTGACAGATGTAGTGTCAATATAACGAAATGAAGATACCAAGAAGCAGAAAATATAAATAGATTTTAGAAAGATTTATAAACATTCTTATCAAAAAAAGAAAATAAGAAACCGAGCAGGGAGTGTCGCGTTGGCAGATTCAAGAATATATCAGAAACAAATTGATTGTATTTGCTGGAATTTAAATCGGAGCTGAGAAAGTTCGGTCGAATAAAAGTATCAATAGAAAACACAACAGCAAATGTATATAAATTAGTAAAAGGAACAATGTAATAATGTAATTCATGGGAAAAAATGTAAATGTAATGATTCATACATCAAAAGCGAAGGAAAAATTTGGAGTAAATAAATGGAAATAGATGTAAATATAGATAGATAAATTTAAATTACAGATAAATTTTTAGAACTTATAAACTCTAAATACACTCTAATTACACAAGATCTTAGATATATAATAATTATATTATGAATTGGTTTTAAAAAAACCATAAAAGTTATGTGCTTTACACAACTAAAACCATTTAATAATTTTAAATAGATAATCTTACTTTTTTATAAAATCATAGTTGAAAGTTAAGACATAATTTTCATGTGTTTAAAATAGAAATATAAACTCTCTAGAAAAATACAAAGATATGCATTAAAGGAATAGAAAGAGAAAGAGAAAGAAAAAAATAAAGAGATAGATGAAAAGAAATGGAGTGAGAAAGAGGCGCAAAATGAAAACAGAAAGAAAAAGAGACAGAGTTAGTGAGAGGGAGACAAGTCCATGTACAGGGGAGAGGGGACAGCCGTATTGATCTGTTCGCGCAAACTCCTGGTCCTTAGGCTCCCTCCGCGACCAGAATCATCCGACCCTCGCCCTGCTTGTCGCCACCCTCGTCCTGTTCCACTCGCAGCTTCCGAATACGCGCTCCGTATTCTAGAGTTCTTGAAAGATTTTTCAGCTACGATCTTTCAGCTTTGTCGTTCTTTAAAGGAACAACTCTCTCTCTAATTAATATTTTAATATGGCAAAATTTTCCCTCTCATCTCGTTTTACACTCTGTCTTCTAATATATATTATCGTAGAAAATATTTCAAAAGCTATAACTTTGGTCTTTAACTCGAGAGATGAAACTAAAATAATAGCAGATTTGTTAAGTCTTTGCAATATTATTTTTATTTATTTGTAGCTTTTTAATATACGTCGGAATTTTGTGAGGATTTCCACTGCTATCGTTATGAATATGGTCGTTTTTTTTTCAATGTTACGTGTTACAGAGCAGAGCAAGAGCGAGAGAGCGAAGGGCGAAGGAGAGTGGCGAACGAAGGAACTGGAGCGATAAAAAAAGTTCTTGTTTGTTTAGCGGCTCAACTTTAGCAAAAACAATCACGATACTTACATGTATGTACAGCTTACACTGTTCCCCGTTGTAGGAATTGAAGTGGACTTTCGACTAGGTGCCAGTAGTATCAGCTGTTCGCTCATCAGGCGGAGGGCTCGATGTTTGCAATTTTATCGCATTTTGTCGCTTTTTGTTCGATCTCAAACACTACGAGGATTATTCGAGAAATGAAATAATCAACAATGATATGTAATTGATATAATTAAATGATATATAGAACGCAGAAATGTTGAAGGAACTCGTTGACAGTAATAATAAAATTAAATGCCTCGTCTCTTCTAATCGACATGATTGTATCTGCAATATACTAATTTTCGTTCACAGTAGGAATTAATCACGTATTCCACACAAAGATCCGATACTTAAGCACGCTTTCACAAGGCCAATCGATGATAATTACACACCTTGAAGAGATACGCCATGACCCTGTTCTTCAAGACTGAGCTTGACAGAGTTTTTTTTTTCTCAGAGGGTGCAATCGACACGTTCGTCATAACGTGCATCATCGACGCCGATAATTCTTATAATATGCTAGAATAATGTGTACCAGGACTTTACTTTTTTGTTCAAATAGCAAATATAAACTTTTTTGTTTAATTCGCAAAAATAAATAATATTGAAAAAAGTTAAAAGAATTTATTCTAAAGTTATACATAAATATATAGAATATTTTCTAGACCTGTGATATTTGAACTGAAATTTACATTAATTTTCAATATAAGATTTCGAGAATTAGGAGTTTATAACTTTATGAAATGACAATCGATTTCTTTTAATTCGGCCACTTTTCGACAATAAATAAAGATAATTATACTATGTGTAATGATAGCGATTTCTCTCTCGTGTCGATAATGAGTGCGTTAGTGATGTTGCGGTGACGCGCGATTGATAAATGGGGGGTGTCGTTTTCGCACTCTCAACAAGTTGTATCGCCCTGTAGGCGATGGACGCGTAATTAAATGTTGGAGGATCATTGAATTCGATTGAATGGCCCAATGAATTATCGTAAAAAGTATTAGATTAAAAAGTATTAGATTAAACAAAGGAGACAGGGAGGAATGAGAAAGAAAAAAAAGAAGAAAAGGCGGCGAAAGGAAAAGTCGAGAGAATGTCTGAGAATAGCTGATTAGAAGATGAGAAAGAAGGAAGAGGGATTGAAAGAGAAGAGAAGAGAAAGTTTTTCGAACAAAGAGATGAAGAATTCTTTCACACAAAATTTTAAATTTTGAACATCATTTACTATCGATCTTTGCAACTTGGAGTGAATTTTTTCTGCGAAAACGCGATGATAAATTGCTTTGATGACGGTTCTGATTCTTTTCCAAAAAACCTTATTATATATTTAAAAAAAATATTTTGCTCTAGTATGTTCTAGTATATTAAATATCCAGTCATTATATAACATATAATAATATAATATAAAAATATAATATATATATAAATTTTATGTTCGCCAACAACTTTCTCTTTAGAATATAAAATAATTATTTTATAGAGGATGTTATTTGCCTGTTTTTTCTTTCATTCATGAATTTTATAATCAGTTTATAATTGTCGGGCATATGTAATGTTAAAAATTAATTATATTTCCACGTTAAAAAAATATCGTTTATATATTATTATATATATTACTTTAAACGAAAAAGTTGAAAAATATAAATGAGTTAAACATACATGTAATTCTAATAATGTTGAACAGTTACATGGTTTACATATTATATATCGATTATTCACAATAATAATTCGCTTGTACATTTAATTATTGCCTTAAAGAAAATGCAAAAGATCTTTAAATATAAAAATATACTGTTACATTACAAATAAATTATTAGCTCTAATTTATGTAAAACAGAACTTAAGAATAATTATTACAACATACAGAAAGATCAGTTATTATAATACGAATTGTACTTTACAAGTATATAATTCTAATAAATATATTTAAAATTATTTTTTGATATATGAAATAAAAATGCTTCTTCTTTTTTTCGTAATTACATAAAATTACAAACTTAAAAAAAAAATAAATACTATATAATAAACTTCTTATAAAATTTAGAATAAATATATTCTCTGTTTCTCTTTCCTTTTCTCTATTAATTATTATAACATTAAGTATACTTAAAAACAGTATTTAAAAATCTATTCCTTTAATATGTATATATTTAAAATTTTTTTATATACAAAATAAAAACGAAACATTATAAAATAATCTATATAGCTAGATTTATTCTATATAGTGAAAGCACAACTTTCTCATAAAGTTTTTAAATTTAATTTTACTTATAAATTTATTTTACTTATAAATTTATAATATTATAATATTATAATATTATCGCAATAATTTTTTAATTTGTAATAAATCAACGTATTAATATTCGTCTCTTTAAGGAGACGAAACAGAAAAATTTCTGAAAATGTTCTAACGCATGGAACATATGAAACTTATTCATTCATCAATAAAATAATGTTCAATAATTATATTACTTAGTTATTTAAAATAAATGCTCAATAATTATATTATTTAGCTATTTAAGTAATTATAAAGTACTATCTCACACACATACACACACACACAATCTCTCTCTCTCTTTCTCTCTCCTAGTTTATTAAGATCTTTCTAGAACATTTTTCGTGGTCTGAAATTTTATGCTACTTTAGTCATTTGTTCATTCGATTTTGGTGGAAAGTAAATCGATCTGATCAACATCGATGTCACTGATGGTACTTGCTTCATACCATGCATTGTCTCATCTTTGGGATTATTGGAGGCGAAATCAGTGGCGACTTTCCGTGCTGTTAATGTTAGCATGCTTATTAAATCCATCTCTGTTCCGTATTCATCCAAAATTTTACATAAGCATTGGATATACCAAGTGCCTTCCACAGGATTCCTCCAAGTGTAAAAATCTTGAAATAAGAGAATTTTGAACGAATAAGAAAATATTTTGAGATCAATTTTGTGTTAAAAATTTTGCTGCTAATATTTATGTTAATTATAAAAATGTTTTATATTACAAATTTAGCCTTGTTTCTACTCTTTTCAGAAAAAATCACATTATTACAGAAAATTGTAATAAACTTTGCAATTTTAATATTTTAAATAAAATATATATTAAATATGTGTACATATATCTCTTAATCAATAACAGAAATAAAGACTTATAATAAAAATTAATATATTTAATAATTAAGACTTATATAAATTAATGTATTATGTTGTAATTAAATAAAAATTTTGTTTTTTGTATCAATTTAAAATTTATATACAAAAAGACTTAAAAAATATTATACTTAGAATTTCTAAAATAAATTCGGATTAGAAATCTATATTTTGGCTAATAAAAAAAAAGTTTTCATATATATATATATATATATATACAAACTAAACTGTATATCTGTGTATATCAGAAAAACTTACCTTGAACCGAACTATGAGCTATTAGAAAATCTGCATGCGTAGGAATCTTATAAGATGTTATGGTATCTGTTGCCTCCAATGGTGTCGAATTGCGTGGGGACAGTACTACACCGCTATCAACCTGATCACCTCTGCAAGCCTAAAAAAAGTCAGCAAGTATACAAGCTAAATAAAATTAAATTAAATAGGAAAACAAATTTGGAGTATATTGATAATTTAAAATAAAACATGTATATTGATAATTTAAAATAAAACATGTTTAAAAAAAATGCTTTACTTGAAAGAAGAACAATTTTGGTTTTCCTGCAAGTGTTGTACATTTATCGGCAGTAAATGGCTTCCAGATCTTCTCAGACTTGTAGGCGACGTCTTTCGCCCATATCAAATCGTTTTGCAGTCCATGAGTTAGCACGATAATGCAAAGGCAATCGTTATTTGTGTGGTCATATTGCCTCACTGTGTATATGTAAAATTAAACATTAAAATTATTTAGTAAATATGTATTTTATATTAATATATATGTATCATAATCAAATAGAATCAAAAGCCAAAAACAGTTAACAACATAAATAATTTACTCACGTTTCTCTATTTTGTTCATAACTTCTGTGTGACTTAAGTCATTTTCAATTTCAATATCGAATCCGAGTCTGCCAAAACTCTTTTTCAATCTCATCACGTCTGTTGTTGAACCTTGTCGTTTCTCAACCGAGTCAAATTCTTCATGATTGAAGATTATGCATTTGCCGCGATTTTTATGATTCATGTTATAGCGATCAGCATCTATCGGTACTGGCATAAAGATGGTAGATGTTGAAGGTTGTCTGAGAATAATAAAGAAAATAAAAGTTAATCAAATGAGAAAGTATATTAATTTGTGTTCGTGAATTTTACAAAATTTGTTTCTTTTACAATTAATATTAATATTAATAAATTTTAAATGCTAAGCAAGAATCACTCAAGTGATAATACTTGTCTGTCAGTGATATTAATGATATCAAATATTCATATATACGTATGTTTGTATATATGTAAAGTTTTTCAACAGTAATTTTAAATAAATATTTTCTCATACACTTATTCATATTTTTATTAAAATTCTTACATTTTTATAATTATTTTATCAAGATTTAAATTTTCTGTTCAACTCTATTTAATATATTTTTGTTTAATTATATTCTATATAATTTTTCTCCTAATATAATATGATTCTAAAGTTAATGAAATATCGGATTGGATTATTTCGTTTTAAAATTAACAATTGTCTTTATAAATGTAAATTAATAAATAATTTCTTCTTACTTATCAATCAAATAATCATCATCGACTATTTTTTGATCTGCGAAAATATTGGCGTCGATTGCATCTGATTTCTCTGCACGTATTTCGTACATTTCCGGTATCGCGATATCCAGTTTGTCCAAATTTTGCATTTGATCTTCTTCTGATGATGTCTGAAAAAATATAAACAGATTTTACAATAGAAAAAATACATTCTGCGATTTATAATTCAAATTACAGCTGAAAGATTGTAGAAAGAGACATAAGATTAATAGTTAATTTAATATGATTTTTATACAAAAAAAGTAGTTTCAAATTTATTAAAAGTTGTATGAAATTAAAACCTGTAATTTAAATTAAATCTAATATTATATTAATCTCGAGGATTGATTTAATTCGCAGCCTGATTAATATATACAAGAGTCAGAACATATTTGTATAATTTAATACATTTCTTATCTATTTTACCTTTTATTTCAGAAATTAAAAATATTATATACAATTACTAGTGCCTCGAATTTGTCTGGGTCATTGCAAAAGTTTTAATTATAAGTGTACGTACGTAATAGTCTGAAGTAGATAGAGATTGGCTTCGGAGTCGGCATGGAGCCGCAATGTCTGCATGATCTGCAAACAAATCTCTAATGCTTGAATCTATTACCGAATTGGATCTAATCATGCGTTTAGAAGATATATTAAATAACACAACATTTTCAATCAATGTCTCGTCTTCATTCATCTGAAAAATAAAATTACTTATTTATTTATTATAAAAAATAATAATATTAGACATGCTAAATAAAAATCAAGAAACTACTTAAAAAATAAAAGTTAAAAATATGAGTAATAAAAAAAAGAATATCAACTATATAGAAGAAGAAATATATATACATATAAAAGATATGTACAAAGGTAACATTATTAAAAAGACAACAAACTGATACATCCTTAAATATGCTGAACAGCAAAGAACTATATCAAATTAATCATTTGCTAAAAGCGGTTAATAAATTTAAATTTTTCATATAAAATCTACCAATTTCTCGCGTAAAGGAAATGATTTTGTCAAAAGGACAGAATAACATAAGAAAAGTATGAAGTTTATTAATAATTAAATAGTTAATATATAAAATAGTAAATTTAAAAAATATTTATATCCTTTATATGTATATTTAAATTATATTAGGAGTATATTTTATATTAATAATTATTATGATTAATACTGATTAAATCAATTTTTCTTATCTATTACATTAATGAAGCAATCTAAAAAGGTAGCAATCGCGATAATAAAAATGTGTCAATCAAGGCTATTGATATGCAACAAAGCCTTTATGACTATATTGAGAAAAATATTGCAGTATATTTAAGCTACTGAATTAGTCATCCCTCTTTAGATTAGAGAAAAAGATTATCGATAATAAAATGATCCACTTTTATCGATGACTTTGAATTATTATTTTTGATTTTTTTATTAACTTTAATGACGCTCTTTTAAAATTATATGGAAAGTTTCTTTTTGCGCATCATTTTTTAATGATAGATTTTTTGCTCGATTTGTTGATCAATTTCTTCTTAATACAAAGATCGAGAGAAAGTTTAAAAATAAATTTTACTATTATTGTTTTATTATTAGAAAGAAGATGATAATCGTGAATTGAATTTATATATACAAAATTCATATACATATTTTTATTATATTGATTTTCGAACATTTGATATAAATTTCTATATTCATTATAATTTCAATTATTTTTCAATATGTAAAGCTTATATGTAAAATTAAAATTGATTAAGAAAAATTACAAATAGTTCCGCGATTTATCTTTATTTTCATAAAAAGGAAGAGTTAAAAAATTTTGATATCAAAGACAACACGATGTTTTCTTACCTGTGACATCTCGACTTCGCTTTCGCTGTCGATCGTTAAGAACTCCATATCGTGAAGAAAAGCTGTATACCGAGATCACTGAAATTTGTCTTGATCAACAAAGATTCCACGAAGAGAAAAGACTATATTAAGTATGCAATATGTCTACGAAATAACTCCAAAGGGTTAATCTCGACTGATTCAATCCACTGCTAGATATCATCTATGCGATTATCGAATTCCCCTACTATAGGAAATCGACTTATCAGTTTTTATCACGTTTGATTTTGATTGTCTCCGTCACGCTGTCGTCAACGGCCAAACTGGGGAGAAATTGTTATCATTCGTCAAACCACAATACTTTGTTATATCGCAGGATGTTCGTGGCTTTGAACGCAGTCGAAAACCTTGTAAAGGTCATCGTTAACCGTAAGTTATTATCTATAGAGTTCTTCGCAGAATTTAGAACGGAATTCTTTATATTTATTATATTTATTATTATAATTATCTATTCTTACTCTTATTTATAATTTTATATATGTATCTAATATATATTCCTATTTGCGTTGTATTTTTTACATGCAACGTATAAAATTTTATATATATATATATATATATATATATATATATATAATATTTTATAAAAAAGTTATATAAAATTTTATATACAATAATATATAATAATATTATATTAAATAATTTATATAATTTTATATAAAATAGTTTTATATATAATAATATTTTTCTTTTTCTTAATTCGTAATTTATAAATTTATATTTATATAAAATATATTTATAATAATAATACATAGAAGAGATATATGAACGAAATGACAATTTAAACAGATTAACAAAGAAAAATATATATTTTAATATAAATCAGCATTGTTAGAAAAATAATCAATTTACAATTTATTCTCAATAATATTCTATTTTATAGTAAAAAGTGTTAATTTTGTCACGCGTTTGTTGCGACACTTTCCATCAAATTAACAGGCGCATTAAAAAATTTAAACTGATTGGATGTTCGAAGAGAAATTCGTAATTAATTAGATGCGCGCCTGCCGCTGCAAAAATGCATATTATTCGCTATAGTTTGTGCTTCCCGTGCTCCGTAAAACTATAGGAAAATCATATGATATATAAAGAAAACGCGCAATTGTGAAATTGCGAGTCAGCTGTTTGTCAAGCGCGATCCCAATCGTGAGACCAAGTATATGTATAAATGATCGTTTCAATATATATTTCTGATATATATATTTCTCCGTACTTTCCTAAATCATCCGGTGTATTCGGGTGCATTTTTTGAATTGTCATCGTAGTTATTTGCTATGCATATGCAACTGCAGGTAAGTTTGATGAAACGTCTATAAGGTTAATGCGTATAAATAAATGCGTATAAATTAATCTTATAAATTTTCATTATTTTGTTCTTTTAACGTTGATGACAGTTGATATACTTTTACCAAGTAATTGTTTCATAGACATTTTTATTTATTTTCATATAATTAAAGTAATTTAAAATTGTACTTTAATATTTGCTTTTCTTCCTATTTCTTTTGTAAGTTGTTTTACATAGAATATATCTATTTTTCAGTGGAATCAGAAGAATTTTTCAAGCTACTGATAAGATTTTGACAAAGCAACATGTCTATTGCAAATCAACATATAAGCAATTGTCTCGATACTAATGTATCACTTGGAATAGACGAAGCATGCTTTAATATCATTAATGAATATAATAAATCTATTACATTCTATTCCCACTCATCAGAATGCTATTTGGTATGTATCTACATATATTTGACAGACAAAATTTTTTATTAAAACTTTTGCACCAGTAGTTTTATTCTTTGTAATTGTAGTGCGATGGTGTCCCACAAGCTTTACCAGGAAATAAAAATACTCCATTAATTATATCTACAAAATATCCTCTACATATATTTTATAGGAATGTGCTTGATATTTGTCAGTAAGTAATAAGAGCATATACTTGCTAGAAAGTTTTATTTTTTATTAAAATATATGAAAGTATTATGTAATTTCCATATAATACAATTATATCACAATGTAATATTTGTATTTACAGCATCACGTACAATTTTAAAGAACATGGAAGTTATGGATGGAATATATCTGAAGAATATCTATGCTCAAAGATTTATACGATTCGTGAGCCAGTAAATAGTTACTTTCGTAAGTCAAAAGATTTTACATTTTCTTGTAATATTAATTTTGAAAATCGAGAAATTTTAAAAAGTTTTTTAAATCTATTCAACGTATGTTTTTTTTTGCAGCAATACTCGCAGCTTTCATAATATATGTTCTGTTAATGGTTTTATGCACAACTTTCAAATTTGTTATACGTGTGATAAAAGGAAAATTATCCCCAAATAATGTACATGATGTAAGCATTTATATATATTTATTATTTATATATATTTCTTTCATGCTGAATATTATACATTTCTAGGATTTGGATAGACTTCAAGAAGCAGAGACATCAAATCCAATTATTGGGACAAACAGATCTAGTACTAGAATTCGTTCAGTTGACACATTCCGAGGGTACGTCTTCTTTTCACATATAAAATGATGCATAATGCAACTCTATTTAATGTATTAAATATTTCTAAACATTTTTTTCAGAATTGCTATATTATTAATGATATTTGTCAATAATCGTGGTGGCGAGTATGTGTTTTTCAATCATAGTGCATGGAACGGTTTGACAGTGGCAGATTTAGTACTACCTTGGTAATACTTTATTTTATTGTATTTTATTGCGCCTATTACACATTCCATTTTACTGTCCTTATTCTTTAATATATATTGCGATTTCAGGTTTGCATGGATTATGGGATTATCGATTACTATATCGAAACGGTCCGAGCTTCGTGTATCGAATTCACGAACAAAAATTATTTTGCGTTGCTTGCAGCGCGCGTTTATCCTCATACTCCTCGGACTGATGTTAAACTCCATTCGTTCAAATTCGCTGCAGAATCTTCGTTTTCCGGGTGTTCTTCAATTGTTGGCTGTATCATATTTCGTATGCGCCACAATCGAGACTATATTTATGAGGATGCATTCTCAGGTTCAGATCAATTTTTTTCCATCAATAACATTACACACATCTGCTAAAGCACTAATCTGCGATAATATACGTTTAGGACGATTTGTTACAGTTTGGTCGATTCACATTTTTACGAGATATTCTAAACAATTGGGCGCAATGGTTAATCATTTTGGCAATCGTAGTGACGCATACTCTAATTACGTTTCTTCTGCCTGTTCCAAACTGTCCAACAGGATATTTGGGGCCTGGTGGTTATTCTCATTTTGGAAACTTCCCAAACTGTACTGGAGGCGCAGCTGGTTATATAGATAGACTTGTCTTTGGAAGTCATATGTATAACAAAACAAAAAATCCCGTGTATGGTACCATCTTACCTCACGATCCCGAAGGTATATTGTATAAAAAAATTTTTAAAAACATTTTTTTTAACACTAATTTCAATAAATTAAACAATTTTTCGTGTTAATAAGTTAAATTTATAACTATCATATTGTACAATATAGGTATAATGAATACTGTGTCTATAATACTTGTTGTATACTTGGGTGTCCATGCTGGAAAGATCTTATTACTCTACTATCAATGCAATGCTAGAGTAGTACGCTGGCTATTATGGTCAGGTGTTACGGTAAATTTTTTATTTAATAAAACAATCTAAAAGAATAATATATAATTTATATAATCATGTATAGCAATAATTGATATTTATAATTTATACACAGGGTATTATTGCTGGATTATTATGTAATTTTGACAAAGAAGGAGGAGTGATACCAGTCAGTAAAAAAATGATGTCACTTTCATTTGTTTTGACTGTATCTTGTTTCGCATTTTTACTATTTACAATCTTACATTTCTTTGTCGATTATAAACAATACTGGAGCGGGGCACCATTTATTTATGCAGGTTTGTGACATTATTCGATATAATTGCTTCTGTTTTGTTCCAATGCTCAAATATTCATCATAGCTTTTTTCCAAATGTGTAATTAAGATACTTCACGTTTTGTTTTGTATTTTTTATAGGTTTGAATCCGGTTACTCTTTATATTGGTCATACCATTACCATGGGATTATTTCCATGGGCTTGGAAATTGCTGCATCCTACACATTGGTCAGTTCTTGCTATGAATTTATGGACTACAACATTGTGGAGTATTATTGCATACTGGCTTTATTGGAAGGATATTATCATATCTATTTAAGTTTATAAAAAATGTTATTAAATATTTACAAAGCAACATCCATGAAGAAATAAGTAAGTTTGAGGATTGTTACACTCAATATAGATATATATGCTTATAGAATTATATGAATAATGAAGTTATGTGATAAAAAAAAGTGACAAAAGAGAAGATAATTATATTATATAGATCATCATTAATCATTGCTCATTAACAAACTTTGTAAAATAATTTTTTAAGTATTATTGTGTATTAATTTTCTGAATAAAAGTATTTTATAAACTTTATTAAACTCTTTTATATTTCCAATATTAATTTTCATACACAATTAAGTTAAATATATAAATTTTAAATTATACAATATAAGTAATATGAGACAAATAATACAATAAATAATTTATGCGATATATTATTGATATAGAAAGAAACATTTTATTTATACATTTCTATCTTTTGGATCTTTATAGGGCAAGCCTAGGATTTCAAAGATATCTTCTTCGCATGTAATTTTTTCAGGTTCTCCTGGACAACCTAAAAATATAATCTTTATTATATACTATTATGAAATTTTTTGAATCATGCTTTTACATATTACTCTTTTCAAATTTACCTTCAATTGTGAGAGGTTTAAGCGCATATTCATTCAAAGTATATTTTTTCTCTAATGCATGTGCTCTCATATTTTTGTTGAATAAATCACTCCCTGTGAAATACAGTATGGCACAATAATATTGATCATAAAATGTTAGTCGTATATCCAATCTTCTAAAGGGCTTATGTTTACTTTTCCGTAATTGACAAACTCCCTACAAAAAAATATAATTCAATATCTAAAAGTTTATTTTAAAACTTATTTCATTACCATGAATTTAGTAGATCCAAGAGATATTGTATCTGTAATCAATTTTTTCTCTTCGAGACATTCAACAATTGTTTTCAGTGATATATTTTTCTTTTTTGCATCTTTTGTTTTTGATGTATAATCAGGATGTGTTATGAGAACATCAATATCTCCACTTTCCTCTTTGCCTCGTCTATAACTTCCGCAAATAGTAACAAGATAATCATGACTTATTTCCTTCATAGCATCTCTTAGTATACCCTCTATCTGTATAATTTCTGCTCTAGGTATTTTCTTCTCAAAGTCATCAAAATATCTAAGAGAACATATCATATCAGTTCGAAGGTCTTTAATGTGAAAATTTATTTATTAAATTAGTCTCATACTTTAATCCCAGCTTCTGATGATGTGTCAGCATATTTTGATGTTTTTTAAGGTCTTCCAATGTTTTGATGCCAGCATCTACTAATTCTTTGGCCTTGGCAGGACCTATGCCTGATACACGAGCCAATAAACTAATAGCAATATTATTTTCATCTTTTCTAATCTGAGAAAAGAATATAATGTAAAAATTTGTGCAAATTTTTATCTATATTAATGAGACAATAAAAATCTAAAAATGATTCAAGTACATCTTCTAGTTTTTGCAACTTTCCAGTTTGAAGAAATTCATCTATCTTCTTTGCAATTTTTATTCCTATACCAGGTAATTTCTTTGCTTCTTCTCCACTTTTAACTCTCTCTGGTAAAGCGCTTAATGTCCCAGCTGCTTTACGATATGCATTGTACTTATAAATATTCTTACTGACATTACGTTCAAAATCTGCTAGTTCTGCAAATATATGTTTGTATCTAATGACATATTCTTAAAGTATAAAATGTAAGTAAAATTACATTTTTTTAAATTAAGTTAATTTTACGCAATACGCAATTCCAGAAAAGAATATACTTACCCAACAAAAAATCACACAGATCTTGATTAGGATTATTTGCGTTATTCGTGGCTTTTCTCTTACCCATTATATAGGAGATGCGAAGCAAATTTTGAAAAAATAATCGATTCAGTTTGTCACTTTTTAATTTCATAAAATTTCGTTATTATGCCGGAGAGACTTCAATGTTTATTTTGAAAATGGAAAAATAGTCAACTCTTGTAAAATCTCTCGCAAAATAATTAGATAGATGGCGTGAGTATATATTTGTCAAATTCGTTGCACCAATCACTTTAAATATCTCACATGGGCGCTAAATACAATACGTATGTAACATAAATATATAAAACTTCTTTTGATTAAAATATTATTAAATATAAAATATTTATAAATATAAATAAATATATATTGCATATATATATATATATATATATATATATTATATATATATATATATATATCGTCAATATATATATATATATATATATATATATATATATATATTGACGAGTATATAATTTGTTGGATTTCTCCTTAAAATTTAACATATCTCTCATATATACATATATATATATATATATATATATATAATATAAAAAAAATTTTATATATAAAGCAATTTACATAACGACAGATTTATTCCAACATTTAACATTTATTTCAGGCAAAGATGTATATAGATTCGCTGAGAAATATAAATTGATCTACCGCTAAAACAAACTCTGTTCAACAATTTTTTTCTTATATTTCTAAATCTTACAACATGTATATATGATGCGATAAAATCTCTTATCTCTTCAACTAAAAGAAAGTACAATCGACGGATTTCTTTTATTATTTTCTTGGCATACTGAAATTTGAACAAATATTTTTTTTACATCACTCAGTATGGGAGAAATTATTTGGTTAAATGATAGTGGCAAAAGTCTTGTTGAAGTTTGGCATTGCATTTAGAAGAAACTTCATAACAAAACATGAAGGTATTCTACGAAAAATATCACTATACACACACATATATATATATATATACTTTTTAGTATCCTGGAGTATTTTTAAAGTTTAACGAAACATATAGCCACTTAAGGATGTTTAAATCAGAATAAATGTACATTTTAATTGTATTATAAGAAATAATTTAATACTTGTAATTTCTTATAATAAATCTAAGAAATTGTTCAAATTATTTAAATTTATATACACTCAAAAGAGAGGAGCGTATTGATACATCCCTAAAACTGGCACTGTTGATGAATAGAGTATTATAAGTTTGGCATTATACCATATTGTTCAGTTGCATGACAAATGAACAATGATTAAGATAGATATAAAGATGGATACTCTCGACATAAGTACTTTAAAAAAGTTTTTAGGAAAGAAAATTTCTTAAAAGTACTTTGCTTCAGAAACTTAAGAGAAAATAAAAATATTGAAAATATAAATCTAATAAAAATAAATTTGATTTGATTGCAATCATCATAATCTAATTTTTTACTCATTTTGAAATAACAACTAATAAAAAATCATTATATATAGCTTCATTTTACTCGAAACTTAATGCAGACAGTATAAAGAAACCATATTTTCTGGACGGATCTTTGTCTCTAATTTACGCCAAGTTAATTCACTATTTAAGTATGTTATAAGTACTTTTGATTGTACGCTACTCTATACGGAAGGTATACGACTGTAAGTTGCATAGCTTTTCGCACAGCAGCCTGAGACGAAAGAACAAGTGGCAAGTACAATGACCAGTATAACAATAAATATATAAGCACATAGCTGTGGAAACCTGCCTGGTAACCATAAAATCGTGAACTCGACGGTCTTTTCTTGCGTATCTGCAATACATACATATACATGTAATTACCCATTGACATCCTAAAAAATTTAATTCTATACCTATATAAGCAAGTCCATAACCCATATGCGGTGTACCCATTCTATAAGAACAAGTCGGTATTTGTACTTCATGAATATCCCCTACATCCATTCTCAATTGATATAGAGGCGTTTCGTATGGTGGAAGAATCCAAATCTCACTCAACTGATCTGTCGCCGTGTCTAAACTTACATGCATCGCTTTATGCTCGTGCGCGGTAAAAATCACTTGTGGTGATAACTCTTTGATTACCTATAACAAATAGCAATGTGGTCTAAATAATTGGAAAATAAATATAATATATATATAAATATATATATATATATATATATATATATATATATATAGGCATATAAATTTTTTTTCTTCTTAATGTGGATTATATATACATTTTGTACAAAGCTGCCAGGCATAAATAATAGAGGCATATGACTGAGAATAACATTGGTCGTATTCCTTTCTGCGTAATCATTAAGAAATGCATCCTTTGGCGCGTCTGGCATTGTACGTGTTAATCTATTTATCTATAATAAAATACATACACATATTTATTCTTTAAATATGTAGAGATATACATGGGTAAAAGTTGAAGGTTTATACCTTGAAAAAGGTAACAGTTTTATAAACTAATGTATCTGGTTGAGTATATGCAAAATTGAATCTTTTATGGATGTTAGGAGATACAAGATCATCCTCACCTCCAATGTCATTATCACCTGGCAAATAAATTTTCTGAAAAAATAAAATAAACTTTATTAATAAATAAAACAAATTTTTTGTGAAGAGAATAGATATATGAGAATGGATATATTATATAATTAAAATACATACCATTGTGTCTTCTGGCATTGAAAATATTGAATCCCATCTTCTTTTATATCTTTCAAAATCTTCCGCATTAGCTATATGACCTTCATCCATAAGATCACCAAGAAAGGCAATAACATGTGGTTGAGAATATTTTACTGCTCTCGAGAAAGTCTTTTCCAAGTACCTGAAAATACAATAAAAGTTTTAGAACAAAACCGAGATCAATGAAGCAGAATCATACCTATCGCTATCCCATCTTGCTACCCATGAGCCAAAATAATTCTCATACTTTTCCCCGAGTATTTGTGGATCTGCGACGAGAAGGACCTTGACACATTCGGAACACTCGCGCATAGCCCACTTGAATTTTTGAACTTCGTATACAAGAAATTCATTGTAAAATATTGTCACAAGAATGATGAATCCAATGGATATTATTCTATGTTTCAACCTGTTTGAGATAATTTATTAACATTTTTTAGTTATTTCTTTTGTAATATATTATATTAGAAGATAATTCTGTAATTTTTTTCAGAAATTTGTTGAAGACAATTATTATACTAATTTTATCACAGATGTGCATTTATTGGCAAAATTCTCTATTAACTCGATATATAGATCATTTATTGTATCTATATTCTATTTTATCAGTTCAATATTAGATATATAATTATTAATATATTTTAATTATTATATTTTTCATAATTATCAATAATTTATTGCAATTTATATTGTTGTCTTTTATTTTATTTTATATTTATTTTCAGTCAAAAATTGATTAGCTACAATCTATAGATTAGTAAATATTATTTATAAACTAACATTTTCTTTTGTATATCATGATACTTAAAAATGACTTTTAACTCAGTGTCGACAATAACATGTTTTTATAACATAGTTATTGATATTTAAATTAAGTGATTACCTATTTCGACGTAACATCTCTATGATTTGATTGACAGCATTATACGATGTTGTATATAAAATTAATCCTCAATTCATTCATTAGCATATTACCGGCAATATTATCCGATTCATTAGCATTTGAATCGTTGGCACAGTGCGATTTTTTTTAAGTAACTTTAACCTGACATAGACAATTGTAAATTTATGCACGAGATATAATGCAATATTCTTTTTCTTTTTTTTTTCAAGAAGAGAGTGTGTTGCAATTCCAGAAAGTTATCTAACACATTGTGATTGCACAATCATTGATTTCAAGAATTGTTTAATCCTTCTTGTTTTTGCAGCAAAATTACACCTCTTTCGACCAATTCCATACTTAGGTTGGTCTAGTTCTTATCCTCTACTTAGTTTATTTTTTTTAGGTTAACTTTCATTCGCCAAGAGGCGATTACAAGATACGCCCGATAAACTTTGGAAACACATGATTCCCTCTCTATTCACTATCTTATCATTATTGATCCCTGAGATCTATGAAAGCAAACTTACACATCTGATTCGTATATCAATAAAATAATTAAAAACGAAAAACATAAATAAAGAAAAAATCTGTCATAACTATATTTAAAACAATCTATATATATCATATTACATATATTATATATATATATATATATATATATATATATATATATATGTTTATCGAATTCTATTAAAATTCAATTCAATAAGAATAGATAAATACAATCATGAATACGATCATGAACAATTATAAACAGATGCTTCTCCCTGTTTACTCTGTTACAGATGTGCGTCTCAGGTGCATCTGGTCTGCATGACGTGATCCAAAGTGACGGTGTCGCAATAATGCTTTTCAATTATCCCTTCTATTGGTAATCACAAATTCTATCAAAATCTTCGAATTTATTTTTTACCTTAATATTATATGTATATATAATTTATACTAAACACAATATTATATTCAATATCGACGGCAGCAGGGTTATTTAATCAATTCACATATTCGAAGAAGAATATATTTTACTTTACATGTCAGAAAACATAAATACAAATTTTTTTATTTCGCGCGGCTAAATATCTGTTGCGTGTTGCAATAAAATGATACCGACCATCAATCACGTGAATATCGTCGATATCCAAAAACATGTCGAGGCGGCCCGACTGGAACCCCCGTAACCTCACAGATGTCGGCCCTGACCTGCTACATATGTCAAATGTTTACATGCGTCGTTCGCGGCTCGCTCGGCTTCCGCCCATCCGCCAGTACACCTACGCGTTTCACGGGTTCGTTTTGAGGCTGCATTCGAGAAGGACAAGGACCGCGTTTGAAAACAAGGGTGCAATTTTACGAGAACACACGACTCGTGAAGGAACTCTTCGGACGCAAGGATGGGTAGTTACGCGAGCAGAATCGCGTCGATGTCTAACACGGCTGTCCACAGTGTGTATCGAGGCTGCAAACGCAAGTACATCGAGGAATACGACTGCGATTCCGAGTCCGATTACATCGAACGAACGCTGCACACACCGAAAAAGTAAGATCTCTCTCGCAGATCGCTTTTACAGTATTTATTTATTAATGTAGAAATCTCTCGCAGACCTTACCGTTACCTTCGTCTATCACCTTCGGGGGATTCTATATTTGATGATAAATGTTAATATTTCGTAAGTTTTGCGCTGCCGATGTTATATCTTGAATGCTTCAATTTGCAGGAGAAAATTGCTCACGACGGCACAATATATATACAAGACCCTATTCCAAGAAGAGAAAGGCAGTGACATAACTGTTTTCATACTGGGAAAAGCATGGAGATTACATAAAGTTTATATTAGTCAGGTATGACTCACATAAGCGCGTGCACTTTCTACACATGCATACATACACAAAACACAATGCATAGTATTTGTATATGTTTTGCCTTTTTTGTCCTTCCCATTCAATATGACAGATATAACATTCAATGTAACAGATTCTTTGATAATTTTGAGATGTACATTTTTGTCTAATAAATATTTAATATAATGTTTTATTATTAATATTTTATAGTACATTTTTTCATTTTCAATGTTAAATATCTTTGGAACTATCAAATTTAATGTAATTTTGAAAATATATAATTTGGAAGTATCAAATTTTATTGTTAGAATAAAATCTACTATTTTTGAAGTTAAATGGAAAATAAAGCTTCGTCATCTTTGTTTATTTTATGCAAATCTTATATAAAAATCTTTATAAAAATTTATGCATATTTTATTTTAGTAGTTTATAAGTACTAAATACTTTTATCCACAACATTTTATAAAAGAATCAATTTTAAATTGAGAATAAGAGAAAGAAAGAGAAAGAGATGAAAGAATTTATCATTGAATTTGTCAATTGTATAATTTTAATTATACTTTATGTAGCCAAGTGATGCAATTCTAATGATAGATATTTTTAAAGAAATTTTTTTTTTACAGAGTCCATACTTTGCTAGTATGTTTTCTGGTTCTTGGAGAGAGACTAATGAGAAAGTTATTAATGTAGAAATCACAGATCCTAACATTACAATGAATTGTAAGAATATATTATTTAATCTCTAATTAAATATCCAGAGAATATCTCTTACATGTTATATCAAAAGTAAAAAAATCAAATTTAAGAATGTGTAATCTTATGTAGAAAGAATATTTATTCTATATAATTGTTTCAGCATTATGTACAGTGTTAGGCTCGCTCTATCAAGATGAAGTCACTTTGGAGCCAAAAGAAGTTATTTCTATTTTGGCAACATCTGTTCTGTTTCAATTGCAAGGTTTAATAGACGAGTGTGCAGACATTATGATAGAAACTACAAATAGTGAGACTGTGGTACCATATTATAATGCAGCTGTATCATATGGTGTACCTACTGTGAAAGCAGCTGCAAAACGATGGTTGGAAGTCAATTTATTGAATTACGGATGGCAGCATCCACCTTTTTTAAAAGAAATTGCACCAGATTTAATGGCAGAATTAGTTGCAAGTCCTGATTTAGTTGTCTTGCAAACAGAATTCTGTATATATCTAATGTTGCGCATATGGTAAGTTTATATAAGTGTTTTTATATAAATATCTTATATATTCAATTTCGAAAAACTAATGATAAAAGTGGTTTATATGCTTGATGCAGGTTATTTGCACATACTCACGACTACGATGATACGTTGAAAATCGACGATTACTTTAAAAATCACAAATGGACGGAACCCTTTTTAACGACCGATGAGGGCAAAGAATATGCAGCACCTTTTAAGGCACTAAAGATGAAATATTTGCTTTTACATGAACAAGATGATAAGATATTATATAATGATAATTTAATACCACCAGATTGGCTATACAATGCTTATAGAGAACAATGGCATCACTTATTAAGAGTTGATGGAAATTTAGATAGAGGGTAAGCTTGTCAAAGATTACATCGGAATTTTTCTTTTAAATAAACTAAAATAAATTAGATTATTTATTTTCTTTCTAACACACAGTCCAGTGCAGATGACGGAAGAAGAATTTGCAAAAGAATGCTTTCGATGTGGTAGATGTGTTGAAAAGCCAGGTGAACATACTTGGAGATGGAAAGCCTTCCATTATGGATTAGATTTAGTAATGACTGTAGACACAACTAGTTTACGCATTATGAGAAATCATAGAGCGGACACAGAGCATATTAAGGCTAATCATAAGGAACATAAAATTCTGATAAAGTAAGCTTGAAATTATTGGTTTGACTTTAAGAATGAATTAGATCAAGAATAATAAAAATATGAAATTTTTCAATTTTAGAGTCTGTCTATTTTCATTGGACGAGCAACGTCAAGTGAAACACGTTCAAAATTCGGGTATGCTAAGATTACGTTTGAGAAAGAATACAGAAGTAAGTTATCGTTAAGGACGACTTTACGTAATATAATTTATATAGAATATGATATAATATGTTATTTTTGCATCAGCACATTTTTTTTCAGCACGAGATAATGTCCCTGGATAAGCAGCTAACTTATCCTCTGTATATATCAGTCAACATGCAACTAGTCACGCCACTCACATTGGAAGAAGAGACAACATCAGCTGATGTCATATTTTCAGATACTTAGCATTTCAAGAATATAACATTTTATATAAAGGTAAAAAATATCGAATTCTCATGAATTGTCGCTTTGTAATATATTCCACTTGATTGAATGTGTTGGATATTATAGACACATGTTACTATTTGGCACAACACTTAAATAGAAAGAGATATGGATCTTTAATAGAGACCAAATTCTTTCTTATGTAGTGATATACAGGGGTCCATTTTTACTGCATTATCTCTTTACTGCATCTCTTTTAATAACAAATTTTTTTGTCAATTTGGGCTCAACTGTTTATTAAGCGGAAATATCCTATTGTTATCAAATATAACAAAATTTTAAATTTGGAAATTAAATAAATAAACAAAATTATGTTTATTAATTAATTTCGAATATACCACAATACAATTTAAATTTTGACTCTTGTTGTGAAGATATATAATATGATAAATATAACTATGAAGATTGAAAAAATGCTGTGAGAAATAATTACATTTTTCATATTTTTATTTAAAAAAATTATTTCTCTTCCCAAATTGGCTAAAGAATCTATCATCAAAAAGTAACATGGTAGAAATGGAACATTCTATATATATTTTTACATCAATGTATATTGAATTTGATATAATTGATGTATTTGTGATTTGTATTAATTATGAAAGTCATTCTAATAACTGGCAAGAGCCTTGTCATTAGATAGATTTTAATATTTCCCTCTAATCATTCCTAAGCATGTTCCTTTGGACTGAATAAAAATGCATTAATGATAATTTAGTAGATTAGATACATTGCATAATCAAAGAATTCTTTTTTGCTTTTTTAATACTTTAATATTTTTTTTAATACTTGAATTACTTTTATAATTTAAATCATAGTTTGTATATATAACTTTGGAATGATGGGTAATTCTGATAGAATATATAGAAAATGATCAATATTTTTCAGTGTTTACTGATAAATCATAATTGCAATCGTAATTACTTAATTTCTGTATTCTAGAGACAAATATTAAAAAATATGTACGACAATGTCTATTGAAATGAAAAAGAAAATGCTTCTGAGTACTTTAATTAGATTGAAGATTACAAATAAGTAAAATTATTTTTCGTCTTTATATATTTATATATTTATATATTTATATAATTTGTATATTAATTATAGCAATTTATCTTGATCATATTACTTTAATTTATAAATCGTGCAATCATATTACTTTAATTTATAAATATTTAAATTTAAATTTTAAATTTAATGTTTAAAAAAAATTTTAAAGAGAAAGCTGTCAAGCGGACTATAAATTACGATTTTTTTATGAAAGTGGCTATAATCGAAAACGACTTATTTTCGAATATTATATAATTTTTTTCCTTCTTTTTTTGGTTCCAAATCAAAGTACTGCGGACGATTTTCCGGATACCTTGTATACATGTACATATATACTATGTATACTATATATGCGTAAAACACTATATATTTATGAAAAAATTTAAAAGATTTTGAGATATTTTTTGTATATGTTATTCCATGAGCTATATTACTTAATAATGGAGTAAAAGAAAATTTCATTGATACAATACGTTATATAAAAAAGAGGAAATGGTTTTCTGTCTTCCCAGTAAAAAATTTTCTTCGATATATTCTAGTGCCTTTTATCTATGTAGCGAAAAAGAAACTACGTATAAGCGAATTAACTTTCATAATACGCATAAGACGATAACCTTTGTAAACATATTTTTTTTATAAAGAGATTTTCTTACTACGACAGTCTTTCGGTAAAATTATAATAAATTTTACAGATACATGCAGTTTATGTGATTCTCATACCTACAAATACTCCTACCTTCTTAAAATAATTTTTTTCAACATATTTCGATTCAAGTTTGATTAATAAACTTAATTTTAATTAATATCAGTTGTTTGGATGTAATAATTACTTAAGAAAAATGGGTCTTTATGAAAATTCGCAAAAGGAATACGCTTATTAATCGCTCAACATTTTATTATTGGCAGAATACTCTTTCTTTCTCTTTCTGTACAGAATATATGATATACGTAACGTTATTCTCTCGTGTGCACGCGACACACATAATGGACATTTCGACAGATTCAATGAGGTTTGACATAGACATTCTTTTGATACATGTCGCAAACAATAAAAGGCATTCTATGAAAAATCTCATATGTATATACAATTTTTGGAAATTTTTCTACGACGATCATTAAATTCTGTTCATTATTAAAATCCATCTTAATGGATGCATTAATATGTATATATGATGTAATTTCAACAGAAAAGCGTTGCTCTAAATTTGAAAATAGTAACCTGGAACGCTTTTATATAACAATGTAATAGATATATTACATGAAATATATGTAATATATTTTTTAATATTTCAATATTTTATTAATGTAATAATTTTATTAATGTAATAACTATTTTCAAGACATGGCAGCGTTTTTTTTATCAACATAAGTATTATGGCAGCAGTTTTTTAGTCATTAGGGTATCACGTTTGATAAATACAAAGCTTGGAAAATTTTTTATATTTAAAAAGATTATAAAATTAATTAGAATATTTGTCACGTGTGTGCGCGAGCAATTATATGTACTCGTATATTTCTTCGCATGTAGTTAAAGCGTAAGGAATTAACATTATAAGCATACGACTACAATAAAGGATGTTTAAAAAGTGATTAAAATCATATATATGTATATAATATGTATGTATCGTATAGAGATGAAAACAGTTGAAAAAATTCCGATATGACTTAAAAAATATAAATCAAAGCAAAAAATATATATCGTATATATTCGCATTTGAAATTTTGCATATATTGCGGGATATTTGGATATATGTAGATTTAAGATATCTTTGTATTTTACGATCGTCATGGCGAATAAACTGTACTCTCACAGTTATAATATTCTTCTATCGACATACCTCACATACATATATCAAAAGAATGCAAGTCAATCTCGACAACAAGAACTCCACATTTTTTTTTGTAATTATGGAGCCGCAATATTTCCAATGACATGGAATAAAATCATTCATCTCGAAACGACAGGGGAGATGTAAGAGAGAGTGTTGGAATAAGGTAGTTTTTTTTACTATCAAATTAATTAATGAAAATTGTTTTTAATTAAATATAGAGTATTACAGCCAATACTAAAGCATGTGACTTACATTAATTTATAATCTTCGATAGCACTGAAATTTCAATTGTTTACTCTGTCATCGTGTTCACACACCAACCCTTGCCCCTTTACCAATTCTATCTTTATTTCTCCTGTCGTTTCCAGTCTTAACAATACCATCACGTCCATCAAAAGATTGTTGCCATTTGCGCTCTAATGATAGTAATTATTAGCAGTATTATTTGTAACAACGTACTAACAATAACTATAATAGTAATAATAGTAGTAGCGGTGTAATAGTAATTAGTAACGATCGTTAATGGCAATAATGGCGACGACGAGTGATGGAGCAGCAACAGTGGCAATCTCATTTTGTAGTACTACTATGTGACATAGTTTATATTGATGAAGCACGCTATTTCTCTCTCTTTCTCACCTAGTTTCTTTGTCGAAAATAAATCTAAATCTATTCTCTTCCTCGTTATATGTTATTGCTCGTTCGTCATTTGCTTGTACCGCACATTGCTGTGTGTTTTGTCATCATTATTACTATTATTATTAGCATTAGTATTATATAGAGTGTTCGATCATTATAATACATATGGAAATTATTGAGAAATAAAATAATTTTATCTCGTTAAAAATAGAATTAAAGATATGCAAAAATTTCTAAGCTGCAATGAATTTTTACAACGAATTAATATATTTAAACAAATGATTTTTAAATATCATCTTAAATTACAGTTGACGTGATCTTTAAAAGTTTTAGAAATCAAACTTTTCTGTAAGAAACGTGGCATTTGATTAAATTCCATCAATGAAAACATTGTTTGAGCTTTTTCGATTAGGAATAACGATGAGCACTATAAATGCATTTATTACCGAACACCCTGTATTTACCCTTCTTAAATTTGTCATTCGCAAGCAAAAAGAACAGCAACGAATTATTAAGGCCGGTTTTTTCCAGTCGGTCAACTTATTTGATCTCTCTCATGAGCAATATTGTACGATCTAAAAAGAGAGATAAAGGAGATTCTTTTATCTGTCAGATAAATTATGGGAGACTCTTTATATATCCGAAGGTGCAACAACCGACTAATTGAGCTATTGAGCTTAGCATCACGCTCAATTATTATTGCGGCACACACATACACGCACACCCACCCACACATGTATTGTATCATACATATGCACATACGCATACATAAATGGCGGTTATTGTACGCTCAGGTGACTCAAACTGTTTACTGCTTAAACTGCACTTATTGCAAACTTTTTGCGAAACACGGAATAATCGTGGACGCGATGGTGAATTTTCAACCCTTATTAGAGCTAAATGCGAGGTTTCTCTCGGCATATCGTCGATATGTTATGTCCCATTCTTTATATAGCCCGTTTTACGTAGCACTAGTATCTTAAGGTGTTAAGGTTTACCTTGAATCGGGGTTAAAGAGGAGATATATTACATCCATTCAGATTTTACTTCAGTTTACTTTAATTTAAACTCTTGATAGCGAAATAATTGATTTCTTTAGATAAACGTAATGATTTTCCAAAGATGAATTGACATTTTTTTAGTAATTATTATTAATTTTGTTACACATATATATGTTTAAAAAATTGATAAGAAAAATATTATAATTATATATATATTATAAAAAAATAATATATAATTATACATTTAACATAATTATATTGTATACTGTGAAATTGTATACAATATAATATTTATATATTAATTATTATATATTATAGACTTAAACTGAAAAAATTAAGAAATTAAAATAATAAATTTTAATGAAATACTAATGCGTGAGAAAGAGAAAGAGAGAGAGAGAGAGTACTGAAGTAAACTGAACAAATGTAACGGCTGCACCCTGCATTATATGCCGTTTCATCATAAACGCTAGGTGACATATTGCACCTCTAAAAATAAGCAGGACTATCAATCTCGCGTGCAATTCCATTTCGGCTTTGTTCCGACAACAAAATATATATTTTTTCTTTGTTTTGCGTGCATATACATACGTCGAAATGATGCATACACACACGTACATACACACAGAAACATTCATGCAAAAACACACATATATGTTCAGCAGTAGCAGGCGAGGTGCGAAATGTGTCGCGATGCCGCTACTTTGTATTTACGTTACCGTGTGTGTGAGACTTTTTTTTTTGTTATACTAATCGTAAATTTTTTTCTCGCAAGAGATACCTGTCTCTTTTCCTACGTTTTTTTAGTTCGATAATACACTTGTCGTGCAACAAAACATTCGGTCGGTTCTATACAAGAGTAAGCGAATTAACAAGAATCGATAGGAATGTGTTTTACAAAAGTTTATCAATTTCTAAATCTTTCTCGTAAAATTTAAAATATGTATGTTGTGTGAAAAAAGAATCGTATATTTTACGTAAACACATTGAATAATTTCAGAAATAAAATAACATTTGGAAAATAATTAATTAATTAATTACAAAAACAAATTCCTAATCGATTCCTCTTAATCTACTTGTGCAAAAAATATCCACAAATTCGACAGCTGGTTAAAGCACAGTTGCTTAAAGCCGACAAAACATGGCGCGACAAGTGCGATATCAGCGAAAGACACGAAAGACATCGATGATTGATTTTCTTTTTACGCAGAGGCCATGTTACGTTTTTCTCTTACTTTTTTCTTTTTTTCGCGAAGATATGTACTACTGAAGTGTCGCCTTCGCGTATCTGGCAGTTATCACCGTTACGCTACGTTATAATCCGGCTATTTTTTGCAGACCGTTCGCAGCCTAAGACACTGTCGAGGAGTCGATTAAATCTACCCGATTACTAGCTACGAGATTTGAAAATTTCGCTAAGAGGCTTGCTATGTCTTTTGAAAAACATGCCATATTATTCCGATGAATCCTTTGAGAAAAACCGTGGCGCAATGTATGATACTTTGTCTTTGATGAAAAGCAAGTTTGAGATTATCTGTTTGATGATATTTATATCGCTTGTGACTAAGGAAATAAATTTTATACGTAATCGAATAAAGTGAGTCAAATTAGTAATGTCTTGCAAAAACTGCTATAAATTTATATAAATAATTCGTATCATATCTTAAAATAAAAATTGCTTAAATATATATTAGATATATTATAGATCTACATTTTAACTTAACGTTTATATATCTTTCCATATTTTTTGATCTTTCATGACAGTTATTTTCAATCATTGCCGTATTTCTTTTTCCGAAGAAATAAATTTTTAAACATACATTCTTTCTCGGAAATAATAATAATCTCACTTATGTGGACTTTATCGAAGAGAGAAAAAAATTAATATTTGTATTGTTTTCTCTCAATTCAATTCAATTTCTCTCAATGAGATACTATCGTTAATTTGGATTGTATGTCGTCCATCTCGTACGTAGGTTAATCGATATTAAAGCTATGTAACAGAATATTCGATATTCTTGAGTACTCAATGTTCATTTCACATGTACACTCGAGTTGTATCAAAGTCGATCTCGAGTACGAGTACTCGAGAATTTAATTCGAAATTTATTATATTGAGAGAAAAAAGTTTAATTTATCGAAATTGTAAAGAAATCTTAGAAATAATACCAAAAAGAAGAGAAGAAAAAGCTATAGAAAAAATGTAGAAAACGAAATTATAAAAGATTATTTCCTTTCTTTAAGGGTCTTGTAAATATAAGTACATGAAGAAAGAATTGGAAATTTTTAAAATTCACTGATTGAAAACCTATAGAATTTCGGTTCCCGAAAAATACTGGAAGTGGTGTCGGATTCGTTGTACATACAGTTCGGATATCTCGGAACGGGGAAGAGACGAAAATTCGGTAGCTTAAATGGAAAAAGTATTCGTGGAAGCGACGCGATGACGCGCCTTGATCATTGTCTGATCCGGATTTGATTAGGCCGGAGGAAGATTAGGCTGAAAATCGAAACGGCATTTTCTCTCCCGTTGATCTCTCGATGCTTATCAATCTCTCGAATCGGGGAGACCGTAGCGAAATTGACGGTAATAATCGAAAGTGGCGTTTTTGATCTAATCGCGTATCTCGATATACGAACGGTCCGGGCGGCGCGACGATGACGATGGCTGGATCGATTCGGATTCTCTTCATCGATTCGTGCGACTCGATCAATTGTTAGGCAGAATTAGGCTGGCGAGAGAGAGGCGGGCACGACAGCAGCAGACTCGGTATCGCCAGAACGGCAGTCAGGAGGGACGCCAATGGCAGTAAGGACGGCGTGCGGAGACTCTCGACGGAGTTGCACAGATCACCGGTGCACGAGCAATAAAATGCGCGCACGTCGTGGGTGCCGGACCTCATAAGGCACTCGCCATTGTCCTTCTCGTCCGTGATGTAGCCGCAGCTTCGCACGACCCTCACCTTGCCGTATACTGTAACAATACATACCGGGGGATTATTCTTAAAAAAAGAAAAAATTATTTTGCTATTTAACAATTTTAAGATATCGTTTTATTACTTTCAAACTTTTCTTGCCTATGAGGCTCTTTGTTTGACTTTTTCTAGAATAAAAATGTTTAATAATATGACTAATAATTGTATTTCTTTCATTGCAATAACATTTTAACCACCGTTAGAATTGGACATAATAATACAACACATGATAGCTGTAACAAATTTCTTGCATTATTAATTATTATCACATGTTGTTTATAAAAACATGTAGAATATTGCGAGTTGATAAATAGAAACAATGTAATCGATATAAATAATATTTATTGAATAACATTCTATAGATATGTAACAGATTACTATAACTGCGGGTTTTCGTTTTTGAAAACAATTGTTAACGATTAAATATAAAATTGCTAAAATAGACGATATTTTAATTAATTTGAAATATTATTGAAACAGAACTTTATAAAAGTGACCTCACTTCTTGAACTGATTTTTCGGCAAAGAGTAGGTTCTAAGTGGCTGAGGTGTTCCAAACGAGGCTGGAAGCTGCAGTTGACAGTTCCCAGACTGTACGGATCGAATGGATCGCCACATCTTGGGTCGTACTCGCTGTTGCATTGATAACATATTATCGCTTCACCTGTGATAAAAAAAAGATTTTATTATTTTTATATCTTGTACGCAAAGAATAAGGATCGATTGCAAGTAAAATAATTCCTCCGAAATCTTTAAATTTTGGGAATTCTAGAATTTTTAGAATACTTCAACACGCAACAATAAAAGGACATATATAACTTGTTCTTATGTAATTAAAGATCGCGTATAGAAAGGCAAGAAACTATATTTTATAGAGTACATTCTTTAGAAATTAAAATTAAGAATTTTGCGATTTTATGGTAGGTTCAAAAGAATGGGACCAGGACTTGAGCGCGTCGATTGAGGGAAGGTCTGGTTCACGTTTTCTCGCCCTTCCATGACGTAACGCTGCACGCGCACCCATTGCATCCCACGACTACCGAACTAGGCTGATACGGCACCAGCTGATATCGAACAGGCAAGGCACGCGATGACCTACACTCAGCTGTCGTGGATCGATACGAAGAAACCGAATTTTATAGCGGGTATAAAATTAGGCGATTAGAGAGACAAATGCATAAGCGATGAGTTTTATGAGTAAGTAAATTTAACGTTTTACCTTGTCATATCTAATATCTATATTTACCTTGTTACATCTAATATCTAATATTGAGCGACATGTAAACTTGCCAAACTAATTAATTAATTTTAAATAATTAATTTGTATAGTAATCTTATGCATTTCTTCTTCTCAGTTTTTATATTTTTTAAATATTCTTTTTTATTTTATTACGTTGTCACTATGTTATTTCATCATAATCTTTGCTTAAACTCTCTATGATCTTATTTTTAGGAAAATATACTCTTAGACGTCAAATAAAATATTATACTACACTTACGTAATTTTTTATTATATGTAATTTTAACTGACTTATCTTTTATAATACATAATATATAAAGGAAAGAATTTTAGTCTTAAGCAATTAAAAAAAATCGAATAAATGAAAAAAGTTTGATCACGATAAATTAAATATATCACTGGTTAATGGCATCTAGATAAAATGCCAAGATAAAATTTTACCAAGTTCAAGAATCTTACTCACGCAATGGATATTATTCTACTTTTACTAAAAATATACAATTTATTTACGAGTGAATCTATGTGATTTTCTTCACTCACATTATTATTACTCCAAAACAACGATAAATTTTTGATATTCCATGAATAAGAATTGATGAAACTAAACATTTGTAAAACATAGAATTAGATATACTAGCAAATAATATCTCATTAGAAAGACAATCTATATGATATCTTTAAAAAATATAAGAAATATATATTATGAAAAATGTAATATATATATATATATATATATATATATATATATATATAATATGGACGACAAGAAACAATATTATCATTACAAAGAAAATGAGATACGCACAAAACTATACTGAAGGGTATAGGGATGAGGAAAAGGGGAAGGAGGATAAATGAGGGTTGGAGGAGGAGAAAGTGGGTCGCTCGATAACTTTCACAACGGTAGCTTTCGTAGACGCTATCTTAAATTTCAACAAATTGTCGAATATATAGTGAATTTATTTGCGGACTGCCGATGCCAATTACTTTTATATCGGCAATTACTTCGATCGGCGGATGGAAGAAAACCGAAAGATTCCAAGCGCGCATCAGCCGGTACCCTCTGATGCACTTGTGAAGACATGCGTATCGCGAGGGAAAGATAGAGAGGGAGGAAATTCAATTTGGAGAAATAAAAACTGAAACAATGCAATCGTATTTGATGAATCGATACGCGATAAAGTTCGCTTGAATATCGAAAAGGTTATATCGTTACTATGTATATCATTATTCCATTAATCATTTTTCGTCCAGAAACTTTCACCTTTGCATTACTACGGCAAGGTTACGTCATCAACTAGTGAACGATGTTTAAACAAAAATAGCGAAATATCACGCCTAATCATTATTTTCGACGCTATTGAGGAAACGAATATCTATTATTGGAGCCTCAGCTGTTTCCCGGATTTGACTTTTCCGCTGTCGAAGTCGCAGGATATGTATCGACAACGTCAGCGGAGAGAAATGGGATTAAAGCTCGACGATTCCTTTAATCGAGGTCGTGCATTTACCGGCATTTTCAACGAAATCGAAATGATAAAATGATTATAAAGCTCGCATTCTATGTTAAACACTTGAATACAATTTGCTTATACTTAGTATGTTCAAGCGTTTAACATAGAATGCGAGCTTTATAATCATTTTGTTATAAAACGAAACTTTTATATTATTCTATGATAATTAAATAAATTGGAGCTCAAAGATTCAATAAACACATAAAAAGAAAATAACTATTATTTTTTTCTAATTATTTCTTTCAATTTATTTTTGTGCGTGTGCGCGATTGTATTTAATACGATCATTCAAGGAGATTCTGGATAAATTTGCAGTTTAAACCAAATGTGCAGTAGTGTAAATTTGCAGTTTATACCAAATGTGGAGGCATACAGTTATTATATTTTCTTATAATAAAATATAAAATTTGATCATCCCTTATTTTCGATCCGACATTCCGAAGTACTACAAGTGCCACTGTTGTAAGAATTCGCCGATCAGTATATTTCATTGATCGTACTACTGCGTATGATACTAAATATCACTGCTTTTTGCAAATCAACAATGCATAGGATTAGAAACGGATGAGGGGGAGATGGATTGTACATTTAAAAAAAATAGAGAATTTAGAATGAAACGAGAAAACTTATTTCTGGAACCAAAATCTATAAAATCTTGAAAGGAACCAGCAAACTTTTAGTAGCCATTTTATCCTTTTTAATGTTCTCAATGTACCTAGAAATATATATTCGAATGTTGAATAAAAAGTGAATTTATTTTGCATTAAATTAGAAATTTATCAATAAAGAATTCGGCTTTTAATCTTCCCCTCAAATTACTCCTAAATATTAAAATAAATCGATAGAAATAAAAAGAAATTTAAGCCAATTTTTTTCAACCTTAAACAATTAAGAACTTTGAGATGAGAATCTTTTTCTGAATGTTGTATTAAATGAAATTTGTTTTTTACTCATGTCTAGTGTTGAATTCAAATCTTTGCGTAACAATTTCCAATTCGTGATTATAACAATACATATTTTATATACACGATATTATCGTAGTGATAATTTTTCAAAAATAACACGAATTAATTATACATTAATTGTATATTAATTGTTATTTTGTTAACATTCAAATAAGAAATTCTACATTTGCTCGAAATTAATTTAGATCGCAAAGATTCGAAAGTCTTTTTTTTATTAAAATAAAATATAGTAAGAGGCCATAAAGAGTCAACGCAGTTGTAAGGCGTTTTTTAAAAATTATCCATGAAAACGATTCACATTAAACGATCTTTCTTCTTTATTGACATCAAACATTTCGGACTCAGTTCGAGCCTTCTTCAATGATTCTGATAAGACAAAAAGAATCAAATGAGATAACAAAACGCAATATCATTAATAGATAAGAGAGGAAAAAACATAGTCATCAACTAACTGACTGTTGCCTTACAACTGCGTTGGCTCTTTATGGCCTCTTACTATATTTTATTTTAATTTATTAATTTCGAGAGCCTTTAATTTTGTTTATCTTTTCTTTTTTTTACATTCTTGGATTTTTTCGAGCCTCCAGATACGAGAAATCTTCCGTCTAGACGGTTCATTCATGGCGATAACTTTCCCTGCCATCACCTTTACGCCGCATTGCGCCGTACATATATATTCGACTATTTTCTACGATTTCTGAATAAAGTGCACAAGGTCGTATCAACGATCGTTCCTCGCCCTTTAGCAAATGATAAATCAATCTAATAAATTAATTAAAACATATCGGGATTATGGCAACTATTGTATTAAATTCGCGCGTACGAGAAGGGTTTTTTATTCAAACTTGTCATTCGAGCTTTTTGCTTAAGTTTTCTATCCAAATGCTTGCACTAACAAATGTAATAAAGAAAAATGTTGCTAATGAAAATTAACATGCAACTCGGAAAATATTAAATAGCGAAACTGTCATTAAAAATGTTCTAATCTTTTAAACTTATTTCGAATATCTCTTGTACATTCTTTTGCGCTATTTATAAGAATAAAGTCATTGCGCAGAAATTTAAAAATCAAATTTTTATAAACGAAATAATGACTGCAAAAGAATGCATTTGGAGTACCTTTATTTTTATGTCAGTTCAAGTACATTTGAAGGCTTTTACAATTGTACTAACTGTTAAACAATTATAATAGCCTTTAAGTAGCTTGTAAAAAGGAGACAAGCTAAGAATGTAAAATTTTTTATTCGCTATTTTTGTAGCTTCGAATAAAAATAACTATGGTACTTTATGGTACTTTACCCTACTTTTACGAGAGGAATCGAGCCGCTTTCGCGCGCGTGAAGAAATGTCTCCGGAGCCGATTATTTCCTTCTCTTTCGCGCAAATTTCAATTTTTCGATTATCGATTATCGATTATCGTCGGATCGAGGCCTAAGCTAGCTCCGCTCGCTCCGATAACAATCGTGCTCCGCGGGAGAGGATCGATCGCCATTCCAGAAAGTCCAGGAAGCGCGACTGGCCGAGTCCGATCGGCACTCACCGCGATGAAAAGTGGCCGCCAGGACGAGGACGAGGACGAGGCCGATGATCGGCGCGGCTTGATTCGCGATCATGGTCATCGTGATCGGCGGACCATGTGCTCTAATCGCGTCGGATCCGCGGTCGTCGTCGCATGGAAGTTGAGCGCGTCGTCCGGGGAGGAACGCTCCTGTCGTCGTTGTCGCCGGGAAAGAGAATCGGGCAGTGAGTGAGCGTCTGGCACGTCTCGCGCCCTTCGCGGACGGGAACGCGACTCAAGGACTCTAAGGACGGCGGCTCGTTCTCGGGTCCTCGCGCGCGTACGTCACTTTACCCGGACGCATAGCAACTGACGCGCGATATCCCCGACCGTGTCACCGTGCCGCCGAGTTTCCCTCTCGGCACACTATATCCGCACGCTATGCGGCAGATCCATCCCCTCTGCGATGCGCCCGCGGTCGCGGGCGCCGCGGCCGCGGCATTCGTCGCTGCTTCAAACGGACGGGGTGGATGGTGGCTGGTGCACGCGCCAAGCCTCCTCCCTTCCGCTCCCATCCCCGAGCCACCCTCCCTTGCGCCGGCGAACCGTCTCCTCTGTCGCATCAAGATTATGGAATATTTCGCCGCGATGCATTTTTCTTTCGAGCCTTTGCGATCTTGTACCGAGAGGCACTTTTCAGATAAAGCGATCTTATGAATATTGTAATTGTGATTGTAAAGCTCAAATTCGGATATTCGAAGAATAAGATATTCCATGTTGGTAAAAATATAAAAACTAAAAAAATTAGAGGTGTTAACGGTCCGTTTGTAGTAATAATACAAAATAACTATAAAAAGTTAAAACTGTAAAGACCACTAAGATTGAAAATTAAATATAAAAATATAATAAAATATAATAAAATTGTAAAATATAATAAAATATATCAAGAAAATCTAAAGATTATATAAAGGCACGTAAAAGATTAAAGAAGATTCGTTACAAATCTTTTGCACCACTTTTGTACATATTTTTAAAGAATTGATAAAAAAAATTTTTATTTAAAAAAAGATATTATATTATCATTTTCAGATTGGTGGTTTAAATCTCACATTTTCTTAGTTTTCATACATGTATTGTCTGCATTTTCTAGGACACGATGTCTCACGATGACAGCCGGCAACTTCCGTTCGGATGTATTGGCTTTTCAATATCTTGCTGTTTATCGCGCTTATTCGCATATATGTGTGTATACATAGTGTCCTATTTCTTTTATCTATTTTTCTAGCAGCAGTAACATCTCATAAACATTACGACTTCAAGGGAGAGTAAAATGAAAGGGAGAGTATTTTGCACGACGTTTTACTCATATTTTATAGTCACGGTTCTCTTGGGTATTTAACAATATAATTTTATTTAAAGACTAGATTATCAAACTATTTATATTAAAAATTAAAAAATAATATAATATAAAATAATAACCCATCAGATTCTTGCTAAGAAAAAATTATTTGTTAAAAATTTACTAAATGAAAAGAGAAGCGCGACAGAGATTCGGCGTACTCTTTATACATGTAAAGAAATTATTTCTTATATGAAAGGAGACTTTTATCTCTTCGTTGTGCATCTCGACAGGTGGATCATTATAAGAAAGTATTGCGAGGAAACCTCTGTATCGCGCAGGAAGCACTAGATTCGAGAAGCACTAGATCGACATAAGTAATGTAAATACATGTGCATCTTTCTCGAGCAAACGGAAAGTTTCAATAAACGCACAGAGTTCTTAGAAAAATATTTAAAAAATATATATTTTTTTTAACGTATGTTATAATATATATTGTTGCGTCCACACGAGATTGATATATTTCGCGACTTTTGCCATCATCAGTCACGCTCGTACTTGCGAATAAAAAGAACGGTAAGTTTTTAAGTATAACACAATAAAAATACAGAGGATATAATAACAAGAAATAACAAAGGATATTTGAAATTAACGAAAAAAGAACTGTCGAAAATACGTTCGTACAACATTGTAAAGAAACTCTATCCGATTCTCTATCAAGACATCTTGCTTTGTTGTGATTAACAAGATCTGATGAAGACATCTTAGGAAACAATCTTCTTATCAAATCGTTTTGTATCGATAGCTCCATACCAATCGGATATATTACAAATATGATCGCAAAGCAGTATTATCGTCGAGACGAAATACAGGAACGCAACAATATTATTATATAGTATCATATATACATATTTTCTACATTTAGTGCGAAATGTGGACATTTCTAAGTTTTATTTATCTCGTGTGAAGATTGTGTACATTCGCAGACAAATAAGAAGAGACTTTTTTAGCACTCTACGATAAAAATGTGAGATGTGTAAATGTAAAAACGTAATATTTAAAATATATATTTAATAAAATATTCTAAGATCTTTTAAGGATATTTCTTTTAAATATATTTTTTTTTCTTAAATATATATTTAAAAGAAATAAAAGATCTTAGAATATTTTATTAAATATATATTTACAATATATAATACACAATGAAAAAACCGTAATATATATATATATATATATATATATATATATATATATATATATATATCACGTTTTTTTATTGTATATTATCAACACATTGCATTTCATTATAAATATTTATTATTTCTATATCTTTCAATTTTAATAATTTGAATAATGTTTTTCGTCATCTGCATAATCATTTTTATAGAATTATTATCGTTGCGATTATACCACTATTATATCATACATTAGCATTATTCAGTCAGAGGTATGTGTATGTACAATCGCTTGCCGTTATTTAATATACGAACTCATTCTAAATTTATTCGACACGTTCTCTATCAAATTCCAAATAGTTTTGTCCGTTTTATTAATCATAATATAAATATATAGTAAACAATTATTCATCAAAGGCGAAAAATAGCGATAATAAATTAATCTAAAAATTATGACTATTATAAATGTTAACGTGAAATATAACGTGAAATGTTAATATAACGTAAGATATGTAATAAAAATCGATTGGCAGTAAGCTGAGTATGTTTAAAACGTGAGTTAAATTTATCTTGGCGATAGTATTACCAGAAAAAGTAGAGCATATCTTCGAATATATATAACATATTGAAATATTTGGAAATTTTTTTGACAAAGTTGACGTTTTTACAAAAATTAATAAAAAATTAAAATCTTTTAGAGAAAAATATGTTTAACGTAGAAAAAGTTATTTTTACGATAATATTTCACTAAGTTTATTGCAAACAAAATTTCGATAATAGAATTTATTGTGAATTATATATAAGCTATATATATCTTATGTAAAATAATTTACGCGAAAACCATGTACATATTTAAATTATATAGCATTGTTTTATATAGTAACTTTTCCTTTTTAATCATAATTATGATTTTGGGTATCCTTAGAAAGAATTCATTGTACCGCAAGGCAACACATAAAATTACATAACACGAAATAAGACATCAATATGGTTACACAAAATATTTCTTAAAAAGGAATGTATTTTAACACGATTGAACATTCTAGAATTCTCAATACCTCTTCCTCTAATATCATATTATTGGGGTATGATGAGAAATTTTAACACAAGATAACTTACAATGGCATTAGAAAATTGCATTATTTGTAACAAAACAATTCCAGAGTGATTGTAATTGATTGTATTTTTAGAATTCTTGATTCATTATGGTAATTATATTTAATTATGTCATGAATATATAAAACATAAATCTACAAAAAATATAAATCATACAATATAAATTACATAATCAAATTCCTACTGCTAAGGGGCAGTGAAATTCATATAATTACATCAATTTTTCAATCAAAGCGTTGAAAATTTGCTTACCGTCGCTCTAGAACTGCTTTTATTCCGCGCGGTTTACAAATAAAATCCATTTTTACATAACGTTATGAAACAAAGCATGTACAGGCACGTTTTGTGTAAGTACTAATATCAATAGCCTCGTATAACAAATCTAACTTTAATGTTCGCACAAATACGCTTTACAAAAATTTTTATTCAAGGCCAATTAATAGTCAAAGGTTGACATACAGCAAGACACATACAATGTATAACAAATTAATATTAATATCTCAAAAAATATTTTGCTTTTAGAAAAGAGTGTAAAGTAAAAATTACATGCAGTTTTGTGTAAGAAGTGTCTTTACTGCTTGCAATAATTTACCATCGCTTTTGAGCAATAACCATGACAATATATATTTCTCAAAACTTTACTTTTATTTTATATTTTTTAAGATATTAATTAATTTTAACGTTTTATACGTGTCTCACATTTTGTGTATATTGTATAAATAAAATTGTCACATTTAACGAGGCACATATTGTGATATATAGTTTCGACCTGTCCGCTACCTTCGACATGCAGTTTCAAGCAATCTTTATTTCTCGGGTTCGTCGGGATGCTCAGTTTTAATGTGATGAGTGAACGTGTACTGCGTCGTAAAGCGTTTTTTGCAATAAGGGCACTGATATGGCATCACGGGATGTGCGGACCTCAAATGCGCTACTGCTAGCTCCCTTGATACAAATGGTGATTGACATACACCACATCGATGTCTAGAAGTAAATATCACATAAAATATTAGTACTATCCCTTTTTTCCTCTTTGTCCCGCTTATCTCTGAATACTCACTATATCTACAGAAATTTAAAACTATAATATTTTAAACATATTTTTTACCCGTTAGCAGTTTTAATGAGAGTCCGTTTAAGAGGTGGGGGTGTGCTCTGTTCATTGATTTCGATTTTTGGTTCGATAGGAGATATATTGTATTCTAGCGATGTCTCTGGACGCAATTTTGGCATCGGTTCGTCATCCCTTTCAGCTTTAATTTCATGCGTTTGTGCCTAGATATAATCATTGTTAATATAATTATTAGTTTAAAGATATATATAATGTATGTATATATATATTGTCGGATTTGTGCGACTGCATTATGTATATACCGTTGTATTGTTTTGCGTGCTTTCGGAATGCATTCTCATATGAGCATTCCGTGATTGTGAACTTGCGAAAGATGCGTCACATTTTGAACATTTGTATTTCTTGTCGTTATCGTGAGATGATGTCTTCTGCAGAGACTTTGCAACTTTCTTTCCAAATTGTGTCTTGCTTGTGCACTGATGAGCAAGAAGCGATACTTCTTTGAAAAAAATTTTATTACATTTTGCGCAGTGATAAGTTCTATCTACTGTATGCATCTTTTGTTGTGATTTATCCATAGACGATGACTTATTGCAAACAGCAGATGTATATAGCGAAGAATTATCGAGTGTCAGACGTTTATGACAAGTCTATCAATTAGAAAATAACTTATTATTTAAAAATGTCATGCTACAAACGAATAATCATAATAATTTTGTTGATTACTCTTACCTCATGCCTGAGTAGTTGCGATTGTTCTTTAAACGATTTTTTACATATGTGACATATGAAATTTTTATGAGAATTGTCCGAATGTGTTTGGAGATGTGTTAACATTGTTGTATGATCACTGAACCATTGCAAACAAATACCACATCTTGCAACGTTTTTAAATCCACTAGAATTGCGTTTTGTGGAAGATTCATCATCTACCAGAACATTGTTTTTCTCCATCATCTATAAATAAAGATACAATTTCAAAAATTTAATTTCCGATAGATAATGAAGAAAAATGTGATTTATATCAATTCTTCTTATCCTGGTGTGAAAATATAAAGGTCTTCAACATTTTTACTGAGTAGTTCTATTTTTGTCTTATTAAAATATTATATTGATATTTTTTGATATTATTCTTTTTTTAAAATCTTGAATTCATATATATATATATATATATATATATATATATATATATATATATATACAATAAAAAAGAAAAGAAGAAATGATAATAAAATGCAAATGTATTTAAATTTTTGCTATTCTCCAATCAATAATATTCCCAACAATCGTAAAGAAAATTAACAATTATAGAGAGAATTAATAATAAATTTTTAATCAAGAGAACTTGAAAGAAGATTAAATATTTTTGAAGAGATTAAACAAACCTCGGAATAGAATTTATTCTTGGCACCACGAGTTTTAGCTTCCCTCGCTTCTCTTGCTTCTCTTTCAGCATTTAATGCTTCCTCCTGTTCAACTGCTGATAAAACTGGTAACATTGTTGGTTGAACATTATGTTCAGTTACTCTATGTGCAGCCAGACGTATGAAAAGTCCAAATGATCGACCACAAATGTCGCATTTGTGTCTCTTCGGTTCATGAGTACGCATGTGGTTTGATAATGCACTTTGTTGAGTGCAAACCTGTAATGGATAGTACAAAAGTTATAGTAGAATTTAATAAAAAGACTTTATATCAAAGTATAATTATGATTTCATACCTTTCCACAAGTGGGACATGTAAGAGACTTTACATTTTCATAGAAATGCTCCTCTCTTTTAACTTCCCTTGGTCGTTCTGTCATCTTAGATATCTTAGACGTTGTAGATTCTGTGAAAAGTAGTTTCTGTGGTGTTATCGAATTTGCTTGATGTAATTGAATATGATTTTGATAAGTTTCTACAGTAGGGAAAAACCTAAAAACAAATATATGTATAATATAAAAAAGAACTGCTTATAAAGCAAATATATATTTAAAGTTATTTGTAAGTAGTCATTCATAAATTACCTATTGCACAATGAACACCATGTATTAGATCCAATCTCAGTCAATTCGGCTAAATGATCGCGTAATCTATGCTGCCTCAACATTTCCCAGCTTATGAACTGCCGGTCACATTTATGACAATCTTTCAAGCTTTCTGTAAAATCCAATTTAACTTTTAAATGATTATTAGCTTCGTGCTTTGCCAAAATTTCTACAGATTCGAAAGATAAGGAACATTTTCTACAGCTATATATACGCGGGCATTCCAATTGCATGTGTTTCATTAGACTGTCCTTTGTTCTGGAAAGAAAAAAAAATTAATTAATCTTCAAATTGTTGAATAAATTTACAACAATCTTGCAATATATTGCAAAATTATCAGTGCTCACCTGTAATAACTATTACAAGGCGCACACCACCATTCGGAGGATAATTTCGCTTTAGGTTGTAACTTTTGATGATTATTCATTGTTAAATTACCAGTCAAAACTTGTTCTAAAATACTAGTTCGTTTCTCTTCCTTTTTCGTTTGATAATCTGCCTGGAAAATTATATTTTCTTCTTCTATGTCAAATATAGAAACAATATCTGGCTTTGTTTGCATATTTGTGTCAAACATCTCGGACAACTTGTATTTTTTCGTCAATGGCTCGCAGAATGTAGTTTCATCATCCAAAATTGGATCCGTATTCATTTCTTTGATCTCTACCTCGCAAGGCAGTTCAGACAAGGTTTCTATGCAGACATTTTGCAATTGATCTTGGCTAATCTGATTGATCGGAGTCACCGACTCATTAAGAGGCAGGCCAGCTGATAGAGGAACCAATGGCGGTGGTGCTCTAGACTTCTCCTTGCAGAGTTGTGCCTGAGAATAGCAACAATTATCAAGTTTTTTTTAAGTTTCATGGTAAAATTCTTTTTACAAGAGTTTCAACAAACTGATCTTTCTAAAGCAAATTATACGATCGACAAACCTGACATGGATCCGGCGAGTTTTTCATCGCGTCGAGGAATATCTGCACGGACTCTAGCTGTCGATACTTGAATAACATGGCGTGCATGTTCCTGTAGACGTTCAGACAATACTCTCTGAACTCGTACGCGTCATCCAGCCTCGCCGCGCAAAACTGACAAATCTGTTTCGGCAAGGGATCGGTGTTGTACACCAGCACGGGTAGGCAAGCGCGCAGCTTCTGAGCCACCCTGCGCTGTAGACCTTCGTCCCCGAAGATGGGCAGCATCTCGTTCTTCTCCTCCGAGCACAATCTGCAGGCATTGTCCCACTTGTCGATCGTGTTGTCCATCGCAAAGAGAGTCTCGTTCACCGAAGCACACATCGTTCATGCACCCTGTCCACGATCACGAATTAGGTTAGTTGACGCTCGACCGAGTTAACATGTCCGATGATGGACAAGGCACATTAACACGAGCATTGTTCCCCGAGGTTCTCCAACGAGAATGTATTTAATTGTATCGTGAAACGTGCCCTCACGCAATGTGCTCGTTCACTCGTCCCGTGATGTACGCGTATATCTTCTCGAGGGAATTTCACTTTCACCCTTTCGCTCGTTCAGAATCAGCCTTTGAAGCCTGGACGACTTCGCGGAGCGAGAAGTCCAACTGATTCTTTCCGCGTCTAACAGTCAGTCGAGTGCACGCACCGTTACCGCTATTATCGTCTAGTGGGCATCTTCTACGAGGAAGGCGAGTGTCGTATTTCGTAGGTATTATCGCACCAAGGACTTTGGTTGTTACCATCAAGAGCTTCACCATGCGCCATGCAGACGTCTGCAGACGCCATTCTTCAACAACTCGCTCTTTCTTTCTCTTTCCCTCTCTACGCCAGTCCTACGCCTCTTCGTTGCTCCTCATCCACTTGAGTCTGCTCGGATCAGATCATGCAAGAGAGAAATGAGCGATAACATATAGAGAATAAAAAGGACACTTTAATCTTGTGCCAGCTTCAGTTTCGATCAAAACATCAATAGCGATATAAAATACGTACATTTTTTCACTCGATTGTTGTATCAAACATATATATCATATAATCTTTTAAATATTTTTTCTAGATTTTGATTTATTTTTTAACGGAATAATAGAGTGGAGAATTTTATTTTTTTTTTCTTAATTTAATAATAGATTATAAAAATTATTTTTTAAAGTGCAATCTTTATCTTTTTTAAGTATAATGGAAGTAAATTTGCTACTATATATTTTACAGTAATTTATGCTTATTTGTTGAATATATTTATTACATAAAATTACATAATTTTTCAACATATAAATATACATGTTTGTCTAATACTTTTATACGTGTTGAAAATTTAATTTTACTATCTCTTAGTTTGTGAGCTAACAAAATATGTTAAATAATTTTAATTCACAAACTACAGATAAAAAATGATTAATTGATAAAAAAACATGACCTATTAAAATCATATCTCATCAATTTTTTTATAAATATATTGTGTAAAGAGTACAAATATATAACTAGATATTATTTAAACATTTTTTACGTCTAACAGATCTTTGCACAGGCCTCTGCTAAACTTATAAAATAAATCTGTCATAGTACTAATATTTTGATGCCAAGCAGTAATTTCAATATAAAGATAAGAATTATTTTGCGTTTAATTGAGAAATTAATTATTTATTTTGAATTTAATCTCAAATTAATAGCAACAAAATATAATGTCCAAATTAATCAGTTTAGTAATTTTTTTATATAATGCGTTTTTATAAAAGAAAAGAAATAAATCCATTCTGAAAGCCTTTAATTTTGTTTTTCCATACATTATAACTCTTGTTATGTTCCATTCATAACAAATCATACAATTGTGTAATTGTATATTATGGGATTTATATACCACAAATTATTTACTGACAAAGAATATCTACCAATATGCAAATGTATTTTTGTGATTTCATTGACTAAAGAAGGATATAAATCATTCTACCTTAAAAACTTATTTTTAAAAAAACATTATATATATATATATATTAACAGAGAATATATAAGATTATTTAAAATTGAATATATAAGATTATTTAAAATGAAAGATAATATGTTTCTTAGCAAACGTATGATATTCTTTTGAAATTTTTGTTGATTAAAATAAACAACATATATATTTTTCACTACATATTATCTTCAAATACAATTATTTTCTAATTATACAAAGAAGCTTACATCATATAAATTGGGGTAGATATTCTTAGTATTAATTTTTTTAGTGTATATTAAACTAATTTATCATAAAAATATAATGTCTTATTTTTTTTCTCAAATATACCATATAAGATAGTGTAATAATATTATAATTTATCGGTTTGTATAGAAAGTCTGTACATTAAAATAAAGAATGTTTTACGTTATATATATGTATGTATATATATATATATATACGCGGTAACCTTATATTAAGGGACTAATATAAATGGGGTGAAAGTTCAAAAACAATTTTACGACGAATCCTCCTCGATAGTCCGAAATATGTTAAAGCGAGTTTTGATAAAGCAGATCCACAGTATATAATTTATAAACTTTTGCATCTAATATCTGCGAATTTACATCGCAATCTGTAAACTTCACATTGCAAATAGGACATTCATTGAATTTTTTCTCTTACAATTCATCTTTAATTCTTTATATTTTAATTTAATGTTTTAGCGAAGCATTTATTTGAAGAATACCATTCGTATGCATACCTGTGTATTTCTCTTTGAAAACACACATATACACGCGCACATGCACACAAATATAGTTTATCATTTTTAAATTACATAATAATATGCAAAGTTAAGGAAAGAAAATGGAAATCATTCAGAAAGATTTGACATGTGTATGTCAAAAAATAGTGGGAAGACCTGGTTAAATATAAGTAATATTATGTTACACTGTACACCCTTTATATAATTTTATACTAGCACAGGCTCATGTGCAAGTTCAGCGTGCTATATTATACATGCTGATAACTATTCACAACCGAATGAGGAGACGAGTCGAAAGCTTAATTGATAAAAACCAGTAACAAAAAATGAATTATATTACACGCTCCAGATTCATTCCTGGTCCTTTTTCTCTCTTTCCAACTAAAAAAGAAATTCTCTATCTACAATCAATTTGTCCATAAAGAAACTAACAATCTTTAACATATATCAACTCTTTTCTTTATTTTCCTTCTTTCTTCTTCGTGCAATTAAAATTCATTCATTTAGAATACTTAAAATTCATTTCTATTGTATCACTCTTATTTATTAGTTTAATGTTTTGATCAAAATATGGTTAATTTTTTTCTCCTTTTCTCTTTTAAGCAAATATTTTAATCGGACGTCTATTATATTTTAACAGCAAGAGCCAGGAGTAGTCGGCGTGGTTTCTAGATATCTGCATTCTAGTTGTGTTTATACAATGTAGTATTTACGTATATATAGAGTATTTTCGAATGCGGCGGAAATTCGAAATATTTTATATATATTCCTTTTTTTATATAAATATATCAAAGGATAAAGTTCTTTAACGATATATTTGTTACGCTTCCTGATTGACGAATTATTTATGTACTCTTACGCATCTCTATTATCTCGCTGGCATGGTCGGCATTTTTTCAAGAAAGTCTTGCTCGATTACAGTCTCCAATTGTGTATTATTTATCGGCACGTACGTGTCGCATGTGGCGCGACTAAGACTCGAGAAAAAGTGATGCAAGTCTTGTAGAGAGCGAACGTTATTCGATGTCAGTAAAAGCTCTCCTGGATTTCTTTTAGGTGGTGGACCTTCTGGTTTAAACTGAAAAAAAAGAATGAGAGAAAGATCAATAACAATGCTTTTTTTCACAAAAAAAAACCTCGTTCTCAAAACTAAGTTAAATATATAACAAAAATATTAAAAAATATAAAAACGTAAAAAATAAAATAGCTAATTCAAAAAATACCTAATTCAAAAGGAGTCTAATTAATAAAATTCGATTTTCCTTTAGAAAAAATTTACTATTTTTTGCAATTTTTAATATTTTTACATTCAATAATTATGAAACATTTTATCATTGTAACAAAAGATGTAAAGAATTTCGAATGCGATTAAGGAGCAACGCTAAATAAAGATAAAAAATTGTTTGTAGCATTGAAAATACCGTATAATATTTACTACAATTGACTAAAGCTATGTAGAGTGTATTGGCTTAGTTGCAAAAACGAATGTATGTATATAACGATTTCTCATGGTACCAAAATAAATATTTCAGTGCTTTATTGTATGTATATACACACACCGAATACCTGTGCGCGATTATTCTGCTCAATTTTATACACAGTCTGAGATATTAATTATACAAGTATGATTAAAATAATCGAATCTTTTTGTTCATTTTCTTTAATTTAAGCTCTCAAAATACATCACAGCAAAAAATATTAAATTAAATAAAATTTTGTGTGTGCGTAATGATGTAATAGCAATGTCTTTAAGTGGAACCTATACATGGAGTAGGGTCACAATAATAATTGAGAATATATTCGTGCGATATAATCCTAGCACACAGTAGTTTGTGGACGTAGTTTATGGACGGTTCGCACAGAAGGAACTACAATGACTTCGCTGCAAATTTTACATTATTATATTCTATGTATCATAATGGTTGTTACTGCACGTGAGTATTAAAACGATATATATATATGTGCGGGTATGATATTTATTCATCTTTATTAAAAAGTAACAGATTCATGTATCTTTTTTTCTCCTTTTCTTTTTGTCGTTTCTTACATTTCGTCTATGTATAGTCTACATTTTCAGTTATATAGAGTGTTTTTCACTAAGTCCTTCTTAAAACTGCATTTTTTAAAAATCAATTTTAAATCACATTAAATTTTTAAAAATTTAATTATTTTTTAAAAATGTAAACCTCGAGCAAAATTTCATTGTTTAATACGCAATTTTAATTTACATATTTTTACACTTTTTCTTTCTTTGGAACTTATTTGATTATATTGAGTTAAAACGTTCTTTATATTTTAAATCGCTCATAAATTCTCAAGTTATGAATATCTTGATATTCTTGTAAAAAAAACCAATTGATTCAAAGTTGACAATTCAAAGAAAGTGCGTCTATTAAAAAAAGAAACATCTTGTATATATTTATCTATAAATTATTCGTAAACATTTATGAAGCTAAGAACATTCTTTCTATTCCAATTTTATTTTCGATGCTTTAAATGACTTTAATCAAAGTTAATTGCAATGCTACTTGATGAATATTAATGAAAACATGATTGCAGTGCAACGACCTTTTCTATCAAATTGATTTAATAAATTTAATTTCCTTTTTCGAAATGTGTCATTTAATTTTTTATTCTAATGTTTTAAAACGTTGTTAAGATAATTTTTATATTTCTTATTTAAAAAATAACAAAACTTGAAAAACACAAAGCGCTTTATAAAACATCGATATAAACGATCTTATCTGATTTAAACAGCTTTTTATTTAGGATGCGATCGGAAATCCTACCCGTGAGGTAGAGGAATATTTAATTGACCATTAATAAAGTCTTTGTTCTTTTTATTCCGATCAATTAAATGTTACTTTATCCTACGAATAAGATATTCGAACCATCTTTATGTAAGACATTTTATTGATGTGCGTGTTTATTTAATAAAGATTGTAATAATCTAATTAATATATTATATTAAATATTATATTAAAATATTTTGATATTATTTATATATTACAAAAATAAATTTAAAAATTTAAATTTAAAATTTAAATTTAAAAATTTGAATTTAAAAATTTGAATTTAAAATTTAAATTTAAAAATTTGAATTTAAAAATTTGAATTTAAAATTTAAATTTAAAAATTTGAATTTAAAAATTTGAATTTAAAATTTAAATTTAAAAATTTGAATTTAAAATTTAAATTTAAAATTTAAATTTAAAAATTTGAATTTAAAAATTTGATTTTAAAAATTTGAATTTAAAATTTAAATTTAAAAATTTGAATTTAAAATTTAAATTTAAAAATTTGAATTTAAAATTTAAATTTAAAATTTAAATTTAAAAATTTGAATTTAAAATTTAAATTTAAAAATTTGAATTTAAAATTTAAATTAAAAAATTTGAATTTAAAATTTAAATTAAAAAATTTAAAAATTAAAAAAAAAAGAGAAGCCAGGCAGACTATAAACTACAATTTTTTTAACATAAAAATGACTATAAAGTGGAAACAACTTATTTTCAAACCTATGTTTATATAACTTTTTTTCCTTATTTTTGGATTCCGAATCATTTCCCGAAGTACTTCGGGTAATTTTCCAGATATCCTGTATATTATATTACTTGTATTAATTCTTATTATATTTTATTATATTCTTGTTTTATTTTTATTATACATTATATATGATTTATATTATATTAATATATGATTTAATGTTTGTTCTAGAATATAGGAGTGATTCCGAATATAACGATTTTGATTTCTATGAAGATTTATCGGCAGATTCAGGAGGTTCTGTTAAAAAACACAGCAACGTTGGTCAAGATGATTTTTATGTCGCAAATGTTTTCGACGACACAGAAAACTGGCACGACGCGTATCCCGACTCGAATCTCCCTGTCTTTGGGAATAATATCGATTCCTTTAAGAAGAAGAATCTGCTTCAAAATAAGCAGTTTAACTGGTACAAATTGCCTGAGAAAGTGTACAGATACACTAAGCATCGAATTCCCGGATACGATTATGATGAATTTGATTATATACATTCCAAAAGTTTTCACAAATGCGATGACAAATCAATCTGGACACATTGTCTTTGTCAATTTACGTGTTTGAAGCAAGATGTAGTAGACTGTTACACACCGTGCAGAAGCGGATGCGAGTGCAGAGAAGAATACGTTTTCGACGAGAAAACGCAAAAATGCCTATTACCCGAACAATGTTCGTCAGAAGACAATTATAATTACCAAATGTAATATATATATATATATATATATATATATATATATAATATATAATATTTACAATATTCTTTCAATGAGCTTTGTAATTACCTCTTTTCGTAATAATTGAGTATAAAATGTGCTGAATAATTTACTGTGTTACAAAAAAAGAGTTACAATCGAAAAAACTTACCTTATTATCCATCAATTTCGCTATTCTCGTAATATGTGGTACAAAGTCCGAGGATAGATTGTTGTTATCCATACATCCTGCTGCTGCGTCTCCAACAAAGGCCCATTTATACCTATAAATCAGTAAAGCAATACATATTTAATTGTTCTTTAAATAAAATATGCACTGTTGTATATTGCATATCTTGTCTTCTTTACTTACATCTGAAATTGCGGTAATCTGTGCGCTGGTAACAGTAACGCGAGGTCTAGCAGCTTGGCGGCAGCTAGTTGCAGTTGCAACCAGTGAGGATGTCCGTGTGCCTGAAGTCCATTGCTGGCGTTAACAGCCCATGATGAGTCCAAGGCTGATAGCAATTTAATATGCGAGCTGTGCACATGAATCCAAGTGATTTATGTTATTTAAATCAAACTCTCTTACAAACAATAGCATGAAAATTGCATAATTGTTTTTAGACAAGGCACAACAAATAGATATAGAATCCCCAGAGCTCGATCAATGAAGAAGGTACATGATTGCTATTAATGTGATATCTTCTAACACTCGATATATTCGAACAGTGGTATAAAGTAAGTTCTGTTAAAGTATCTCTCTATATTAGTGAGTATGCATTCTACTATTGAATATGCATTTGATCTTGCTTCAAGTATTTAGATACTGAAAAAGTACTTCTTACGTCACTGTACACTCTACGAGTGTTTTTACAACATTAACAGTATGCATATGCGTGTTATATGTACGTTACATGTTGGACCGTTAAATTACCTGCTATGACGACTGCTGTCCCAACACCATTCAAGTTACGGAGGCACCACAAATTCCACCAAATCGCGAGGATGCCGAAACAGAGAGCCAAAAACAGTACGATATTAGATAGTATCCATGTTAATGAGGGGAGGAGAGGGGACAGACAAATTTTATGCCAACATTCCATTACTTGACATTCTTATAGATACGAGAAGTAAAATCGCCTCTCGCATTTCTCTTTTATATAACATTCATTGTTTATATTTTGAAAATATTAGGCAGATCAAATTTGATATCGATTTCAAAATATTACTGTGCCAATCATGTCAGTATATCTACAGTAAGATCTTCATTGCAAAATTCTTCTTACTGTTTACAATCATTCTTTGAAAACCAAAATAACACATAGTTTTGAAATATAAAAACAAAATAATTTCTTGATACTTTAAAGAAAATAATAATTCCAATCGAGTATCGTAAATGGACATGCACATACGAAGCAATCAATAGTATCCCATAAGCAAACAAGCATAGAGCTCGAAAAAATTTACATACGTGAACTCTTCGCTGTCCGTACTCAATTCTTGCTCGATATAAAGAAAGACTTGAACAAGCTCGCTAACTATGACTGGCCATAAGGATGTCGCGTGTTGCGGTGACATTCTTAATAGCAACACGCGAAAACATAGAAATACTTGTGCCTGGATAGATGGAATTACTTGAGGTAGGCGTAGACTATCTGCTAAACGTTCTGAAAACATAAAATAGTCAATACGTAGAAACAGTTGTATATATTACAATCATAACAGTTTATAGTGTAGTAGTTTATTTTAGATATATTCTATAACGTCTAAATACTTTTCTCATATATTCACCTTGTATCTCTGGCATATATTTATGATACTGATCCATCTCGCTGCAAAGGATGACAAACGCCAATCGCTTTAAGAGTTGTGCTTTCTGCTCATACTCTTGTTCCTTTGAAGAAAATATACTGATCCCGCTGCCTTGAGCCATAGACACGCGATCTTTATGATGAAACAATCGTGTAATATGTTAATTTCTAAATTGATCATCAACAGACAAATGTATTGCAATATAATAAAAACGTATGCATTACTCATTAAATCTCTGAAAGTAGTATTATCATGCGTCATCAAATTGTCTATTATAGTTCTCCAATATGGCAGACAGGACGGTGTCATTTGGAAGAAAGCTTGGTCAAGTAATAAGTCTAAAACATCTTTACGCCATGCTTTCCTGGTGTATTGATATCCCGACAAAGAAGCCAATAATTGGGAACATGCGGTGAATGAGGCGATATTTTTTATACTGTAAAATTAAGTAGGTAAAATATTATTTTGTCGTGTGAGTCTTAAATTTATGTAAAATTTTCATATCTAAATTCAATTTCTAAACTCACGTGTGATTTTTCAAATAAGGTGTAACATTATACATGAGGTTTGTTAGTAGTGTTACCACACGCTCTTTTTCTTGCGAACCATAACTGACATCCAACAATGGTGCGAGTATTTCCGCCAATACTGCTTGCGCTTGAACACTGTACGCAGCATTAGGTGGAGTTCCAGGTGTTACTGTAAGATAAAGTTTGCATTGAATATACAATAAGCTAAATTTAGAAACTATTTGCAATTGCCACAGGTTGCACCAATAAAAACAAGAAAAAATAAAAATAGATAAAATCTTATAACAGAAAAAAAATTTTCTAATCTGATATCTCTAATATTTATGAAATAAAATGCATATTTTACGCACCAGCACCATTTTTTCCTTCTTTACCTTCCGAAGAGCCTTCCACCACTTCGAATACATCTTCTCGAACAGCTAAATTTCTTCTTAGCCACGTTGTTTGTTCTAGACATGCGCCAGCTATTTGCGAACATGATTCTATCAACTAAAACACATTTATTATGTAAATTTATGTATTATATGTAATATTATAAAATATTATATTATATTAGTGTCATTGTGTTATTAACTACAAATTATAATACAAGATAGTTACTTTTGCTGACACATCTTGCAAGTCTTTGATATCTTTCTTCTCTTGCATAGGCGGGCACTTTTGTACATATTCGTTCAGTATAGCTAGCAAGAGAAATTGAGCAGGTGCTGTTAGCGATAGACCATCTTTCAATAAACTGAGTAGGGATGCCCAAGATTCGATAAGTGACTGTGATGTGTTGCTCTGCATATATATATAAAGTAATTCCAATACTGAGACTTCTAGTGAGAAATCCTGTTTGATTCCGTGTATCGGTGGTGGTGTCTTCACTACCTGATGTACGGTATGCACCAAAGTGTCAATCGGCATAACGCGAATAGCGCTAACCAAATGAACCATTACTTGTTGATTAGGACAGGCTTCTGGAAGTATCTGCATCGAAATAAATTTCTACTAAATAAAATATTTTCCCCAAGGCTATTATAATATTATTAGTTATATCTAATTTCATTATCTTTTTCTTTAATTATATACATAATGTTGATTACCTTCTTTGATGCGGCGGACGGTTGGCGCCTTTCGTGCCAAGCAACTGCGACTGCAGCTAAAAAGTTGGCTCCATGGTGGAAAGAGATTGGAGATAAGAGTTCTAACAATTGATATTTAACTATTCTCGGACTACCCACCACACAACTGGCTTGTTCGCTATTTATTAAAAAAAGAGTACATTATATAATAATTATAAAGAGTTCATTAAGTAAATAATTTTCTTGACAAGAGAATGTAATAAAACACATACTTATCTTTCGTTGCTAAAACTGCTTGCCACAAGGCAGATAAAGATGCTATTATTCTTGGTAAATGACTTAATGCTGTTCTTCTAGCATGTTGTTGAAGTTCATTTGCGCCAGTTTTATCTTTTCCTGTGGATAAATCCTATAAAAAACATAAAAATTTTATTACAACTCGAGAGACCAACTAAAATTAATGATTTCTATCAAATATTAAAATTTACTGCGTATACTTTATCCAACTAACCGGAGAAAGTGGACTCGGCATAAAAACGTGTATAAGATTATTGAATATTTGTCCGGGATTAGCACCAGGAATTCCCGTTTGTATTGTACCGCTTAGCGGTTGATTAAACGAGAATCCAATTTGCTGAGAGGTATCTAATAGACAATAATGCAGCAAGTATGTCAAAGCCTCGAGATGTGTCACAGTGTAATCCGCAGGCAAACAGCATTCTATCGTGCTTATATCTTGTAACTTTGGCGCCGTTTCCTCGTTGATATAATACGACGCTAGATGTTCAATGTTACTGCATAGTTGATGAATAACTGATGTTACAACAGATGTTAAAGATGATCCCATAAAAGGGAGACTGGATGTAACAAGAGTTGTCCAATGTTGATGAAGATGTCTCATATGATCCTACAAAATTTCATCGAATGCATAAATTATTAATCATTTATTCATTTATTTAATCATTTATTCATTTATTTAATCATTTATTTGGTCAATAATCAATTCTTTGCTTAATAATCAGATCAATCCACACATACGATTTTATATATATATATATATTTAGTATTCCCATAATTTATTGTTGTAATTAAATTCTAATAAAATAAAGAAATTGTAAAGAATTTAGAAAATAAAAGAATCATATAATAAATATTTTTATGATAATAAAAAATATATATCATATAATAAATTTTGTGTAATACTACATCTTATTTTATTTTAAAATTTTGCAAAAGTATGCATAAGAGACTTAGAATCGATCTAAGCAATATAACAAATCGATAAATAAACAAATTACATACGAGTTGCAGTGCACTAAGGATACTAGCGAGAAACATCGGTTGCTGCGGTATCGCTGCTCCAGAAATATATTTCAAATTATTCCCGATTAAACTTGGCGAAGTTCGTGTCGGTGAACTTGGTATAGATGACGTTGTTGGATTAATTTCCTCTCCTTTCTGACTACTACACTGATGCTCCAACATAATTAACGCTAACAGCAATCTTGAAAAGTAATAAAGCAATTGTTACAAATCAAATTGCATGAGTGCGATTGAATCTAATTTTAATACTCATACAGATTTTGGATAGTTTTATCACAATGGCTTAGTGGCGAAAATGTTTCTATTGTAAATTTATTTATTGTATATATTTACCGTAATAATTGTATTTGGAAAGCTTCTGTATGATCGCTCGCTCTATATTTACATTTGTTAACGTCGTTATCGATAAACGGATCATTAAACAATACGATTTCTTCGGTAAATGTGAAAACATCTTCATTTTCCTTATGAGCATTCTTCATACTCATAACACTGGACACGAGACAGTGAAGAGCAACCTTTTGTACTTTACATTTAGTCAGCAGGTCTACTATGTAGCAACTGAAACCTTTCCCAGAATCGCGAACAATTGGGATTAACTCGGAAAATATTAGCGTTAGTAATTCTGTACTTGCTAGTTGCACCTGTGTAAAAAACAACAATTTTTGTCATAGCTTAAACAATATTCATTAAAACTCAAAAAGGGAAAGAGTAATAATTTTAATAAAATAATTCAAAATTTTTGCAGATACACATGAATAATATTTTAAGGGATAAAAAAAATTTAAGATAAAACATACCTGGCGGTTACCCGCAATTTCCTCATATGTAAGCCTCATCTGTCCGAGATTTGGATAGTAACTTCTTGCAAAATACAGGCATACGCTTATCAGCACTTCGAGATACATACTACTCCTGTAAGCAGCTATAAATTCCGTGTTAGCTATATCACCATGAAAGTTTCTGCCGAAAACACTTTTTCGATGCCTTGCCAATAGATTTAACAGCATTGTATTCTTCGTCGCATTCGACACACCGGTCGTCGCCGCGCAACATAGAAACATTCGCGTATTTGTCAAAAGTTCATTTCTAAGTGTACGCAAAGCGTATAGAGTTCTAGCTGAATCGTATACTCCGCAATAGAGCAACATGTGGGAGTGAAGATTGTGAACACCCAGACCGGCATTTCGATTAGTTTTTGCGGGGTGCTGCGGAACTTCCTCCTATAAATAGAGAATCTCGTTGAAAAAATATTGTACTTCTTGCATCAAATATTGTGATTCTTATATCAAATATTATAATTGTTATATCTTTTTGTCAAATAAACTGATTGCAATTCTGACACAGGATAAATGATAACATTGTATAAGAGATACTTACACTTTTCGGCGGTTCGGCGATATCGCACAATAGCATCGCGCGATCGAGCACCTCATTCAGAATTTCTTCGACTATACTGGTACTGCTGGAATTGCTAAAATACTCTTCCGCAGTGGTGCTGACGTCTAAATCGCCTTCATCATCGTCGTCCATCGTCCAACTGGGCACCTCTGCGCTTGCTTCGAAACTACCAATTTCATGATCATAATTCGTGTTAAATTCGTTCGTGCTATAATATTTGCCTTTTATGATAGTGCCCGCTATTTCCCTGGAACTGCCTGGCATCACGACAGGTTCCTTCTTTTGCTTGGGTTGTTTATTAGTTACTTCGGGACTACTTGAATCTAAGCTATTCGTTATAGAATCCAGAGACGAGTCGACGTCATCGTTGAGCTTTTTGAAGCTAGTCTTATCCTTCGCCTTTAAACTAGAGTTTGCTGATTCGAAAAGACTCTCGTCTAAACTGGCAGTAGAACCTTTATCGAAATCTATCTTTTTGAAGCGGGTAGCATTCTTAAGCAATTCCGTCGTCAAATTCGTCTTACGTATACTGGGCAGCGAATCGTCTTCTGTCAAGGAATCGTTCGAATTTTCATTACAATTGATCGAGAGAGGATTCACAAACACAGAAATCTTTCGATTGCCGGATATGCTAGGCGGCACCTCGAGTTCCTTCATAAACTGATTTCTTTCCGTAACATAGTGATTGCAATTATCACCAGTCGCTAATGTTGTCACTGCGAAAATTCGTTTTATTTTCACAGGATTTATCGTCTGTTTCTTTTTCTTGCCTTTCTTCCATTTTTTATCCTCATCCACGTTATCGCTCACGTGATATATCACATTGCCGTCAACTGAACTAATCGCGTAGATTTTCGCGGCACCTTCCGTGTCATCCTGAACTTCCGATTTTTCCTCCACCGGGTCGTTCTTCGTTAGGACGGTATTACTGTGTTGTATACTCACATGGAGGACGCTCATACGGCATGTGGATGGATCTAAAAGTATTGTCAGCAAGGGATCTATGACACGCGATATGTCGCCGCGCATCAAGGAATGTAGTAGCCACGATTGAGCTAATAATTTTAACGGCGAGTTGTCCGCAAGTTGAAGATTGTCCAACATTTTTAGTAAGGATCTGAAAAACAAAAAATAAACCGTTTCGTGAAATTTGTAATATTAATTAACTAAATTACAACAATTACAAGTTCTCTTACTTACTGATCGAAAATTTTAAGACAGCCGCGCAGCCTTGGATTCGTTTCAATTTCTCGTCCTAGATGCCACAAAGTAGCAAATCTACCGAATGCTTCGATTTTCTTTTCAGGATTCTCGGACGTGAGTGCAGATCCTATTAGATCCTCGACCGCGTCGCAAGAATTGTATAAAGCGTGATGCAATTCGTGCAATAGCTCCACGCAACGCATTCTAAACTTATGGGCAGGAAGTTCGCCCAAATGATGCCACAAGGAATGTGCCAATACCTTTTATATATTAAACAATTATTTTTTCAACATTTTATTTTCGTCTCTCCTCAATTACATGTTGAATATAGAAAAAATATTGCGAGTAAGATATTACATACCTGAAATACATTAGTATATTGCATCAAGTAAGTTATGTGCCATTGCTTCAATAACGGCACCATAATCACCGTCGTCACGCCTTCTCCGCTTTTTGGATGCGTTTCGACGTCGTTATGCGCTTTCAATAATGCCACCAAGTCTAATAATGTGGCAATACTCGTTAATTGTAATGCCGGTTGCTTCTGTAACCAGCAGGAACAGACTATTAAAACTTTCAACCAATCCGGAAGAACATGTTCGAACTTGGGTTCTTCCTCCACGAGTACATCGTCGCCGGGCAAAAAGTATTTTGGAAATGTAGACAACTCCACGAACAAACTAGACGCTATTTTCATGGCCTCGTTCCATTCTGAATGTGTTGCGATATCGAGGAACAGGTGAAAAATATCCAGGCACTTGGTATCCTCGGTTACAGATGCATCTTGACTAAAGAACCCAGAGTCCTCTGTGTTCAATCTGGAATTCAGCAGAAGTTCTAAGCAACGCATTCTCTCATCGAAACTCTTTCTCGGGCAAGATATCACCAAGTGATTAAACATATCTTGCACTGTTCTTTCCTTGCTAAGAATTCGATTGCTAATTAACTTGACATAAAATATTTCATATTGACGGAGGCACTTTTCTAACATAGAATGCTGTGCCTGAAATGCCGGAGATGGTCCCCTACATAAGGATCCTGTCGATCCCATTGGACTGACATTCGTCAAATGCTTTGACATGGTGGACAGTTTATTGTTCGAGGAAGAGGAGCTTATTCTATCGGTATCGACGCAGCTCGTTTTAATATCGTCCATGCTTTTATTTCTCGGTAAAGATTTCGCATCCTCACTCACCACGACCGATATGTTAGTACCATCAGCTTGTATGGTGTACGTGTCAGTTAACTTGGAAGTACTCTTACTCCCCTTCTTCTTCGATTTTTTCTCGTTCCTTTTAGTAGCGCCACCAGAATTAGCTCTTCTTCTCGTACTCGGGCTTTTTTCCGCGAAAGAGGTACCGGATATATCGGGCTTATTCAACTTACTATCCGACTGACTTTTTTCCAAAGGAATCGTGGTCAGGGAATTGTCGCTAGGAACTGTAATATTATTCAGAGAAGTGTCCACTTTGGTATCTACCTCGTACTTGTCTGCATGAGTCGTTATCATTGTTGGTTGTACCTTTGACAAGATCTTGGCGCACAATTTGAGACTTTTCGAGATCTCCACTGAAGACAAAATATTAATATGATGCAAAAGTTTGCTGGTTATTTCATAAAATAAACCAGGGAGATGCTCAGACGGAGTATCTATGAATGCGTCCAATGACACTGTTTCGAGTAAGAATTCCGTTAATATGCATACTTCCACTAAATTTGGCATTCCACTGCCAACCGTTTTTACAACATCTTCTATGGTAACTTGTGCCTTTGCTCTTGTGTTGCAGGCTTTCTCGAATAGATGTCCACAATGTATCCAAATGTACGATGGTTCTAAAGTCGAAAATAAGAGATTCGCAGATTTCACTACTTCATTTGTTTTTGGTATATGATTCAGTGCAGACTGTTTACAGGCATTATAAAATGTCCTACAAATACAATGCACATTTAGAAGATATTTCTAGAAAAATTATTAGCATTATTTTTTTTGTAATCTATTAATAAACCCATATTCACCTAAACACTTCGAATAGAATATCGTCCAAAATTACTGGTCCGATATCCACCTTATCAAGTAATGAAACAAGTATTCTATATGGCTTCAAATCCTGCGAATTTTCTTCACAAACTTCTTTAAGCAGGTATTTTATTGCTTCGACTAGCATTTTTTTCGAATACATATCAAAATATGTTACAGAATCCTCCTTAATGTCCACAGTTATATGATTCTTCTTTAAAATTGATGTACTTACTTCAGTACCCAATAACCAGGCAAACAAACGCCTATACGATAGAAAAATATATATGCAGTAAGTAAAATACAGGTATTTTTTGAAAAAGAAGAAATATATACATATATGTATATATTTTGTATCTTTCTTTACCTGTTTAAGCTCATATCTCTTCGCAATATAGTAACTAGAGCAGCTTTGATTAATAATATCATATCTTGATGCGTCAATTGACTGTTATGTATAGGAAAACCTATTAATAGAAAATCTAGTGCACTTCTTTGCACTAGCACCGAAGTGTCTTGTACTCCTGCACATAAGGCTGATACCTAATTTATAAATCAAAATATTAAAAGATCGATCTAAAGAATTTATTCAAAAATATATCTAATATTTAAAATATCAACTTTTTTCTCACCATAATTTTAATATTAGTACCCATAATATATCTCTGTTCTTCCATTGGCAATTTCTTGTTGAAGTGTGCTAACACAAATGATATAGCAGGCAGGCGAATGCCAGAATTTGAAGCTAAGCAATCCCAGAGACATGCATAAAAATGTTCTGCACCCACGCCATCGCACACTTTCTCCAGTAAAGAATTTGTTCTGATAAAATAATACATATAAATATTTTTATTATAATATAAATAAATTATAAATATTTTTCTATATTGCAATATGAATCATTTATACATATATTATAACATAAATGTATTCAAATTAATATATGAAAAAATGTCAAATAAAAATGTAGTCTCATATATAAAACATTAATAATATAAATTACCTGTCAAAATGATCAGATCCATCTTCTAAACCTAAAAGGACACCGCTTAAAAAACCGCTTAATCCTGGCCTCAACCTTTCGCCAAGTGGCACAAAATGTGTTTCATATACTGTTAATAATGATGGTCTGACATTCATAGCAGCATGACCCAATAATGGAAACAGTCCTATTAAAGGAATAGATGAGAACATATAGAATGCATCACAGTTGTCGTGTAATTATTTCTTTTATTCAATACATATGTATGTATATATATACCTGCGCTATAGATGAATAGCTCATGACTGAGTCTATTAGTACCCATACACTTAAAGATAATGTCATATGTTTCTAAAGCTTTCAAATGAACACCAGATGGTAATGCTGGATGCATGCATTGGGCTAGTCTCTTTGATATTTTAATTCTCCTTGGAATAACAGGAAACTTCATATGACTTAGCAACACCTTGTTAAGTTTTCCTAATGCAGAAATTAGATCTGCCCATTCACTCGTATATTCAAAACTTTTTAGAGCCTTATCAACAGCATTCACATAGCTATATAACAAATACAATATTTTATAATAAACTTTTCAATTAGCTATGAAACAGACAAATATTAATATAATTTTTGTAAAACAAAAATTAATGTTAAAGTTCGTAAATCTTAAATGATAATTTATGATTCTTAAATGATAATTTATATTCATTATTATGCTTTACTTACACTCGATATTTCGAGTCTTTCATTAACTCGTACTCTTCTAGAGCGATGGAACCCATTGTTACTTATATCGTAATACACTTTACAACTAAATAAACTATGTAATATTATCCTTCGGTATCACTTTACATGATTTTCCACAATTATTAATTTCAATTATACTTATTAAAATCAATCATTGCAAAGTTCTCCTTCTCATTTAAGCCACGAATCTTATCACGCAGCATATCATATTTAGATAAGGAGATACCTCAGTACCTAGAATTTATAATTATTATTATTATTCCATAAACTACACATACATATATATATATATATATATATATATATATATATATATATATATATATATACTTATTCCTACAATCGTGTATATTTTTGTTCAATCTTCAGAATCCAATCTAATCATTTAGTATTTTTAAAAAACCAAAATTATTTTTCTTGAATTCGAAAAGAACAAAAATCACATTTTTTCGCGAATGATTGACAATTTATAAAATATAATTGAATCGCGGTTCATGACTGTTCATCTATTTACACAACCAATCTATGGAGTTGCTATCAGCTTGGTTATCTCGTCACGATATAGCCCCGCTTCCCGTCAAAATATTCAATAATAATTTACCATTGACATGCCAATTATCTCTATTTCAAATTGCAATTTCTTTATAAAGGAATCTCCATCAGAGAACTCTTGACTTTTGACACGTAGTCGATCGAGAGAACGGTACCTCAGCTGACCTCCAGCTGTCTCCAGCGAGAGAGTCGTTTGTCGAGAGACGCGCTTCTAATCGTGGCTCGATTTTCGAAATTCTTAAAATACTCGCTCGCACGAGAACTTACACGATTTACCTTTAAACGTTGACATCTCGTACATATGCCATCGATATAGATGGCAAAGATGATCGTAGGATCGACACATGTCAATTGAGATTGCACTCAGCACTCATTGTCACATTGTCAGCAATGTCAGCATTCGAAATGTACGTGGACCCACGCTTGTCACATACACACACATACACGCGCACACTAATCGTCACAATAATGTATACTATTAACTATAGTTAGATAAATTTCGACAGGATCGAGCGGTGAATCAGGACCATCAAAAACTTCTCTTCTTCCGTTAATATTTCCTCTGCTCGCTCGATAAATGTGAATGATGCGTCGAACGATTGCGATGACGGTAGAGGATGTTACGTGCACCGTGTGTACCGTGTGCATCGTGCGTATGCATTGTGCGCATAATAGCTGTATTCGGGAAATTTAATAAATTATGTAACCGAGCGAGCGCTTTTACTAAACAAAAACATTATTTAAATTCGATACACGAATATAAGTGTATTAATTGGTTCTCCAAAGTTTGTTTTAAAAACAAATAATTGTATTTTTTGGTATAAAATATCTTAAATCCATCATCAAGTATTATCATTTTCTCTTGACAATTATGCATAAATAAAATGAAAAAAATTTCTAAAAATTATACGATATTGTATATATTAACATCCTTTTTATAAGATTATCCTCCAATCTGCGAGCACCAAAATTACAGACTTGACAAAATTACAAACATATTTGTAACAAGATAAATTCCATTTACAATTAATGCACACATTGACTTATTATAAACTTATAAAATAGTTATTCTACTTATGAATAAGATTAGATACATCCCATCTGATATATAAAATTCATATGGAATGTTTACAAATACTATCATTTTTTAGAAAGGAATAGATACATTACATACATATTTGTTTATATATTGTACTATTAATAGAAAATATATTAAAAGAAACTAATAAAAATATTTAAATGTTGAGAAACATTTGTAAATACTTACAGGCTTTGATAAAGTGACAATTTAAATCAATTTTTCTAAAATTGTAACAATACAATGCACACCTTAATAAAGTTTCATTTTATTCTATTTAAAATAAATATATTGTAATCATAAATTAACCCTCTATTGTTCCAATTAGTTTTTGAGGATTTGAGAAATGTTTGACAAATATAAATAAAATAAATACCTATATTTTTAAGATAAAAATGTAAATTTTTATATCATAATTTTGAAGTTATTAGTTAATGACGAAACAAAACCAATATAAAAAATGAAACAATAGCAAAAACTGGTACGAAACTCGAAGAGATTGAGAGTTAATACAAATGAACTAATTTTTACGTTAAAAATATCTGATATATATCTCATTAAATTGTACATTATTGTGTATTTTGATGTTAAATCCCATATGTTTATGATTTTGCATCAGGAACATATCTTTGCACCCAAGGGTTTTGCAGTACGTTCCAGTCTTTTTTGCTGTTGCTCTATTAACCGTTGTTCCCTTTCTCTTCTTCTTTGCTCTCGCAATACTTTGGTAGAGTCATTGAATTCGTCCATAGCATCTACTTCCCAAGCAGCAGTGTTTTCTTCCCATTCTTCCAATTCATTCTAAATTCATGATAAAAATGAAAATTTCTAGCATGTTACAAGTTTGCGTTCAAGTACAAGCTTACAGTCGGGACTGGATCCATGGCTGTGAATTTTGCAGTATTGGGAAATGAATTATCCACATGTTTATCCTTTATTAAAACTTTTGTCTGTCTAGTGATTCTTGGAGTCATGTCCTATATAATATTCAAAAATAGAGTTTATTAAGATGATATATAATATTCAAAAATAGAGTTTATTAAGATTTTGGAATTAGTTTTAAAATTACCTCAAAAAAGTTTAGTCGTTCTTCAGTAGGTACTTCAGGAGGTTTAACAACTTGTTGTCGATACTGCTCTATCTTTGCTTGTACCGTGTTAACTGGTTTATCTGGTATAACGACAACTGGATTCTCCTCCCATTTATCCCATTGTTCTAATTCCTTAAATAAGCAAAATTTGGTAAATATTATATTAAAGTTTGATTATATATAAGCGATAGTATTTCGTTATCTTTCACATAATCTACAAAAATAGTAAATAGCCGTCATAGCAAAATATATTTACACAATTGCATAAAGATGAACTGCATAAATAGATTCCTGCAATTTTTTACATACTTATAGTTGATAATGATAAATGATATTAAATAAAAAAAATGATATTCAATAAATAATGATAATTTTAAACATACCGTTGAGTTAGTTAAGACATTTGGTACCACACCGACCGTGGACAAGGGCTCGCAATCGCAGGACGATCTTCTTCGACGTCGAAGACAGCACATCGCACGCTTAAATATCCCGAAAAGCAGGACGAGCAGAGCCTTGAATCGATTTAGCAGAAATTCCACAGCCATTTTTTGTGATAAGTCGACCAGTGCTAACCTCTCCTCGGAAGACAGATATTTATGCCGATTACCGGAGACAAGATCGGCGGTCCATTTTGCGTATCGAATCGCGATAAAGCGTTCACATTCTCGTCTCGCGTCTTTCTCGTACAAGATATGACTTTTCGATAAATTTGTAGTAAAACTTGGGGGAGCCGCTTAAGTGACACATAACCTATGTCTCCTTTTTTTGGTTGAGCTGTCAGGCGACAGGTATCGCTCGAATCGACTTGAATATAACTTCGATTATCGAGATATGACGCGATATTGAGATATTTCTTGAACGAGAAGGTTTCGTCCGAATAACAGCCGTGTTAACATCTTACGCAGTTTTATTGTTATATCGACGCACAAATACAGGTATGTACTGAAATATCTAGATATTTATATATATCAAAAATTGATTTAAACATATATGCATTGTCAAAAATATAAATTGAATGCGGTAAGCAAAATGTGTTCGCTGTATGAAATATCGATATACGTGACTTTTGATTCTTCTTGCGTCCATTTCCCAACATTTTTGTATAAGTATAAACGTCTTATCTATCAAAGATTGACAAAGTAAGTCACGAAATCAAAAGATTATTTTTTTTATCAGAGGTCGGGGCTTAATTTTCACTTCTTGCGCACGAATTATATTGTTATTAAATGTCTTTTGCATTTATAATCTTTTTATAATCTTTTATAATCTTTTATAATCTTTTTTCAGATTCAGCATTTAACTTTAGTGACAATTATCAAGAAACTTGATTACGAATTAAAATCGCAGATATATAGAGAGAGATAGCGATGGATCATAACTTGATATATATGAGATGTACCATATACTATACTATACTTTATTATACGCTGTGTATGTGTATGTGTTAAGCGCGCGTGCATTTTTCACGCCTGGCGCTGCGGTCGTATTGGCATTTTTCATACGCGGCGCACTTCACTCCATTGCAATAAACAGCTTGATCTGCAAAGAAAGCGTGATTGTATTTTTCGCGGTAAGTTTGTAAATTTAAATTTAAGTAACAGATCCAATTTTTATAGATTTATATATATTTATATATTATTTATATATTATTTATATATGTATTCGTATATACATTTAAATATGTATTTAAATCCATATAATTAGTATAGGAAAATAAGATTTAAAAATTTTTATACATACTGCTCGAACCCTTGTATCCGCCATCGCTGCCAGTGTTTATGGCACTCGATTGGGCGCATGACGTGGAACTGCATTTATTCGGACAGCATTTTTGATTGAAGGGACATTGCTCATCATTCATACATCTCGGGGTACAGTTTGTCACGGTATTTCTCAGTGGACAATTGCCGCTTCTATCTATATAGAGAGAACGATTGCAACGTAATACAGTTAATAATGAGAATTCATTCTTGTCAATTAACACTTTTATATAGAGTGAGCATTTCTTTTGTAAATTTTTTAAAATCTACAGTTTAAATATTTACTTATTCGTTATCAATTCTTCAATGTGTATACACGAGTACAAACATTCATTGCTGACGCATCGTTAGTGACAGCCAATGCGAAAATATAATTGAATATTACGTTGCTTAAATGTCCATTAAAATTTCTGCAGTGCAACGTCATTCTCTTTATTTTGATTCGCAAGAAAACATTTTAATAAATATAAATCTAAGTTATATAATTAGTTTTAAATTTATTTGTTCATAGAATGTTTCCAATTTGAGAATAAATAAATATAGTATTTTTTATCTATGAAACAATTAATTCTCTTAGAGAACAATTTAAGATATTAATAGAATTTTTTGCAAACTAAATTTCAGTGCGGTTAGAAAAGCAACAATAAAGATTATTCATTTCTAATTTAAAATCAATTCTATTTTAACAAAATTTTTATTCAAGTTATTAAAATATAAAAATTGTGATAGATGATTTCCCCGGAAATTTCTAAAGTTGAGAATTTTCACACATGGAAAAATTGGCATTTCGAAATTTTTTAATTACTAAAAAAGAATTTCAAATTTTATATCAAATGACATTGTATGTCTATTTTTATCGAATCTTGGAAAACATTGTGTATAAAACAAGAGAGCATAAACGCAGTATTTAGAATAAAACGGGTTTTTCCATCTTCATATATGAGATGTATGCAAAATTGCACACGTTTACAATTATTATTTCCACACATAAGTAATAGCGTTTACAGAACACACTTACGAAACTGAGCAAACGTGCTAGCAATTAGCAGCATCAGCATCACGATCCTGACTAAACTTGCTGCAAAATATAAATATTATATTATATACATATACAATAATATATTATATTATATACATTATTATATTAATATTATATTACAATAAATTATAAAATATAAGTTTTTTTTTATTAATTTTTATTTTTTTATGATTTGTAATAATATATAATAATATAAAATTGTATTAACGATGAACACACACATATAATGAATTACACATATAATATTATTATATTATATGTAATATTTATTTATGTTTTGCATAACTATGCATACATATGTAACTGCAAAACATAAAAAATTAATCTGATACTTTTGTCATGCAAATAGCGCGAAATACATGTTCACTCTTTAGTTCTTCGTGTCATGATTCAAATATATGCTAATAATGTTATGTAGAAGTTGCGTATTACATTTTGCTGCGGAGAAGTGCGTAACTAATGTCGATTGTTACTTTCAAGGTTACGAGGCGTTTAAATACTTACGGTTCATTTTATGAGTTGTTCTCGAATACTTGATTAAAATTCTGCGCCTCACGACTTCGATGAGACTTTTAAACGCGTGACGATAACAGCATCGACTTTTAAATACTTTCCACCTCTACTTTGACATTGGACAAGTAAGAGTGGAGAGTGCGGAATACATCGTGATATATAGTGCATTTATAATGTGATCAGATTCAGGAAAATATCAAATATATTTCACTTGAACTTGAATGTTTTTTTATATGTTATTTATGTGACATTTACATTGACGTATATAATAGCAGTGAAATAAATAAGAGATTATCAGCCGCTATGCAATCACGTATCTAATTGATATTATAATTTTTCCTGCTTTTTATAACGAAATATCTATTTGCTTTTTTTAAATATTATGTATCTACTTAATTGTAGATGTTTTCTTGATTACAATCGAAGATGATACTAAAGGTTTAAAAATTCTTGTATCATTTATGATTAGTTTAATATACAAAATGTCTTTTTATATTTTAAATATTACTTATAAATAATATTTTATTTTCTTATTATTTTGCAGTTTGTTTTCATATTTTCAAATTTATATGAAGTTATTTACCAAATTAAACTTAATTAAAGCTCTACATCTATATCGAAAGCTTCTTGACATTCTAAGGTCTCAAAACATATCAATAGATGCGCCATTGATGATAAGTACATTTTTCTTGATTGCTGTATTTTACACAGCCTTGGCCTTTGTTATATCATCCTAGGATTATTGATGAGCAACAATTTATTAAATATTTCTTTAAGCCATTTTAATATTTTTTTATATATAGTTATATATATATATATATATATATATATATATATAGTTATATATATATATATATATATATATAGTTATATATATATATATATATATATATATTGAGATATAAATTTTATTAATTAATATTTTTTAATATTTATTGAAAAATTTATCTTATAACATAGCAGATAGATTAAAACAATACAATTTAAACTATCTTATTGATTAACAGTCTCTCCGTCTAAAAAAGTTATCGACCGATTAAACATGTTTCCATGATGATTTATGATCCATAAAAATTAGCTAAAAATTAAATTATAAAATATAATAATAATAATAATAAAATCATAAATATTTCTTCTTTCTTAATACAGTAATTATTATATTAAGTTATACAAAATGGAATGATGTTAATAAATCAAATATAAAATTATAGCACAAATCGAGTTTATATATATATTTGTTATATCATAATTATAGTAGAGATAAAGATGTGTGAATTAAAGAGAAAGAGCGAGCGAGAAAAAGAGAGTAATCTCTTTAATAATTATCGTAATTATTTCCAAAACGCGAAACAATCGGTTGAACCGGAGTTTCGATAGATTCGAATGTCTCGACCATTGGCTTTTGGCAAGCTAAAGCCCCACATCTGTTTTTACAGCACTTCAGGCTTCCTCTACAATCGTTGTCGCTGTTACAAGTCGACGAACATACCCATCTTCCTGTCGGTACCGATGGGCAAGATCCTGGTTTTTCTATACAAAGCAAAATTCAATTTTTTATATAATTATAATTATGATTATTTTTGTAGTTATATAATTTTTATTATATAATTTCTTTATTCTATAATTTGTTTGAATGTTTCTGTGAACTTTATATATATATATATATATATATATATATATATATATGTGTGTGTGTGTGTGTGATATTAATTTATTATTTTCCATAAGTTTATAATAATAAAAATAATAAATCAATTATGGAGAAACTTGTTTTTTTTCTTTTCTTTTTCTGAACATTTTTTATTTATTAAAATAGAAAAATAGAAAATATTAAATAAATATAAAACTACTTATATTAGATTCACAATATAATTTATTAGATATATTATATTAAAATGATACTGAAAATTTTGTTGTGAATAAAAATATTTAAGAATAGTTTAATTTATTAAGTTACAATAAATTTAGTTTTATTGTAATTTTTATTATTTATATTGAATTGTAATTCTTAAATACAATTTTTAAAATTGTGCATCGATGTTATTGTTTCAGATCAAAAAGTCTAAGAGGCTGAGAAAGTTACCTGTTTGGATATGTTGTTTCATCGTGACAGGCATGGAGCAAATGGAACCACCACATCGGGTCGGACAACATTTGCCAATTCCAGCGCAATGTGCGTCAACGTAGCAGGAACGTCCGCAGAATTGTACAGGTAAGGCAGGTGGACATGAACCTGCTTTTGCTACATATCTGGTTTGTGTTTTGGCGATAGAAATTATCACCATAAAGACTAGAGACAGGACTAGCAACTTCATTTTTTTGTTGCTCTGAACACTGTGGCACTTCGTAATTTTGCTTGGGAAGAGGCTAAATGCAATATATACATTTTAAATTAATATATAATATATTTAAAACGATAAATATGAATTGGAAAATTTAATTTGATGATAGAAGAATGTTTGCTATAAATATTAAGCTTTAAATATATATATAAATATATATATATATATATATACATAATAAATTAAATTGGATTTTGAAAAAAATATCTTCAAAATTTTTATTTTGTGTTACAATAATAATTATATTAAACAATAAATAAAATAGATATATATTTTTCCAAGATAAAATATTTTAAATAAATTTTTTCAGAAAATAATGCTTTCCTTATATTTGTTTTATCAGCTATTATTTCAATTAAGAAATATAGATTGTTGTGATACAATAATTCTTCTTATTAACTGAATCTAAATCATTTTTATAAATTTAAAAAATTAATGGATTAAAAGAATGATGAATGATTGATTAATATTAGTAGAATTTGATAGAATTTAGATTTTATGATATTATTTTATTCAATGTTAATGTAACACTAACATAAGACATTTCTTATACTCTATCATGACTTATCAATTCATCTTTTGACTTTTACATCTCTTGACCTCGACTTTATTTCTCACCATTTTATAATGCGTAAGACACTATTTATACGATTATTAATACGATAATTACGTTGATGAAAAAACGACACTTTTCACTCTATATTTAAAATATACTAATTGTATATGTCATACTTTTTTACTTGAGGAGTACAGCCGGACGTAAATGCGATCAAAGTCTTTTCGTTTTTACCATTCAACAGAATGGTTCTTCTGATATATATGTCTACCATTAGTCAGCTTCATCATTCCCCCTCCTATATCATTGCTTACTTTTGCACACACTCTATACAATATCATGTGTGTGTATATATGCGTTTAAAGATACATACATCTGATATAATTAATATAATTTATATATATATATATATATATATATATATATATAGAAATATTTTATTATTTATTATATATAATATCTATTTTTTCAAGAAAAATGTTATGAATGATTTTTTCAAAATTATAATAATATATGTATAACTAACTATATATATGTTATGCAATCCTGATATGTCATAGAAATATTTGTATAATTAATTTTGATTTGATCAAGATTACAAATATTTGAAATTCTAAAAAAATATTTTTATAGGATAAAAATAATACTTTTTTGGCAATTTCATCATGATTAATAAATTTCTTTAACTGTTCTTATATTAAAAGATTATTTCTTAATATTATGCTTTTACCAGATATACTTTTGAATGAGAATGTATGTTATAATCAAAAAATGTTGGTGGTAAACCGCAATCATAATTAGGAATCTAATAAATTGACCGGAAGGAAAGACGTGGTTTTCGAACTGTTGTTAGTCGAGACTGTTTCCTTCGTAATTCTGACGAAAATACTTTATTTTCAAAAATGATAATTTGAAAAATTATTATCTTTCCTCTCAAATTATTATTTATATACAATATACATATGTAATGATATATATTTTTTAAAATTAAGATATTATTTTTCCTTGATAAAAATGTGATACGAGTAATATTTGATAGTAAAAAGTGGAGATTTTGGCGACTTGTGCTGGAAATAAATAACAACATTATATTATCTAATTTAGATAAATATAATAATATTAAGAGAGAAGAGGACAATTTTTCGGTATAATATTTGTTTATTATATTTAAAGAAGTAATATGGTTGTTCAAATTTTTAATTATGACGTTCGTTGCAAATATCAAAGTCATTGAACATAGGATTCTAATTATTATCTGATATTAAAATTTGATAATAAATTTGTTTATATTATACATAAAAAAGGAGAACTTGCATTAACGAATGATATTATATTTTTTCTTAAAAGATATTATATTATTTCTTTTAAAAATATACGGAGAAATAAAAATTAGACTTTGTTTTCTCTCTGTATATTTTTTAATAATATAATTACATATATAAATATAAAATAAAATTGTCGGCGGGCGTAATAAAAAATAGTATAAAATATTTACGAAATTATGCACTAATCTTAAAATTAACGATAAATGCATCCTTGGTACTCAAGCCTCTTCATACCTGAGAAAAATTCGAGACATATATAAAGAATATATGGATAATTGATTTAATTAGGACTAATTAATTTAACATGAATGTATCGCGTTCTAATGTTATATAAAAATAGTACAATATATTTTCGAAAATTAGATTCGATGTTTATATAATCAAAGTAGACGGGAGAATGGACGAAGAAGAAGAGTGGAGAAAAAAAAGTGCAAAGATGCATCTGCAATCCCCAAATATCTGTAATTTAGTATTCTATTATTGGCATTTCGAATGCAAATTAAACTCCTTTGCATTCGAAAATAAAACTTTTTTCCCTGATTATTTAAATGATTTTATACCAGTTATATTCTTTTCATGCGGAATAAAATCTTTTTTTGTTTCTGTATAATTTGTTTAGTCTAAGCCACATCTTGCATTCCAAAATTAATGGAAATATAATTGATTTTATAATGTCTTAATTTGCATGTAGACTAATCAAATTAACATCTTTTTTATACGAATAATATGATACGAGAAAGTTTGCATGTATCTTCGCATATTTTTGCAAATATTCACTGTGCATTTATAAAAATAGTTATGAGCAATAACCACTGTCTTGCACTAAACAATTATCTTTTTACGTGGATAGATATAACGTCATATATAATTAAACCGAGTACGTTACGATAGACGATATAAATGACTAATGTTAATTTTCTTTTTATTATTGATAATTCAGTCAATGATTTAATGCGTGAAAGAATCAATATATAATTCGTATGAGAACTTGTAAATGAATTTTTTACGTGTTTCAATTTCTGTTTTCTATTTCTTAGTAGTACCTGCAACAGATAATAAAAATATATTGAAAATAATTTTTTAAAATATAGTGTATATTTATAATTATATACGAGTATAGAGATATCAATATTTATATAATTATACTTTTATTGTGTATTTAGTATATTTTAATTATTTTTTAAAATTGCGAAATTGGACATTATTCATAGAGAATTGAGAAAGCTAATAAAACTCATATTTCAGCGATTTTGAATGAGTCAGTATCTCATGTGTCATAATCACTTTAGTTTTTCAAATGTTTTAATAGATAAAAATAAAAAAATTTTTTTCAATATGTATTTATTATGAGTTACAAGAATAAGTATGAATCATTAATATCTTTCTTAGCGATTTCTACGAAATTCTTGTAATCTTTTCTCTTGGCTTTTAATTCCTGGAGAGTTACAACAGGTCAGTATTTATAGATTCATTTTGTACATAGTTCAGATTAATGTATTGTTTAAGACTTATTGCATTTTTGAATATATGTATTTATTCGATTCGGAAAAAGAAATTTTAAATCAATTTTTTTATATTATTATAGTAATTGTGTCGATTATTGCTAATTAATTTTAATATAACTCCATGATTATTAATACATATTTTGCAATTATGATTAACAATCACAGAGTGTGTGTGTGTATATATCATCATTAAATGAAATTATATAACATGAATTATATAACATAAGTTATACCTCTCGGCGGCACGGGTGGCGCAGGCAATTTCTTTGGTATAGCGCCGAGGTCCTTGATAGTTTCATGACCCATATTAATAGCAAGGTTCATGTATTCCGGCATTCTAGTCTCGGTGGCCTCATTTATATTTTTCGAAATGTTCGTCGAATCCACCAGTACGTGTCCCTCGTCGTATTTCGTTCCGGTTGTCTCTTGACCTCGAATAATAAGCGCGGAATCGACCTCATCGATGTCAGACGGTCTCATATTTGTCATGTCGGAACATGCCTCGGCGATATCATCACCGCGATGTTCTGTGATCGTAGTTTCGCAATTTACGCGAACGGAATCGGCGGATACGGTTTCGCTGCTCGTGCAATCTGGAATGCACATTCCCGGTGGTGCAACTGGTGGCGTAAAATTCGACGTCGACGGATTGATGTTCGTGTAACTGTTGCCGGCGTATTTCGTTGCTGCGATTTCTTCTTGATTTTTGTCCAACGAGACATTCTGAATAAACTCGAGATACCTTGGATGTTCGCATGGCGAGCTTGGTGTCTCCGGTTCCCTCGGAGAACCATCCGCTTTAAACGCTGCGAAAGTTGAAGTGCAAATTTATACTGTTATATATTTTTGAAATCTTTGATGTTATGAACACGTTTAAAAGACGTCTAATAAATGTCCTTCAATCTTTCAAATGTTTTTTAAAACGTCTTCGGACTTTATGTTCTTGACATAGTTCGAGATATCTAGAACAGATAGAGAGATAAATGTATAATTTAATTAATTCCAAATTACCATGAACGGGTAAACCCGAAGGTGGAAACGCAATATAATGTTCGTCGCTGGCCCTGGACGGTGATTGTGTTTGTCGGAGATCGAGATCACGCGCGATAGAGGTGGTCGGTGATGGGGAATACCCAGACGCTGGTGAATATCTACCTGTGAACGGTTTAGGCGCAGGTGGTATCTCGTAAGAGCCCATGCCAGTCTTTTCGTCTCTGACATTTTGAAGCTGAAAATTTTGATAAAAATTTAACTTAATAATAGAAGATTGTGCGATATTTTTGTTCTTTTCTAATATATATTTTTAATCATATACTTTTTAGTCTATTTTTTTCTTCTTTTCTCTTCGAGTTAATCTTAGAAAATATAAAAAAAAGTTTTAATCACAAAGTTTTTTACAAGTGTGTTAAATATTATTCTTAATAACAAGCGTAACAGAAGAATACAGAAAATTTGAATAGTGATTGTTATTCCTTTGATCAATGGTGTAGTTATTTAAATTAAAATTGATAGGTTCTAATTTTTGATATATTGTGCACGTACTCTTCTGTCTTCGGAATCTGAATGGGTTCCACTATCGCCCAAGCTAGTGCCACTGCAACCACTAACAGTGCTCATTCTGCCAGAAGAGGATGAACCTAAGAGTGAAATTATAAATGAACACGTAACTAAAGTATCTAATTATTCATATATTTTCTTTATTATTAATCCACAAATTATAATAGTCTAAAAAATATCTAGAAAATGTTTAACTTTTTAAATATCTCTCAGAGAGATGTATTTCTTCTTCTGACATATCTTACAATTAGTTCTTTCTCGAACGCGACTAAATTATTATTTTAAATTTTAATTTTGAATTATAATGTTTTATTATATTAGATTATACTTACTAGAAACACTACGAAGACTTAAGCTGCTAACAGGTCTGCGATCAGTTAATCCACTGTTAATACTTTCAGATTTAATTGAAGACGAATCGGCAACAGTACTAACAGATTCTTTTGTATCTGTAATAAAATTCAGTAGAAAAATTTTAATTATTATTTCATTTCGACAATGAATCATACTAAAAATGATAAAAAAGGGTTCTAAAAGTACCGAATGGCGCTTACCTTTCTTCCCTTTGGAGAAGAATTTTCGTATCTTGTCGAAGGGCGTCGGAGTCTTCATCTCATCTTTCATTCTTTTTTGTATCCTGTCATATTCCTCTCTCATTGCCATAAGTTGCCGTTGTTTATCTTTGAAACTTTGCTGTACATCGTTTCGCTTCTGCCAGTTTTCAACGAGTCTCTCTACTTCGGATATTGTAAAGACGTTATTTTTGAAGTCGTTAATAATTTCCAAGAGCTCGTCTTGAGGACCTGACGGTTCTCTAGACTTGGTGCTGCTGTTAGACGACGTTCTGTTGTAGGAAAAATTCTGACATATTTTTTGGCAATTTTCATCTCTTGCTCCTGGTGAATTTTGATGGCACTCTTGACGGACGCCTTGCGTAGGTGTACCCGTTCGGGATTGCGATGGATTCGTCGTGCTCGTGTTAAGTATCTTTGAACCTTTAAATATACATTTTTGTCCCATTAGAAATTTGTTTCATGCATCAAATTGGATTCATGCATTCGCTTTAAAAAAATCAAATAAAAATGATTAAAAAATCAAATAATGGATTCATGTATTCGCTTTAAAATCAAATAAAAATATATAGTACATTATCTTATACAGTATTATTGAATTTTTTATAATTTATAGAAAATTTTAATTTGGCTTATATAAATAAAGAATCTATCCATATTTTTAAAGACGTAATATATTATAATAAAAAGAATTCATTTTATATATGATAATAAATATGACTATTTATGAAAAATTTTAAAAATGAGGCTTTTACCGGTGGAATGCATTTTCATGTAACCCTGAAAAGACAGATCCAGTCCGTTCGATATGGCAGTGGTCGTTGGTGTGGACGGTAATATTACTGGTGTAGGCGTCGGTACGATCGAATAATTCGCTAAGGTATTGTTCGTGGATGTATTAGCAATTGTCGTTTGTAGAGTCGGGGTCAGAGTTGTTACTGGTCTCGCGGTCGGTGGTACCAAGTACGCCTCGCTCAAAGGTCTCGGTCGACAGTAATCTTCTTTTTCGTTGCCGGTTTCATTCCCAACCGTTGACAGAACATCCGTAGTTGAATTCGTCCCTAAACATATTCATATTATCTCTTTCAAAGATAACACACACATTATTATAATTATATATGCTACTCAAGAATAATAAAATTGATTTAGTTTTACTCGATCGAATGTTTCCATCTTATTTTTTTTATGTAGAATTATCATTTGCCATTATTTGGCATAAAATTAAAAATATATTATGTCATTAAAAACGAACAGTCCTATATTCTACAAAAAGTCTTGATATTTTAATTATTCCATGAAAACAATGACTTAGAGTGGATGATAGAACCGTCGTATTTTCGTAATTATTATGATATTGGTGCAAATACCTGATGATCGGTTGTTCGTCTGACTTATGACTTTGAGATAGCTATACATGTTGGTGAACTCGTTCATTTGCTGGAATTTCGTCGACCGGAATCCAAAGTCACGCCCGAAACATGCAATGCAAAGTTAATGACATCGATTAATTCCATCGACCGATCGATTCTATGATTCGAAAATTATTAAATGAGTAACATGCGAATTCGCGTGATTTTTCTTCTCGAAATATTCTTGCTTCGAGATAAGCAAGGAAAGTTTTAAAAGTGAGATATTTTTCAAAAAGAAAATGAAATAATTTTATTCTTATTTTATCATATATTGAAATAAAGTTTATTTTTTTATTTATTTTTCTACATAATCTCTGAACAAACATTTCTTTTAAAATCTTGTCTCGCTGAGACAAATATTTGAATTGCTTGAAGATTATGCGAGAGAAATAAATAAGAAACAGACTTATCATTAAATAAGAATAAAGTTTTTATTTTTTCTTTTTTATATGTATCTTATATTTTTAAAACTTTCTTTATGAGACAAGCACGCGTGTAATAAGCGTCAAAAGTCTTGAGAGAAGCGAAGAATAAAATCTCGCGAAAGTACCGATTGTGTTCGACTATTTGCGACGTCAGTCTAAAGGCGAGGTTTTTGTACCATGTAGCCCCGCAGTTGATGAGCCAGTCTCGTATGTCCGGCTTGCTCGGCGAGATCGGTTGGAGTTAGATCGGAGGCATTCTTCAAATCGCATGCCAGATCGCCACCCGGACATTCTAGTAATTGCCATGCCAGTTTTTCTAGACCAAATCGTGCAGCGAAATGCAGCAACGTCGGAGTTTCCTCTGGACCTGAAATAAATTAAAAAATCGCGTTGTATCAATGAAATAGACTCGAATATGTAACTTGCAATTAATTATTAAATTAGATGTTACTTACTCGTATAATTTTTATGGGAAGTTATCATACCATTTGGAGCAGATAAGAGATTGAAGTAGGGAGGGATATTTTTCTGAAACGCATGGACCATCCAGTTGTCCAACTGTTCCCGATCGGTAGAACTGAAGCCAAAAGTCTGCAACGAATGGAAGAAACGCAATAATATTATTTATTATCGTATAATTTTTAAATTAAAAATCGAAAATTATATCGAAATTATCTATAATAGTAGTACATATGATTTTCCATTGTCAGAATTATTTTATAAAATAGCTATACTGGAATTGAATTTAACTTTACTACAATAGTTTGACGTTAAATTAAGTTAATCCTTAGAAATATGTGAATTAAATTACCTGGCACATAAATTCGAGGGGATTATCGTGTGCTCTGAGAATCTGATCTAGTTCTCTGAGTCTGCTTTCACATTTGACTTGTCTAACGCCGAGAGAAAATCCATTTTTAGATATCCTTACGCCGACTAACATGGACACTTCAAGACATCTTTCCGGAATAGAAAACTGTAGCGCGTAAGGATTTCTTCGTTTTACATTGCTTATATCGATAGCATCGCCACAACGATCAACAATCACTGAGACATTATCCTCGGAATTCAATGGATCATTTAACAAGACGATTATTTTGTTCTGACCCTGCGAACATATATATTGTTCACTTTTAGTTCTTGCAATATATATTTTCGAAAAAAAAATGTCAACAATTATACTTACTAATTTGACCTTTTTCGGATGCACGGAAAATGCAGTTTTGTCGTTTCTGAGAGCTGATGGCGGTGTAGTGCCCAGAGTGGCAACCGCCGCGCCTAACAATTCACTTACGAACATCGCATCCTGATCTTTGACGAAGAACTTCCTCCACCGATCGAAAGAAATCAAGCTGGACCTATGAGTGTCATTGATGTGCTCGTCTTGTACGCCCAACATCATCGCCAATACTTTCTCGGTGACTAGATGACTAGTGAGATGCACGGCATTTTCAGAATTAATTTGAATACGTTCCAGCAGTATTGGACACACAATAATGATTTGAAGACGAGACGATCGGATTTTCTCCTCCATTTTTGGAGCTATCGGTTCTTCGATCATCATATGACGTACTCTGAAACAATATATTATTAGCTTAGGCTCTCTAAAATTCAAGATTTTATCCAACTCAAGTACCGAGGATATTGCCTCAAAGCATTATACTTTTTATACTTACTTGAACGGGGGTCGTCCTTGTTGACGACTGATTTGCTCGAAACATCCAGTTAAATAATTAACCCACAAGTTGGAAGCCTCGCTGTCTTTGCTAGAGACAATGAGGACATCGTCTTCTGTGTGCCCGTCTCTCGATAAGACTGTTGCTGAATGCGACCCTGAAACAAGTAATTGAAATATTAAATTAATTGACCTAAGTATCTATAAGATTATTTTTTATATAGGGATATCAAATAAAACTTATATTTTTAGATGAAGATGTAAATGGTAAAACATTTTTGCTTTTGAAGCAGAAATGACTGAAAATTGTACATAATTTTATTCATAAATAATTATTAAATCAGATTTTAATTTTATAATATATATTTTTTAATTTTATTTAATTTTTATTTCGAACACAAATACATTCACAATTTGTTTGAGATTTTTCAATGCATTAGTTTATATTTTTATAATCATTCTTTAATTTATAGAATGTTTTCTGTATGTATGTCAACCTCGCATGGTTTATGTTTCTCATGACATACAAGGGATGTTTAATTTCGGATGACGCATATCACGGAACACGCAACGCGACTATAATATGTTTAATGAAATAATGTCGCAGATAACGCGGCTATTTCGTGCTACACGCGAAAACGATGACAGTAGGATGATGAAACGGTTTCATAAAATCCTAAACCTAAAAGCAGCACACAATGGCGCCAGTGATTCAATTGAATGAGTCGAATTTAATGTGATATTGTTGATATTATAATGCGGATACATTGAATTATAGATGATTATTTATTCTTTTTATTTAATTTTTATTTTTTATATTCAATATTAATATCTAGAATATAAGAAAAATATTGTGAGCATTTTTGTTAAATCAAATCTTTAAATCGACTACCGAAAAATTATATGAAGAGCATTGGTATTTCTCTTTTATACGTTTTATATATTTTTCTCTCTATAGAGTTTTTTATGTAATAAAAAATTTTATTAAGCAAATAACTGAAAATTATTTCGAATAAAGTATTTTTCGACAGAAGTAAATGAAAAAATTCCGTAATTTTATTCTATTAGCGGAATGTTACAATTTTTTTATTTCTATTACGTGAAGCGCGCGGCTTTCATTTTCGATATATGCTTTCTGTTTTAAATGAAATAAAATATAAAAATAAATTTCTGGTTTTGGCCTTTCTTTCTCTTAGCGCCTTTCTTCTTTAGAAAATATATTCTAAATTCTGATTCTTTTTCTATTTTATCTTGTTATTTTAATTGCGCATGAATAATTTTAAAACTATTTCAAGAATTTATTTTTTATTTAATATTACTGTAAATATTTTATTATGCATTATATGTTCAATATATATAAATTATTAACGTCACATTTTATAAATTCTATTACATTCTTAATTATTGTAGCGGTATCTAATAACTTTCATAAAACATTACAATGATAATATCGTGGAAAATACATTCGATTTATAACACACAATTGTAAATCGCTCTTTGGATGATAATAATTGCTGCAAAAAGATCAATGCATTCAAAGAGAAGCATGTCTGAATACTTTAAGACAATTCATTCTTTTCCAAATATCAAGACAATTCTTGTTAATAGTTCGCGTAATAATATGCATTTTAGGGAATTTATGTTATCTCACTTTAACTTACTTGTTAATGCGTAAAGATTTAAAAAATTTGGTCGATTTCGTCTTCTCGGTCGAGGGCTGACGCAAACATCGGCCATCATTTTTTTCAATATTTCTAATTGTACTTGAAGAATTCAATTGCATACGTTTTTGGAAGGCAAAACATTAAAAGCGCGTATTTTCTTTTTTCGCTTTCGTTTTAATTCCAAAATTTTAATTTCAATATTCTAATAACTCGAAATAATCACTAAATATATATCTCTACTGACAGTTGAGTAATACAATTTTCCGATAGTGATTTTCTAAAATAAAATTTTTATCTCTTTTAATCACACGAAGATGAGGCGGCGGATGACGAAGTACGACTGCTCGAACTGTCTCTGAAGAGGAAATCGTACCGTTTATTTCGAAGCCCCACCCCGAGTGTATTGTTTTCACGCTCAGCTTTAGAGGCGAATTAGGCGATGCCCATAATTTTTTTGTACGCGTGATGCATATTAAGTTGCGAATTCTCTATCTGAATTGTCTGTTCCTGTCTTTTGACTACGTCAAACAATGACAGTATTATACAATCGTGAGACGCATCTGTGCGATATAATTAGAGTTTCATTATGTTTTGTCAATTTAATTCATTCATATTTATTCATTTTGTGTGTTTTATCTAAAATATAATTTATTAAATCCATATAAAATGTCTAAGTTGCTATATATTACATTTTTATCAAAGGGTTTTGAAGATAATCTTTACCTTTAGAATATTTTTCAAGAGTCAATTGTCTAATGTAATTGTCTAATCCAATCACTATCTTTAGAGTGTTTTTCAAGAGTAAATTGTATAAATCTGCTAAAAAAATATATATTTTAATTTTTTTAAAATGTTTTTTTTAATTAATTTAATAGATAATATTTTTTGAAGAAAATTATAAAGATATTTATCATTTTTATAATTTTATTTTATTTATACAAATAAGTAAATATATTCTTTTTCCGAAATCATTAGAAATTTAATATATATATATATATATATATATATATATATATATATATTTTACTTTTAATTTTTTTTACAAAAGATTAAAAATTAAAATTGTTAAAAAATTTATATCTATATATATTTTTTTGTATATTTCTATTAATATTTTCGAAATACAAACCAAAACACAAATTTAAAATTTTCATGAATAAATTTTAATATATAAAAACTAAACAGAATATCTCTACTGACAGTTGAGTAATACAATTTTCCGATAGTGATTTTCTAAAATAAAATTTTTATCTCTTTTAATCACACAAAGATGAGGCGGCGGATGACGAAGCTCTTTGCTCTTTATTTTATTTCAAATATGTATTTTATGTTTTAAAAATATCATTTCTGCTGGGAAATAAATTAATAAATAATTAAAATTGTCATTGCAATTTTAAATATTAAATACAATGATGTGGATAAGTGATAAATAATTTGTATAAATAATAACGTTACTCATTTGTATTCAATTCACACATTGGTTTTGCATTTAATTAAGCATCTGTATTATGCATTGAATATATCAGAATATATATAGCTGACACACACGTTTATAAAAAAAAATTAGTATAAGAAAGATACATTATAAATATGTAGTGACAAGAACTAATTTTATATTTTTATTACTATAATAAATATTTAACTATGAGATATATGAGATGTTTCGCGATTTATATGCAACTATACTATTTCATTTCATTTGTAATTAATTTAATAACAAAGTAATTAATAATAATATTAAAATCACTGTATTATACTCTTAATTAAGAGTTTTATTACAGCGATGGTTAAAAGTGAGAGGATATTGAAAAATAATCACCAAAGTACTCGACGCTCCTTTTGGCGTAATAATCTTCAGCTTTTATCCTCATTTTAATTTTGTTGTTGTAATTTTTATAGAATTAATTCTATGTAATTCATTGATTTTATCCACTCATTTCGAAGCACTGGAAAGAACGTATCATCTACGATTGATTCGATGATAAAACACTCTCGCATCAAGAATAAAAATTAAAGTAGAATCTTATGTGAATTTAAATTTAATGAATATAATATGCTATAAATATTGTTATACACTTTTTAATATTATTTTAATAGGCATGTCGTATCAAAAGTTTAAAACTCATTGAAATTGCTAATAATTCACCGACACGCGGATAAAGAGGATAAAACCGATCTCGAACGTAAGGCGTCGCAGGACTGAATAGACATTCCAGTGCTCCTCAGAGATGCATCGACCATCGCGCAATGCTTATGTCTGGCGCAGGCGCATCGACAAGACGATATCGTTCGTAGAGAGAGATTTTTTTGAATCCAGATGATGATCTATCGATTTTATATTTTATCACAGTGAAATGAAGAAATAATAAAAAGTACATAATTTTAATATAAATATAAAACTACAATATTTTAGAAAGAGAATTATTCTCTTTTTTTACAATCTTTTATTTTAGTTTATTCAGTTATACGATAAAAAAAAGATTTTTTTGAAGTATATTACCGATCAAATAATATCGAAATATAAGTAGAAGATATATTTTTTTTTAGATTAATAACAGAAAAGAAATGATAAAGTAATCATTGTTTATTCCAATTATAATAATTAAAAACTAATAATATTATATCTTAATTTTTTTCAATTTTCTACATTTTATTTATGTGATTTTTTATTTTATATTTACTATTTTATACAAATAGATAAGTAATATTTGTTATGCAATAATTTAATTAAGTAAAAATTATGAGTTTTGAAACTGTTTCCAAAACAACATAAGAAAACAATAAAAAATGCAATAATTTAATAATTGTATAGAAAAGAGAAAGAGAACATATCAACTGATTGTGAGAACAAAATATCCCACAGTTAAATCGCATCTTTAATATTTTAAATTCTATGTTTTACTTGTTTAGATTTATAAAATAGTATATTATTAATTACTGACACAATTATTTACAATATAAAATTAAAATTTCTTATTTATAGTTAAAAAATTGTAAATAATAATTGACAGAAATAGTAAATATTATTTATCTATTCATATCATATTTGAACATAACAAATATTATATAAAGATAAGAAATGTACAGAATAATATAATGCTCTTTTATCATCCATCTTCTTAATAAAAAGACCTAATACAAACTTCCTAAAAATGGAGACTTAATACAGAGGTCCTATTCACTGATGAATCGAAATTCTGAATTTATGTGTCGCGGCTTTTAAAAAACGTTAATCATTTATCGACTCTTTATTTCCGCCGCTCCTTCCTTCAAATCGCTTATCGCTTATAATCAATAGTTAATTATATATATTATACTTTAATGATTTTTCAATAATGTAGTTAAACAAGTAGAAGTATAAATTATATTATTTTGGGATGCAAAAATAGAACAATATTATCTGTATTTCGATTCGGTTTTTTCCACGATCGTAAATCAAATATCCTCATTTTTTCCGCATTTATATATTTATAAATATATTCATAAATTACATT